TAAAATCTAAAACATGATATTTTAATAACCAATATCTGTCCATATAGTTGGAATTAAATCATAATTTAAAAGAAAAAAAATATAAAAAAGTATACAAAATCAAATTTGTGTTATAAGAATAATTTCAATTTAATGAATGAATATATAAAAAATTCTGTTAATTTTTTCAAATAGAATCTTCGATTGTAACTTTTACTTCATCTTATAATTTAAGCTTATTTTAAGCTAAAGATTCTGTGTGATTATCAAGAGAACTATTGTCTTAGTTTTTAACTTTTTATTCTTTCAATTAAATAAGATCTTAAATAATTTATTATTATTTTAAATTTAAGGATGATATTATTTACTTATGGTATGTATTCAAGGGTTGTTATTTTAATACACAATTATCTAATAGATATAGTATTTATTAAGTTTCATTTTAAGAATCAATTTTTTAAAGATTAGAATAAATTATATCTTCACTTTTGGAGTAGGTTTCTCTTTACTACTTTTATCTAATTCTATCTTCCTTACTTAGATAATCTCTAAGAACCTGAATTTACGTATTTTTTATTATTTAATTCATAAAAAATACATCATCTAATCCCTTCAACTTGAAATCATTTAAATGTAAAGCTCCTAATAATGATGTTATTTTTTCTAATTCAAAATAATCTTTAAATTTCAAAACATGATCAAAAATGAAAATTATGCATTGAATCTTATGATATTAATTTTGTTACATTTAAATGATTGATAAAAATAGTAGATATCATGTTGTAGGCATATTTTTCTAAATATTTTCTGTAATACAATAAATCAGTTGGTTCAATCAAATAATTCTTTTTTCCTACTTCTTATAAAAAATCTATTTCTGTTTCTTAAAGTTTTTCATTACTGCCTAAAAATCTATTCAAAGAAAATTCATCTCTTAAAATATTAATAAACAAGTGAACTAAAGGTTAAGAATGAAAATATAACAAAAAATAAGTTATCAAAACTAAATTCTAAAATTTATTTATAGGATAAAATACATAGTCGCATTTAATACTGGGGTTTTAATACATTAAACATTATAAAACTGAAGATATATAGATAGATACAGTAGTGTCTTATAGATCTTTAGTCAAATAATAATCGAATTCTAACATCGAATAATTATATTAAGAACGAATCTTAATTTAATGAGGAGTCTTATACTTGGTTTACATAGGCTTAAATTAGATTAAGATTCTCAGAAGTTTTCTATTGTAAAATTTTTTTGCTGTCTAATAAACTAACATAATAATCATCATTTATGACTTATTATTTTGCTCTAAATAATCTCATTATATACTTATCTATTGAGAAATAATGCAACCAAGTTTTAGTTATATAAGAGTTTTAATTAAAGGATAACTACTCTTTTTATATCAACTCTTAAATGTAGTTTTACTCTTCTTTACAAATGGTACAAACTCTATGTTATTATTTAAGATCATAATCAATGACCTCAAAATAAAAATAATTATACTAATCCTTTGAATTTTCCACAATCATAACAAACAGCTCGTTAACATCTCTTACATAAATGTTATTGCAGTAATCTTAAATTAGATTGATGAAATTACAGAGAAAAATTTTTGTTACATAATTCACATTTTTATTATTTTTACCGAGGTAAGGTTTTCTTTATTGTGGACATTAATAATATTTAAATTTTAAATATAATTATTAATATAGAAGTTTATTTTTGATGTAAATATTCATAATTCACTTTCTAAAAATTAGGGAATAGGATCTGGATCGTAATAAGAATTTTTACGACTTGGATTTGGTGATTCTGAAATGATATAATTATCTTCTAATTTATGAAAAAAATATGGTTCATTATAAACCATTATTTGATTTTCTTATTTTCTATCTTAAATTTCTTATTTTAAATCCATCTTCTTAATTATCGGATATTCATCATCAATACTAATGTCATCTTCAAATTTAATATTATTTTTTTTTTCTTATTTTGAATTATTGGTTATAGCACTCATTAAAACTTATATAATTTAATTTTTTGAGAGTTTTTCGATTTGTTATTCTAAATTCTAACTAATAATTTGAGATGGTAATTAATCAAATTACAGTTTTTCAGTTTCAAAACTCCTTTAATTTTAACCTTCAAGTTATATTTCATCATCATTTTCACTAGTTTATTTTAACATCAATAAATTATTTGTTTAAAAATTATTTTTGTGTTTAGTATTTTATTTAGTTCCTTGCAATGATTATAAAACCCACTTCATAATTTATTCTTCTGAATTTTCATTTTTATGCCTCTATATTAACACATATTGTACTTATTTTTAGTTAATTCGGTCCATAAGTATTTATTTTCTTTCATAATCTTTTCATTTTACTTAATAAGAATTTTTATTAATTTTTCTAATTCTAATTATTTGTTTTATAGTTTTCCCATTTAAACTAAAATCTAATATAAATATTATATTAATAAACCTCTGGAATTTCAGTTTATCCATTCCTAATCTATTCATTTTTTACTAAACTTAAAGAATTTTATTCTTTAACATCATTAGTCTTTCTTTTAATTTAACTTAATAAATTTCTAACATAAATTAAAAACTTACTTTTTACCCCTTTAAAATAATTTATGTTTGAATTCATTTTCATTATTATCATGTCTGGTTTTGTGAAAATCATACATATTTAATTGTCGAACAAATGAAGCAAAATTGCTATGCTTAAATGATTTTGGTAAAATGATGTCTGAGAATTCATTAACTTTTTTAACTATAAAAGCACTTCCTTCTTCATTCCAACTAATTATTTCATGATTTTAAGGATTCTATTTTTTTTAAAACTTCAATACATCTATTATTTCATATGTTTTCAATAAAAATGCAGGTATAGAATCTCCATTATCTTTATTTGATCGTGATCTTTTCTTCTTTACTATTTATTACTCTAATAAATCGATTTACATTTATAATAATTAATTTAATCATTAGAATATTTAAAGAAATCATTATTTTTTTATCAAATGATCAACAAATTTAATCTATTCCTCATCATAACAACTCTATCCTGGTTAACCTCATCCAGATTAGATTATGATGGTATAAACAATAACAACGATACACCAATAGAAATCTTAATATAATATTGCACAAGTTGATCCTATAAGGGAGCATTTTAACAATTAGAAAATGCTCTCTTAAATTAAGAAATAAATAAGGTTAATTTGTTAGGTTAACCTTATCCAATAGGGCCTCAAAAAGAAATGTTGGTCAATTTACTAACATATATTTAATATGGATCCTTAATCATATTAGTGGCTTGTGATTCAATTTTATCTAAATAAATTCAATTTTGGTAATAATACATAAATCCACATAAAATAAGAGTAGGACTTTTAATATTTATTGGATTCAACTTTATTATTTAAAATTTGTAATCTACTGGAGCATTTGAAGTTATAATTAATGGAGAACTTGTGCACTCTAAATTAGCTACAGGTCAAATGCCAACTTTAAAACATATTATGGACTATATTAGTTCTTTAAAATGAAAAAATAAAATATAGCATAATTTGAAATGAGAAATTTTAGGAAAATTCTGATCTTAAAATTTTGATGTAAAATATTTATGCAAATATTTTTTATTTCTTATATCTATTTTGTTAATATTATATTTAAATTCTTTTAGTTTTCATATTTTCAACAATTTTTAAAAAAGTTCTTCTTATAATAAAATTTTATGAACAATATTATATTAATAAAATTATAATAAAAAATATAGGAAATGAATTAAGCATTGAAATATGTTCCAAAAATTAAATTTATTGGGAGCAGAGCTAATTTAGTTCCTCACCAACATAGTACATAAACTGCAAAATATGTACATAAAGTTGTGGATTATTAAAGAAAAAAGATGACAGAAGAAGAAATTGAAATCATAAACCAAGGAGGATTTGCAGATATGAGATGGAAGAAAATCAAGCCTATTAATATATGACCTTATTAATCAATATAAATATAAACATTTTTATGCTAATTGAACTAATTCAAATCAATATTGAAGAATTATTATTGAAAATCTTTGTAATTAAATATTATTCTTAGAATCATTATTTCATATAATTTTTTCTAATTAAATTTTCTTGATAGCTTTTCAAAACTATTTCTTAAAAAATTTAGAATTTAGAATAACCATTGATTAACTATAATAATTTTTTGGATCGCTTTGAATACCTTTTTATGAGATAAATTGGATATATATGAATAGAAGAATTAAAAAAATAATAATGCTCAATCATAAATGGAATTTTAATTATTATTTTATACTTTATATATATAATTCGTATTAATAATCTAGAATTAAAAAAATAATAACAGATTAATATAAAATACATTGAATTTGTTATCACATGAATGAGAATCTTTTTTTTTCAAATTATCTGTATTAAGGCTAGGTTTTTAAATCTAAAGATTGTCTTTTTTACATTCGTGAGTTATCTCTAGTATTTAAATAGATTCTATCAATAGCAGATCTTTTTCTAATAGATTTTGCTGTATTTTCTGATAAAGGGGTTTTAGTTCTTGGTTAAGTAATGTCAAAAATAAACTAAATTTTTGATTTGAGATTTTTGTTTAATTATTTAAATATCTATTTCTTCTATTATACAATATAATCTATTTTTTGGTTTGGTGATGATTAAATCATAAAACTTTTTGACCTTTTTGGGGATTCAAGTTTAAGGGATGTTCTCTTTTCTCTTGTTTATTCTTTAATTTCACATTATGATTTCAATTCATTTATCAAATGTAATTCATTATTTGCCTAAAATTATTGATATAAGCTTTACTTATAATCTTTATTATAGACAATCCAATTGAATACAGAGAACCTTGCCATATTCACTATTACAAGTAATAGTCTAAGTTCTAAATTCAAGTTTTTGAAATGATTCTTTATCTCCGAATATTGAACCTTTCTATAAAATGGCTATTTATTTGACACCTTAATAATTTATTCTTAAAGGATTGTACATAGTTACTTTCTAATCTTGAGTAATAATAAACTCTCCATTCAAAATTAGATATATCTCAAATTTATTCGTCGATCCTTATTTATATATGATATCTCTATATCTATATTCTTAACTTTAAAAGGCATATAATAGAATTGTCAATAACTTCCTTGACATTCCTTAGAACCCACATATTGATTACAATTCTGTAATTTACTACTAAATTTTTTCACTCTATGCTTGTTACAATATTTCTTTATAATCTTATTTGTTTAAAACTCCTAAAAAACATTCAGTTTCACAAACTACAGTTGCTAAACGAGCAGCCTCATTTATTAATGCTCTTTCTCCAAATGCATCTCCTTCATGCAACTCATTAACTTTGAACAACCTTAATTTAAAAAAATTATACTTCTTGATTTTTTCATTTAAAAGGATTTTCCTTATTTCAAGGGGATATTCTTTTTTAGGACGCATCCCCTATTCAATAAGTTAATTTACTTATTCCTTAATTGCTTAACGAATCGGCAATTTGTTTTGTTGATGCAATTCTATATTATTTGAATATATGTATATTCCCACACTTCCTTATAAAATTATATAAAAATCTTTGCCTTTATCACCTTTCTCAAAAACAATAGTACTCTAGAAGAATAAATCTATAAAATTACTTCTGGATAAATTTCAAGTTGAATTCTTTATAAACATTTATGCAAAACTGAAATTCCCTCCTCTTATAAAATCTCTTAAAAAAACTTAATGTTTTATGTGGCTAATTATAGAATCTATTGAAATAATTAGAAAATTTGTTATATACCTTAACATCATTATGATTTCTATTTTTTGATGGTTTTTACAATATTTCTGTACTTACTTCTCGAAGTTAAGTTGGAGTAAAAGTGAAAGAATTATCAGAATTATATAAAAAAGTGTTGTTATTGATAAATTAATTCATACATTATTATGATCATTATAAATGAGATAATATTTGTTTGATCGAATCTTTACTAATAGGTTTGATACATACGTATTTCATACCAGCATTTAATAACTCATTAATATCATCAGTTGCAGAAAATGCTGTACATCCAATTATATTTGTTTAAATTTATTTTAATTTATTACATTCATCAATTATTGCCTTTGTACTCTCCAATCCATTCATTTAAGGCATTTAATAATCCATAAATATAGCATAAAATAATTTACACTCATCAATTTCACAATGATCATATTGCTCTTTATATAATTTCAAAGCCTCCAATCCATTTTATGCTTTAACTACCTTAAAATGAAGAGACTTCAATATTTATTCTAATACAAGATTATTAAAAGGCTCATCATCAACAATCATGATGCTCTATAAACATTAACATCTGTTTTCAATTTTCTTTTATATCCGTATTTTTTAAATACTATCTTCAGATCCTATTGAATATTCATATTCCCGAGTTTAATTATGATTAATAAACTTTAATATCACTTCCGTTTCTTCTTTCTCTGTTGAACGAATGTATATATTTACTTTAGATTATTTATTTAACTTTTAAAGCAAAAGATTACATGATCTCAAACCTAAATAAAATCCATCAGATGATGAAGTTGTAAATTAATAATAGTTATCATTATTTAAAATTTCTTCTATTAATTTAAGTTTCTATACATTTATTCCAGATCCATTATCAACAATCTTAACATTTAAAGTTGTCTCAAATGAATTTATATTGAAATCCTGTAAACTTTAAAATGATGAATAATGTGACATTCTTTATAAATAGGTTGTATAGGGATTATTTTAATGTGGAATAGAAGTTGTTATTGGATGAGTCTCTTTACATACAGAAATCGATAATATAGATTAATTCTATTTATCACAATGTTTAATTGAATTGCTGATTATATTTGTAATTATTTATTCAAATATATCAGGATCTGTAAATAAAGTATGATTAGTTTCAGGATGATAATTAGCTAAAATTGCAATTTATTTAGATTGAATTTCATATTTAAAGTTGTCAATTATTCTATCTAGAATTTCATTTACTTTAATTAATTAATATTTGATAATTACTTAATCATCTAAACATAAATTATAATTTATAATAGAGCTTATAATATTTGATTCTATTTTTGAGTTATAATAAGCTTAACAAATTAATTCTTTATTTGAATCATCATTATTTTTATCTAAATACAATTTTAATAAACCTTATATAATATTTTTTCTAGTTCGAAGTTCATGAGATAACGATTTTATTAATTTACTTTTTAGTATGGTTCTTTCGGTTAGTTTAGTTTTTTCAATTATAGCTGAAATATCTGATAAACAAACTAACAAACATTTTTTATCATTATAAATTATATTATTATGAAATCTAACATCATAAACTTCTTTATCATTTAGAATGAATTGATAATTCACATTTTATTTAACTTCTTCTTCTTTAATTTTGATAATTTATATTGTTTCAAACAAATTCAGTTTTTCAGAATCAACTACATTAAAAACTTATTAATTTCCATAAGACTGAAATTAAATCAATGTTTTCTTAGTAAAAGAGATCTCAAATTCATCTTTTTAAAAATTAAGATACTATTTAAACATTTCATTATAGATGACAAATTCTAGAGTAGATAAATTTATTAAAAAAATAGGCTGTGGTAGTGAACTAATTATTTATTTAGGAATAATTTAATTACATATAAGTTTTCTAAATTTTTCTTCCTCTTGGATTATATACATAATAAAAATTAGTATTGCAATAGAAAAATCATAAAATGCAGTTTTCCAAATAGATAGAAAATAACAAGTTATGAAATAATAAAATAGAAAGATCACTACTTTACACATAAAAAGAGGTTGTGTATTGATTAAAGCAACCATCCACATAATATTAGTCATAAAATGTATTAAAAATTATTGATTGAATTAGACAAATCGATTATCGTTTATAAATTTCTCTGAAATTCCAATATAAATGCCTTAAAAGAAATTTAAAAGAATAATTAGTACAAATTACTTTCTGTTGTTAAGTCTATTTAAACAGCATCTATCAATAATATTTATAATTAGTGATATTCCCATATCAATAAGCAAAGTTTTGTAATTATTATTTGACTCAATAAACAAGAAATTGACTAATAATTGAATTAATGCTAAGAGTATTTGAAGTCGACATAAATTGATAAAGTAAGGCCACTTAGTTTTAAGCAATTCTTTTTTTTTATACTTCAAAACTGAAATTTTTGCTGAATTAATCAATGTATATTCCCAAATATATGTCTTAAAAGCTTTAATAATATGCATAAGTATTATAAAAATAAATATATATTGGATCATAATTTATACATCTGTAATTTCATATAAAAATTAGAGATATAAATTATTTTCTTAGAAATTAACTAGACATGAAAAGCAATGATAGTTTATAAAAAATATTTAGTTTTTTATTTTTTTATTAATGGATACATCTAACATGTAAATTTGAAGTTAATTATAAATAGACCTGCAGCTGGATCCAGACCAACTAAATAGACATTTGATTAAGCTCCAGTTACAAGATAAGTGTAATTAATGAATTAATATAAAGAATCTAAAATAAATCTGATATTTTTGGAGTGAATTCACCAGCTCTTGTTTAATAACCATCAAGACAGAGTGTACGTCCAAAAACAGATATATTTAGTACAGAAGCTTAAGTAACAAAGCAATAAGATGTAAAAGAATTAGATATCTAAGGTTCGATAAAATAAAACCTTTTAATCTCAAATTTTCTCATAAGAATAAATTTAAAATGCTCCTCAACCTGCTAGAAATTCATAAACTTATGAGACATCGCATTAAGAAGTTAAAAGATACTAAAAAAAGAATAATGATAGTAGATAAGTTGATCATGGAAAAGAATTCTTATTTGGTAAAAGTGGTAATTGTATCAAATTTATAATAAGATTTTGATGAATATAAATCATTAAAGAGAGCAGTCACTTTAAATGAATTTAAACCGAAACTTAATTATGATCCAAATAATAGAAGAAATAAGGAACTTTATGGAAATGAAATAGCAAGAGAGCATCTTCCAACAAAAGAAGTTAATTTAGAAATTTCTAGTCCTTAAAAATCTAAAAAATAATAGTAACAATAATAAGATCAAAATCCAAGCAATAGAAAATTGATGGAAAATTAATCAAGTGTTTTTGGAGAAAGTCCAAAGTAAATAATAATGAAGATAGTATTAGTAAAGCAGTTTAAGGATAAAAAGTAGAAAAACTAACAGCATCAACTTAGAAATGGAGTACAGTTGGAGGTTAAAGTAGCAATTAAGTGAAAGAATTTGATCCAGAAACATATGCAAAAAATAGAAAGGAAGCAGAACTATAATCTAGTGTATTTGGTGAATAACCTATTAAAGTATAACCTGTTTAGATTCCAGAATCACAAGAAGAATCTGAAACTCAATAAAGTAAGAAAAAATATTTAATTTAGCTTAATAATAATAATAATAAAAATAATAAAAAAAAGAGAGATTAATACCTAATAATTAGACATGGTAATAAACTGATTCTGTAAAAAATATGAGAGATTTTGATCCAACTTAATCTCAAGTAAAAGATGATATTGATCCATCATAAAAAAAAATGGATATACTTAAATCATCTATGGATACTCATTAATTTGAACCATAATAAATTCCAGCAAATTAAAAAATATCAAATAAAAGTCTTAAAGTAATATTTGAAATTTAATAATTAGTAAAAAAAAGACATTATCTAAAGAGAAGAAAAAATAAATAAAGAAAAACCAACAAAAACATAAAGTAAAAAAAAGTGATATCATATTATAAATAAGAGATATTTTAATTTTAAAATATGAATTTTAAATTTCATTAATTCTTATTTGGATTAACTTATTTTTAATATGATTCTAGATGAGAATTTTGAAATTTCAAAAATTCAATTTCTGTTTTTCTTCTTTGTTCATTAGAATCTTTTTTTTCTTTGATAGATCTTTCAAGGGATTCTTTTTTATTAGTCAAGAATTATTTCTAATAAGATAGTAAAATTGAATTACTCTTAATTCTAATTGTTATTTCTTTTCATTTAATTTAATGATTTATTATTCTAATTTATTTAATCCCTCTTCTGCATTCAATTATTTTTGAAGACTAAAAGGCATTGATCCCTCATATAATGTTTTATATGCAGCAATAGTTTTATTAAGATCATCTCTAACTCTTGCCAAAATAACTCCTTAAAGAATATTTATAAAGATATACTACCTCTTTCTTAACAATCAATTGTGACTTATCTAATTATCTCATCAAAACATTAACCAAATAATTCTTCTCTAATTGGACATAGAGGATATTCTCTAGCTTATCTAGATACAAGTCTTTCATCTAACAGTTTTTATAAATTAGTGATGTCATCTCTTGAAGGAGGAACAACTGAAACTGTTTACATTAATCTTCTTCCATCAATTTCCCAATCTCTTGGTCTAATTAAGGAGTTTAAGAGTTCCTATTATATAATGAATGTAGTTACATCAATAGTAGGTTTTGATTCTAAAGCAGGTACAGGCAGAGATTACTTCTTTCTAATCTGTTATAGAGAAGCTTCTTATTAATTAGAATATTAGATAAGGGATTCAGGAGGTATTTTTCTGTTTTCATCTACTTTAGATTCCTTCTTAGATTTGAAAACTGAATTGAGTTGCGATAACTTAAAAATGTTCTCAGACATTAAAATAAATTAAATAATAATGATGAATTTAATTTTAAGAAGACAACATGACATTAAAATATACAATAAATACATATTAGAACTCTCTCTATTTAAAGACTATGTAAAAATATTATATTTTAATTTAAAACTCATGTCTGAACAATAAGTATAAACATTTATATAATTAGATTATATTCAATGAATAAGGTAATCCAAGTCAAAATTAAAAAAAAATTATGGAAAAATATAAAGGATAATATAAAGTAAGTACTTAATTTTTAATTAAATAGTTTTGATTAAATAAGGATGACTATGTATATGAAAAATTGAGAAGTGCAAATTTATTAATATTTGAAGGCTATAGAACTTCTTATATAGAAAAAGGTAAGTTATTAAAATTTAGAATAAGAAATTAAATGTCTTGAGGAAGCCTATATTCAGTAGGGAGTAATAAATCAAGAAGTAATCAATTAAATTATTAATTGAAAAGATTGTGATTGTAATTAATGGAGATTAACAAGAAACTATAAAAAATAAAACATCTACTCCATAATTGTAAGGAGTCATTGAAAAGGAAGAATCTGAAATGAACAACACAGGAGGATTAGATTTTGTGTATCCAAATGGTGCCACCTTGATTGTTAAAGATAAAGCATTCTCAATTCTTTCTACAGGACCTATGTCTTATCTACGTGAGAGATCGATCATGGCTTCAGAAAAATGCAAGTTGGTTGTTATAGAATCTACAGATATCTTTAATGATGACTACTTTGAAAAGATGATAATCAAAACATTTTAGATTTTTTGCTTAATTTTATTTTTGTTAAGAAGTCGAATTTGATAAAAAGGGCCCCTTCATTGAAACAGAAATTAAGAATGTTCCGGATATAACAGAATTGTCAGAAAAACTTAAGAGTTGCTTACAAGAAAGCGATGTATTAACTACAGATATAACAACCTTATTTCATTCTACTTTTTTTAAATTTGATCTTGACATGATCCCAAATGCAGTTAAATTATTTGAAACCCTTAGTAAATAGATTTTTCATATTTTTATTAGCTGTGAAACATGAACCATTGACTCTTATTGTACCACAGGTTGAAACATCTTTCTTAGGATTATAACCTGCTTTATTTCCTCCGATTCCTAGAGAGCTGTCTCCTCCTCCTCCTCGAGAGTTATTTGATTTGGACGAAGAGTTCGCATCTGAAAAGTGATCTTACCAATTTATAATGATTAGAGTGAGATTAGCATAATTGACTAATAAATGGAATAATGAGGATTTAGAATACTATGTAAAAGAAAGTGGGGATATTATTGGAATTACAGAAAAACTTAAAAACAGGCAAAAAGGACACTCAGTCATTTACTATGTTTTAGAGAATTTAATCAATTTTAAAAAACTAAATTAAGGTTGAGATTTATTAATAAATATACAAAAATGTTTAATTCATTGATTATCATAATCAATGCTTTTATTTTAACTATTCTATTTTGTCCAGTATGGATTAAGTGGTTAGCAAGGTTGCATAAGAAAGTCCTAGCTCTCAATTATTCCTACATACCATTTACACTTTACAATATGGAATTAAGATATTAATACAAAAAACATATAATAGTTGTTGTAAACATAGCACGTATACAAATTTAAAAAGTTCCCAATGTATGGAGATTCAATGTCAATATCACCGATCTGAATTTACGGTTTATTCCCAATCAGCCAATCAAAATTGGCTTTTAATTTGAAGAGTAATTGTATATGGAAAGGCTCCAATCTAAATTCCTATCATATACACAATAAAAAATACAACATCGTAAAACCAAGCATATCCCATTCCTATCATTATTATTGGAATCCTCAGCAATTAATTGTCTTTTTCTAACGCTCTCTCGGTTAAATATTCATTTCAATTAAATCAATGCCACCTTACCAAAACTTAATTCTAAAGAGAAGGATTTACCAGAAATGACTTTAAATCTAGGATAAACTTCAATAGCATTACATCTTAATCAAAATGGTCATCTATAGTGGAAACTCAATAGTGAAGGGGCTAATATGGGATAATGTTTCACAATTACTTCAATTAATTTAAATGCTATCACTAAGCCTGGGTTATTAATTGATCTATTAGAAGAACACAGTTATATTGATGTTAACATTTAAGAAGTAAGATGGTATTGTAAAAGTGAATACTTTTATACAATGGATGTTTTAGCCAATGAATTTTGGGCAAGACCTGACATTAATAAAATTCTTAAAAGACAATTTAATGAAAAAGGATTCATGTTTTTAGGAAAACCAAGAGAAATGAATCTTAATTTTGCTTCTTTTAAAATTGAATTTAGTATCTTCAATGATTCAGATAATGAAAAAAAGAATTCATTTAACATTTTAACTCAAAAGTTCTATAAATATACTCAAAATAAACTTGTTTTTGAATGGCAACAATTAAAATATTATGGATAATTTAACATTGTTGATACAGATTAAACTAAAAAAGGAGTGATCTAATGCAAATAATTTACAATAAATACTTTATAAGAAGATATTAGATTTGAAGATATTAATTGGAATATTGAATCTATTTCCAGCAATACGGTTCATTCTAATGATAATACAAAAAATTTAATCAGATTTGGTGATCTTATTATTAATTTATCTCCATAACTGATTAAATTTTTTACTCTTATTTAGACTGAATTAGCATCAGAATTCAGAGTTGCTTTAATAGAAAATTATGAATAAAGTAAATATTTTAAAAAATATAATCATATTGCTAAGGAGATGTGTTGTGAATTCTTGCATATAGATTTAAACAGTGCATTAAGTACTTCATATGATTTTTTAATTACTAATAAATTTTAAATTAATTTAATCTACGATGGCACAATTATTAATTCAATCACTATTAATAAATTCCATTATATTTCAAGCGAAGGAGATGTTAATGAATCCTAAATTTAATTTAACAACTGCCATATTGCTAGTAATATTAGTAAAACTGATGGGTTTATACAAGATTTTAAAATGTAAACAAATCCTTAAGTGGTCAATTACACTTTTAATACATTTCATTTATTGGTTGAATAAACAAACATAGAAAAAATTTTAAGGATTTATTAACTATAAAAAATTTTTCAAATATAGTTATCCAAATTTACATCATTCAAATTAACACCTTTAGAAAAAAAAAAATCTAAAGCCAAAAAACCAATTATAAAAGATAAAGTTTTTAATTGTTAAGAAGTTAGTCTCAAATATTTATCTGAACCTTTTTTGGCTGAAATAAATTTAAAAGAAATTAATACTTAGGATCCCAATAACATTGATTTAAATTAATTCTCAATAAAATTTTAAAATTCCTCCTTATTTGTTATAGATTAAATTTAAACAAAAAATAGTGATCAATAAATGTAAATTAATATTAAGTCTGCAAAACTCAATTTTGAAGAAGAAGTTAGAGATATTAATGTGTTTTTATCTCGCATTAAATAAATGAATATTATTGTGTCTAGGAAATAGATTTTTGATATTAATTAAGAGGAAATTGATACTTCATAGTATAAAAAAAGAAGATCTTCACATGATGGTGTTCTTAAAAAAATGCCAAATGATTTAGATTAAACTACAAAATTAAGATCAATATTTAGTAAAAATACAAATTTAAATATTTAAAGTTTTGATATCCTTATTTAAGATACAAAATTAAATGATGCATTGTGTAGATATAGAAGATTTTAAGAAAAGTTTGAAACAATTAAAAGTAGATAGAATGAAAGTAGAGTATTAGAAGGTTTGAAAACTTAACAATCATACCCTTTATTACATTTTAAATTTTAGAATCTCAATTTAAAATTTAAAAAATAGAATTTATCTGTCAATTAAGTACTCGATAAGATTACAAAATTAGATTCTCATCCAACGCAATTAGATTAATCTTTTTTTGAATATTTTGAGTTAGCTAATTGTGAAATTTAATTAGAATAAATAAAAATATGTATTAGAGATTATAAGCTTAATTTACTTGATATAAGAGGTATAAAATTAAATACTTTTTTATGTATTTCTAGATTGAATACATAAAATATATAGATAGGTTTGAGAGTATTTTATGATGTAAGTTTAGAAATAAAATAATTTTAAATAGCAGCAGGATTAAATTTAGTATTTGCATTTAGAGAAATTTCTAATAGAATTAATTATATAATGGGTTAAAGTGCTAATTAAATATAAAATAAAGTTATGATAAAAGAGTAATTAGCTTTTTGGGATAGATTTAGATTAAAATTTCATGGAAAATTGCACTTTTAATTAGACCATTTAATTTTATAGATTACAACAGATATTTTACCTTATTCAATTGATTGCATAAAATTATCATCTAAGTTAATAAATATTGAATTTTTAAATTGGACATTAAAAGGATAAGCTGACAAGTTGAAATTAAGTAGAGTACCAAAAATCTAGAAAGTTCTGTATATTCCAAGAATTCAGATGGTAACTGAATTCAATTGGTTTGCTTAAAAGGATTAATATGATCATTATTTTTATATGAGAAAACCATATTTTAATTAGATAAATGATAGCTTAAATGATTTTATAAGTCAATAATTACAGATTGAAGTAAAAGTAGATTGTATTTAATATGAACATTATTAAGAATCAAATTTTAGAGATTAATAAAAGCATTGTTTTTTTATTCATTACTAAAATCAATTTATGAGATGGTTAAAGAATAGACCAATATTGAGACATGATGTATTAAGAATGTTTTCTGTTAAAATAAATTAATTACCATAAGTAATGGATAATCATGTATCTGAAATGGATTGGAACATGTATGCAGATTATAAAACATTAGTAAATTATACTTATATAAAATTAATGGAATCATTAATGATTAAATAATCATTATTTTAACATACAAAGAAGATAAGTATAAGAGTCTATTCAAATAAATTTAGAATGTTTTTTACAAATTCAGAAAAACCAGTATCACATAGTGAAACATTTTTAAAGCATAAAGATGTTCCATTTATAGGATTTTAAACATTATTTTAATCATTAAAAGTTAATATTTAATTAGAACCAAATCGAATAGATTAAGAATGGAGATTTGAAGTTTAATCAATAGCAGCAAAATGTGATTAATTAGTATCTTCAATGTTTGATGGAAAATAGATGTTAGATATGGAATAACCTGAACCTTTGAGTCAATAAGAATAATTTGTAAATTTCTTTGATATTCAACCAGTAGATTATTATTAAAGTGAATTAAATTAATCATAAAATTTGTAAAACATGACTTTTCATGAACTAAAGAAATTAAAGAAATTCCTTAAATAACCTTTCATTATAAATACAACACTTACTCCATAATATCATTTATTTAATTTATAAACAGATTAATCGTATTTGGAAGATTCAATTGAAGATGTTAAAATAAGAGGAAGAGCATCAGGTGTTTAAATTAAACCATAAGTTAAAAATGAATTTGGTGCCTTTGATATTTTCTTGATAGCTAAATAATTAGAATATAAATAAAATTAAAAAATATAATTATAGGATGAAGATGATGAAAGCAATACAATAACAACTTAGAAAATAATAAAAAATTTTATTTCTGCTTTAAATAGTTAATTACTATTTACATTTTATTTATAAGAAATTTGGGGTAATGTTTTTGAGAGTCTTGAAATTCCGTAAAATAAGGAGACAAAATAAAACTTTGATATGTAATTTGATTAAACAAAGCCTAAAGCATATAGTAGAGAAGAATTAATATTAATGGTTTCTTTAGTTAATCCTTAATTTAATTTCTAATATCACAATGCTAATTGTTAAATGATCTTAACATCTCCAAAAGATTGTTAAATTATAATGTCAGAATATATTCTTCCATTTGATAATTAAGAAATCGATAAAAAGTCAGTTACTAAATTAATATTTAATGGATTAGATTGTTAAGTTTTATAAAAACATTTAGATGCTAAATAAACTGTAAGATTTTTAAGTCAAGATTATGAAAAAATTATTAAATGTGATTATGCTCTTTTTTAGATTTAAAATTATTAATTAAGAGAAAATCCAAGGGATTTTACAGAAATCTTTTCATTTAATAATAAGAAACATAATCCTAATTATTGGAATTAGGAATTAAGAAGACCTATAGTATAAGTAAAAGTTGGATAATTAAATGCAACTATGAAAAAATATTAATTAGATTAATTCTTAGATATGTTAACTTTCATGGAAATGGCAGTTACAACAAAAAATGAATTTGAAAATAAGGAGAGATTTTTTAGAAACAAATTAAAAGAATTAAATTAATATGGTAGTAAATAAATTGATCAACTGATTAAAAAGAAGATCTCAGAAAATCTTGAACATTATGGTTCAGAAAAATCAAAACTAGATTATGCAATTAAAGAAAGTAGTCTATCTTTATTAGATGAATCAGAAGTTAGCTTTATATTATTCAATATTAGATAAATTAGAATAATAGAGACAGTTTTTGAAAATGATAGTCACAAAATAGATATTCTTCTTTAGGATATGGATGCAATTAACAAAATAGAATAGGATTCTGATTATAAGATGGTATTAAGTTAGGAATTAAAAGAATCTAAATAACAACCATTTTTCAGAATGATTAAAAGGTTTTACCCACTTTAAATCTACTAATAAAAATGGTTTGTAATAGATTAACATGATATAAAAATGAATCCTTTGACAATTATTTTAACGGATGAATTATATGATTAATTTTATAACTATTTCTTTGGTGATGAAGTTGCTTAAAGAAATAATCGATTGAGTATAGAAAAGAAAGAATAAATGAAATGTATTTTTATTATTATTATTATTTATTAGCTGCAATGGAAAATATATCTAAATAAATACCAGATTATTTCCATTCATTATAAGTTAGTGAACTCAAATTAGTTGCCACCTTCAAACATCCATCCAAAATTAAGAGATTTAAAGATGTTACTATTCAATTAGAACCATATAAATCTCCTAAATAGTTCACTACTACAAAAGAAGTAAATAATTTATCATATTGTTAGCAATTTGATGAATTTGCAGCTTTTGTTCTAAAACAAATTTCCACATAGATATTCTCAATTATAGGATAAAAGCTCTTTGGATGAAAAATATTAATATATTATGTGAAAATTAAATAATTATTATTTATTTCCATTTCAATGAGTATTCAGTCATAAGATTAATTAAAGTCCTATTGGAGTAATTATGTTGATAATTATTCTAAAATATAAGGAAATCAAGCTAGTTTTGGTATAACTCTAATTAACATGCTTGATATATAAAATGCTTAACGAATTTTCGAATCTGGATGTGGTCCTGGATTGTTAATTCCTATGATACTCATAAATAAATAATTGAATTGTGAATTTATATCAACAGACTTATCAGAAAAAATGATTGAAGCTTCTAAACAAAGAGTACTCAACTTTTTAAATTTTCCAAATGGATAATTAGATTATAATAATCTAGAAAACTTATTTAAATAAATTTCTTGGGATGCTAAAGTAGCAAATGCTGAAGATTTATCTCAATATGATAATGATTATTTTGATATATATTATGGAGGATTTATTTTTCATTTAGTTTTAAATCCAATTTTAGCTTTGTAAGAGGCCTATAGAATTTTGAAGCCTGGAGGAAGGATTGGATTCTCCATTTGGGGAAGAAGGGAATTAGCTGATAATTATACAATTCTAAGAACAACAGCTGTAGAAGTTGGATATGTATTTCCAAAAAGTCATGATGCTTTCAATTTAGGATCTGATAAAGCTAAACTTAAAGAATTATTAGAAACTTTGGGTTTCAAAAACATATGTATATATTATAAATTAATAATTAGTATTATGGTATTAAAATACAGCAGCAAATAGATTTACATCAGACTAAATCATAGAAGGATAAAACCCTGAAATTATTGCATTTTTATAAAAAGATCAAGAATTATATCAAAATTTATTAAAAAAATTAGATGAGAAAATTAAATATAAATTGAATGTTTTAAATGAACCTTTAATTTAAGATTGTTTATTAGTTATTGCATAAAAATGAAAGATTAATTTATAATAGATCATATGCAATTTTATGAATATTTAAGTTAAAAATTATCCTAAATAATAAAAAGTTTTTAATTATTAGATTAAACTCATTTAATAATTTTCTATACTTTTATCTTATTATTTCAATTAAGCATAAAAAATAAAAATAGATTAAAAGATATTCTATATTATTATAAAAATAAAATTTTTAATTCTCTATAGATAAAAAAGATGTATTAAGGATTCTAGAGTAAAAGATTTTAATCAAATATTTTTGATTTAGTTGAAGAGGAATACATAATTATAATTCTTTGAAGATTGTTAAAATTAAATTTGGAAGATCGTTTCTACATAAAAATTTTATGAAAATATATATTTATGTTCAAATTTATACAAAAAAATAAATAAAATTTATATTTTGAATTAATAAAGTAATTTAGAATTATTACTAAAAACAGTTCCTTTAAGTTCGAAATTTGAAGGCGGCAAAAATTTAATCAAAGGCTATAAAGCATTTTGATGATGTTTAGCAATATTTTGATCTAATTTGTTATAAAGATATAAGTTCATTCATTCATTCAACATTATTGCAAAAACAAAAGAAACTAGTTTTGTTTTTACTTTTTTTTTATTCAATAATAGAGATTCGTTTTTCTTTATTTAGAGAATTACTATATGATGAGCGAGGTTAAATTCTTTAAGGAGGTGTAACTTCTCTTGCTTAAAAGAAAACTTTAATGGAAAATTTGGTTTGATCACAATCTTTTAGTTAAAGTTCATTTCTGAATGCTAAAAATTTATTAAAAAGATACATGGAAAATCTTCATTAGGTTTACCTTACTTCTTTTTTGGTAAATACAATTTGGTTTATTCATTATCAATTTTTGGTAAATTCATGTCTTTTAATTTCAGAATACCCCAATTACAAATATCACCTAAAGACAAGATATCGCTGAAACTTTGTGAAAATTCATAAGTTTAATCATGTTCTTAATCATACCAATATATTGTAATTATTTTTTCAGTGGTGCAATTTCCAAAACTTTTTGAGTTTTTTCTAAGTTTGAGTAAACTAACCTTTTATTCAGGACTTCGATCTGAATAAGATCAAATTATACTTGATGATTTGATAGATTTCACCTTTGCTGACATATCAATGGATTCATCGATTTAATCTAACATAATATAAAAATTTATATCATAACTAAAGAATTAATTTGTTATGTTAAAATCAATTAATTGATATAAATAAGGAAAAAGCAAGATAATATATTGAAAAGTAATTTTGGTTTAGAAATTCTATAAAAAAAAGAGTATAGAATTTGTAAAATCAAAAAGTTTAAAAATTACTAAATGAATAAAATTAGACAGAAATCTATGTATGATATCATTATGAAAAACAGGATTAAATAAGTTAAAATACATAAATAAAGTAATTTAAAATGTATAAATCTAAAATTAGTATTTTAAGATTCTAGAAAAAAGCATTAAAAGCATAATATGTTAATGTTAAAAAAAGGAGGGCAAGAGATGATCGTAATGAAATCGCTAGATTTGAAAATGATATTAATTAATTAATCTTTTTAAACAATTTTAAATAAAAATAATCATAATAAATAAAATTTAGAAAAGGGTAAGTATAAAAGAAGAATTTGAATATAAAATTTGTAAAATCTAAAAATTAAATGAATAGAAAAATATTTCATGTTAGTTTTTATGTAGCTGTTCTTTTAGATGATCTTGCAGTATATTATATTTAAGCTTGATGAACTAATTTATAAGTGCTTTTTTCGATAATAATTTTTTTTGGTTTATGAGGTCTGGTTTACTGTAATGTATGAGAAGACTTGATTGAGAAGTTTTCTTCAGATAATTCGAAATCTATATTCGGATTAGAATCATATTAAGAATCAGCAATCATGAGGAGATGTTCTTAAACTTAGTGTTCATTTAATTTGTGGAGACTAGTTAATAAAGTCATCATTTTATCATCGAATGTGATAAGCATATCTATTGTGAATAAAGTATAAAACCCTTTAATTTGGACTTTCGATCTAAGCTAATCAATTGGTTTTAATGAAGTGTATAGATACAGTAAAATATTTTGCCGAAGTCTGTATCATATTACAACATTTTTAAATAAAAATTATCATATATTAGATGTTTATTTAAGAAATGAATGATATAAAATTAAGTGATGATAAGAGAATGATTAAATGATAGAGATGAATATTATAATAAATAAAAATGTATGTTTAAAAAGTGAGATAATATGATAATAAATATGTATGTATATATATATATATATAAATCAATCATAATAATAAATTTCAGTCAACTTAATCTACTGTTGGTTTGAATTCAGATGCAGATCCTCTATTCATATTAGGCATAGATGCACCAGCACCAGCACCTGCTCCAGTAGATGCATAAAGTCTTTACATTATAGGATGGAATTTGGATTCAAGTTCTTTTAATTTATTTTTATAAGTATCAGCTTCTTCATTTTAATGTGAATCAAGCCATTTTTATGTTTATTCTACTAAATCAGTTAATTATCTTTTTTCATCAGAAGTGAATTTATCTTTAAATTATTCATCATTAATAGTATTTTTGATATGATAAGCAGTTGATTCTAGATTATTTTTAGATTCAATTCTTAATTTAATTTTTTCATCATCTGCTTTATATTTTTCAGCTTCATTAACTAATCTATCAATATCTTATTTAGATAATCTTCCTTTATCATTTGTAATAGTGATTTTATTATTTTTTTTAGAAGCTTTATCTTCAGCAAGAATATTCATAATACCATTTTCATCAATATCAAATGTAACTTCAATTTAAGGTACACCTCTAGGTGCAGGTGCAATACCATCTAATTAGAATTATCCTAATTTATGACAATCTTTAGTCATTTATCTTTCACCTTCATATACTTAAATTAAAACTCCAGGTTGATTGTCTGCATAAGTAGTAAATACTTAACTTTTTTTAGTTGGAATAGTAGTATTTCTAGGAATTAAAACACTCATAACACCTCCAGCAGTTTCAATACCTAAAGATAATGGTGTAACATCCAATAAAACTAGATTTTCACATTTTTATGATCCAGTTCCAGTTAATATAGCTGCTTATACTGCTGCTCCATATGCAACTGCTTCATCAGGATTTATAGATTTATTTAATTCTTTTCCATTAAAATAATCTCTTAATAATTCTTATACTTTTGGAATTCTTGTTGATCCACCAACTAATACTACTTCGTGTATTTAACTTTTTGACATACCACTATCTTTAAGTACTTATTCTACCGGTGGAATACATTTCTTAAATTAATCTAAACATAACTCTTCAAATTTAGCTCTTGTTATTGAACAATTAAAATCTTCATTTTCAGCCAATGCATCTAATTCAATTGTTGTTTAATTTGCTGATGACAATATTCTTTTAGCTCTTTCACATTATGTTCTCAATCTTCTTAATGCTCTTGCATTTGATCTTAAATCTATTCCTTTCTTTTTCTAGAATTCTACACAACAATATTCAACTAAACGATTATCAAAATCTTCACCTCCTAAATGAGTATCACCTGATGTTGCTTTCACTTCAAATATACCTTCATCTATTGTTAATAAGCTAACATCAAATGTACCACCTCCCAAATCAAATATTAATACATTCTTCTCACCTTTTACTTTCTAATCTAATCCATAAGCTATTGATGCTGCTGTTGGTTCATTTATTATTCTTAATACATTTAATCCACAAATTAAACCAGCATCTTTTGTTGCTTATCTTTATGAATCATTAAAATATGCTGGTACTGTTATTACTGCATTCTTCACTTATTTTCCTAAATAAGCTTCTGCTATTTCCTTCATTTTTGTTAATACCATTGATGATATCTCTTCTGGATGAAATTTCTTTGTCTCTCCCTTAAATTTAACAACTATTAATGGTTTATCATCTGCACCTGCTTCTACTTTAAATGGCCATAATTTTATATCCTTCTATACTGTTGGATCATTAAACTTTCTTCCTATTAATCTCTTTGCATCAAAAACTGTATTCTAAGGATTTCTAGCTACTTAATTCTTTGCTGCATCACCTATCAATCTTTCATTCTCTGTAAATGCTACATATGATGGAGTTGTTCTATTTCCTTAGTCATTTGCTATTATTTCCACTTTATCATTTATAAATACACCTACACATGAATATGTTGTTCCTAAATCTATTCCTATTGCTGTTTCGTTTGATTTTGACATCTTATCTTTTTACTTTCTTAACTTTTTTTATTTATTAATTCAATTCACCTTCTCTATCATCAGCTTTAAAAGACCTAACTTTCGATTCTCTCGAATTTATTAATTCTCGAAAACAGAATTTTCCAGAATTAAAAAAATTATATTTTTAATTAATCAATTATTATTATTTAAATTATGTATATTACTTTTATTTTTTAAAATTAATTACAATATTCTTTATTATATTTTATACTTAATTAATAATTCATTTTATTGATCAGCAATTCAATCTTAGATATATCACCTCTCTCTAATTTACAATTTCTATCATTATTATGGCCATAAAATTTCTTAATTATATTCTAATCAAACTACTCTTTTATTCCATGATAGAATTAAAGTAATAGTTTGCTGTTTAAGAAATTATTTGATTTTTGGATCAATATACTTAAAAGAAGATTCAAAAAAGCAAGAATTCTATTTTTAAATAATTCCAGCTTAATTGAATAGGAATTTTTATGTTGAATTTTAATTCAAAAATAATTGCTAATGTTGATAATTAATCATTAAAATTAAAATATAAGTAAAAATATAAATAAAAAATTAGATGATTTTTAATATAATCAAATTTAATTAATCAATCAAAATTTTCATTTATATTTAGTTAAACTTAATGTTTATATCTTTTTCTCCTATCTCTGTATTGTTTATTATAAAACAACCTTTTCTTCTCTTAAGTCTTAGACTTCTTTGGTTATTTTATCCAAATCCTAATTCAACTATTTGTTATTTCTCTATAATGATGATATTTACTCAGTCATTGTCTTTTATCTCATTTAGTTTAATTCTTTTTATCTTTCGACTTATAACTATAATTTTTCATTTTAATGAATTAAATCCTTTTCTCTCATTTATAAAGCTTCTTTATTTGTAGATGTTGCTTAAAACTTTTATTTAATATTTTAATTTTCATTTGATAAATTCTCAACTTTATTTTATAATTCTTCACAAGTTTAACTATTAATTTCAGATTCAATTCTATTATTTAACTTAAAAGAAATACTTAAGTAAATCAAGATCGACATCTTTTTTGGAAATAATTAATTTTTTTAAAATATCTCTAACTTCTGCACTGTTTTATACTTTATTTGATAATTCATCATGTACAGATTCACATAGCTTTATAATTTTTTGAATTTGCATTTAATAAAGTTTATCTGATTATGCAATTTTTAAAGCAAGCTCTTTATTTTGTAATTTAGCAATATCAGCAATTTATTACAATTCTTATAATTAATTTTAATAATCCTCATCTTTCTCTTTATTAGATGAATACAATTAATAATTAAGATCTTCGATAGTTTAATAAAGTTGTTAGTTGTTATATTTTAATTAATCATCTTGAGTCATAGATTTATATGCATTAAGTTGAGTTTCTAATTCTTAGATATAAATTAATTATCTTGTTATTTCTTCACTATTAGATTCTCTAACTATTTTATGTTCTTCTAAAGCATTAGATAATTTAATAATATCATTTTGTAACTATGCTACAGTTTTTTCATGTTTTTTAAATTCATCTTTTTTGAATCCTTTTTAAAACAAAGTAATAGTTTCATTATTAACACTTTAATCTTTTCTTAAGTTTTCATTCTAATATTTTAACTATTTTAATGCATATTATATTTACATGAGAATGTTATTTTTCAAGACCTCTAAATTTTAATCTATACTTTTTGAATTCTTCTGCTTAATCATGAACTTTTTGATTTAATTCATCAATACGATTTAAGATAGAATTCTTTTCTTATTTTAAGATTTGAATCTTTTTCTTTTTATGTGCCAATTGTGCTTATAATTCTGTAATAGTTTGTTTACAATAAAAATCACAATCTGTTAACATTTAAAATAAATTAAAATTTTATCATTCTTTCACTAATGTAATGGCATTGTATTCTCTTCCTCTCATTTCTTAATCTTTTAAATATTAAGCTCTAAATGTATTAACTTTTCTATCATTATCTGTTTTTCCAAAAATTCTATTTTAAGTATCAAAATTGGAATTGCCAGATCGTTTTTTCATCCAATCTTTATGCATCTCAAAATTCTTGGAAGGGAATTGTCCTTAATGTAATAATGGATCCTCTGGATTAGGTTAATTTTTAATATGTCTAACATTGTCAAACTCAATTGATGGATTACTACAATTAAATCTCTCAAGTGCTATATGTGTAATATTACTATTTTACACTTAAATCTCTTAAAATGTTATGTAGTTTTATGTTCATCTTATTTTTTAAGTTTTTCATGTTCTTCTCTATACAATTCCGTTTATTCATTATTTGGATTATCTAAAGCATATAAACCAGATTTAAATCCTAATTTAGCTTTCTTATATGCTTTATTAACATCTTAAAATTAAGATCTCCATTAATGATATTTAACTTAATTTGATTTAGCTTCTTACAAATCCTTACGATAATCTTCAGGTCTCTTAAGTTCTGGTTAAGTTTAATAATTAATTTTTGTTTCATCAAATTGCTTTTCTGGAATTTATAATAGTTTTTTTTTCAAGAAAGATTAACTAGTGGATTATAGTGGATGCTATGTTATTAAATGATTAATTGGATGTTGATGTAAATAATCTACATTATCTTCAATTAATCTAGGTTACTAACTTCGAAAATAAAAACTTTAATTTTTCATAGTCATATTTTATTAAGTATCTCCCATTTTCATAGTTCTAGCACCTAATTATGCAAATTGACTATGTTATAGGAACTTACCTAAATGTTATGCATCCCAAGTATTTCCTAACATCTTTATTGATCCATCTAATGCTTACGGTGTTTGACTTAATTAAGTTTCACAATATTTACGATTGCTTTGTTTAAGCTTAAATTGTGCTATTACTGAAAATTGGTAAGATATTCTAAGTATTCATACAAGAATCATCTTCTCTTCTCATAAACTCTCTAAAGTTATGTTTCCCAATATCTGGTACTCTCTCCTTTTATCTAAATAACATTTTTAATATAAATATTAAATATTATTATTCATTTCTACATATACAGACAATTATTTGTTATTCATATTTTATTATATTTCAATATTCTGGAGGAAATTTATTAAATGTCACTTCCTTATCTATTATTAAACCATTTATCTTATAAGAAACCTTTATTTTCATTACAATCCCCTTCTATCCTTAATTTGAATTTGTGATTTTTAATGTCTTAAATATAAATTCATAAATACCGATATCACCTATCCACTACTATTCCCACTTATTGTTGATGATGTTGGTTATGTAAGTTATAATTTCATATACTTCAGTACTGCAAAAGATAATTGTAATTCTGTTATTGGACTAGCTGTTTTATTGTTAAAGTAAGCTGTAATATTTGTTTAATCAAAGGTTTCCTATAATATTTCAAATCAATTCTTACTTTCACTGCTCTAAACTCTATTTATAAAGCGCCATCATCAAAAGCTATGGCTTATTAACTTAAAGATTTTTATTCATTTTATTATGCTTAAATTTATTATTATTATATTATTGGTTATTATTATTAAAATTATTATTATTATTATTATTATTATTATTATTAAATAACATTAGGAAGAGTTTATGGTATTGTTTTTTATTGTTATGGTTGTAGATTTAAATTAAAAATATCACCAGGCAAATTAACTAAAGGTTATTATTATTGTTATTAGAATGGATATTATTATTATTATTAATATAAATTTATATTTTAATTATATAAATTCTATAAAAGATTAACAGGCTATTATTATTATTATTATTATTATTATTATTATTATTATTATTATTATTATTATTATGTTTCTTACTTTATTGAAAATTCACCTATTCCTGTTAATGAACTAAGATTTGGTAATGTAGATTATTATTATTATTATTATTATGTTCCTGATAAATTTAATGTTATATCAAATGGATCAAATAAATTACCAGGTAATTAATTTGTAACTTATGTTTATTACTTAGATTAATTTGAATCTTAATTTCCTATAAGATTATCTATATCAAAACCATATATATTTTTTGATTCATTATTGCCAACAGGTTTTGCTTATTCTAATTCTGTTTTAGAAGGTGGATATTCATCATATTCTACATCACCTATAGGTTTATTTTCATAGATGGCTTTATGAGTATCACTAGGTGGAATTTATTCACAAATACCAGCTCTATGTTAATCCCATTATAAATCTAATAAACCATAATACTCAGAAGCTCTTTTTGAAACCTCTATTGAAGTAGAATTAATCTAAGATTATATTAATTTTGCAATTAATTATTAAAAATTTGTGATTTTAGGATATAGTTTTATTAAAGCTGACAAAACATATTCTTTAATGACATTTTTTTAATTTGGTTTTTCAATCAATTTTTAAAGTAAATCAAGAATTTCTTCCTCTGTTATTTATATTGGAGTATTGTCACTAGCTGTTGCATCTCCTTTCAATAAAAGATGACCAAAATCACCTAAACAATAAGCTGTAGTTCTTGCTAATCCTTCTTGATTTAAATTTTCTTACAAAGAGAAAAATAATTTATGAATAGCATAACTTTATAATTCAGGAGTACCTATAATTAAATGAATCAATGAAGAACTTGAATCTTCCTCTACATAATTACCAGCCAAAATCAAAATTTTAATGAAAGTATCAATATACCATCTTCTAGAAGGTGCATATTTTTCAACAATTTAACAAATTTTATTAGTCAATTCTTTAGTAAAATCAGCATCTTCTTCAGATAATGTAAGCAAAACATTTAATAACTCTTTAACAATCCCTTTTACATTACTTTCATTTGTAATAACATAAAGGAGATCTAATGCTAAAGTTTTGATTGAATTATCATTTTCTTTTAAACATTCCAAAATAGTTTATTTATGCTTTTAAACAGCTTAAAGATCATGTTTCAAAACTTTTTATAACATATAAAGAGAAATATATTTACTATTAGCATCTTTATTTTATAAAAACTTACCTAATATATTAATTCCTAAAGTTTTAAGTGTACTGGAGGATTCAATTCCAAAAATGGTTTTAACACATTCATATAAAACAGCATTACCTGAATTTTTAGTATTATTCGTATTGGCTGCAACTTAAGTAAGAATATCTGAAACTTCTCCAGATAGTTATACATTTCCTTAACACATAATTCTAAAATATTTAAGTATTTCAATTTATAAAAATGGATCTGATACTCCTCCTACATCATATTCAGCTGAATATGTTGAATAAATAGATTTGAATATTCTAACCATAGGTTATACAAATTTTTAGAATCTTTATTTTTAATCAGGTTAGATAATTAATATATGTTAAGCTAATTGTAAAGAGGCTACTAACACACCATGATGTCTATCATCTAATAATAATTCAACTTTTTATGAAAACTCATCAATTTTTTCAGGAACACGTGTTACAATTCTAGTACTTGCTAAAGCTGCTTTTTTTTTAATATATGCAGTTCCATTCTATAATAATTTTAATACCTCTCCTGATAATGCTCTACACATTTCACTTGTGCATACTTCACTTAATGCCATTAATGCTAATGATACTATATAATTAGATGGGTTATTTAAATCTATTCTAATACGATTAGTAGCCATCATCAATACTTCACTTTTCTCATTAAATAATTAAGTTAATGCCAAATAACCTATTCTCTTTTCATTATATGTATTAGCTGTTATTAAATGTAAACATTCCATCTAGGCAAAATCAGTCTCATATCCTAACATTGAAATGAAAAGCAATTTAGCTACATTTCTAGGTCTATATTCTGATTCATTTGCAGAAAAGGATTCTCTTATTAATGCTTATTCTTTTTTTATTAATGCTCTCTCTTCTGCAGCTGTTTTACATGTTCTAATGTTACGTATCAAGTCTCTTAATTTCGTCGACATTTATTTATTTACTTATACTTATTAATGTTTATTAATTATATTATATTCAATCTAAAATTCAATTATTATCTAATTTAATATAACTACATTTTAATCATCAGTATTCGTTCATGTCTAAATATCAAATTTAATCATAATATTATCTATTAATACTATACATATTTATTTAGATTTTATATCATCTTATTCTTTAATATTATCACTCCAGTGATTATTTCATTTCATAAATTAATAACAATTTATTTTTAAATACTTTTTATGCAATAATCAGCAAATACGAGATAAATATTAGATTTAGATTTTTAAAAAGAACTTTATTAAGAAGATCTAAAGAAGCTTGTGTCAAATATTCAAGATAAATAAAAATCTTATTATGACACAAGATTATTATAAAATGAACTAGTCTAAAAAATCATCAAAATTTGTTCTCAAAAATATGATGATGATATTGTTAAGAAAAGAATTGAACTTTAAGAATTAAAATTAAGATCAGAAGAATAAAAAGCTAAATAAGATGAAGAATATAGTAATTTAGAAATGGAACTTAAAAATAAAATAGTAAGTGTCTTCATACGTTTTCAAAAATATTATGAAAAAATAGCATAAGAAAAAAGTAAATTAGAAGAATTCATTGTTGGAAATTCAATTGATAGAGATTATATTCTTATTTTACAAAGTGTACATTAATCATTATCTGATTTTGAATTAGCTAAAGACAATGAATGTATTAATTAATAAACATTTTTATCTTTAAAATCTCCAAATGTTCACACTAAATAACATTAAAAAATGTCTCATTTAAATTCATATGTTAATACACTTATTTCGAAGATTGAAAATGCTGATTAATAAATTTTAAACAATTAATCTGAAAATTCATAAGTTTTAATTATTTTATCATAAAAGCTCACTTCCCTCAAATAATAAATAAGATAACTTTAATAATTTAATCATGATTGTGTACAAGAAGTATTTGATCTTTAATCAGACTTTCTAATTAATTAACGAAACCTTAAAAATATGAGATTGAATATCTAAAATACTTTTACTAAAGATGAAGAATTAAAATTTGCAGAAATTACTTTATTAGAATAATAAAAAAATGACATGGATAAGAATTATAAATCTTATACATAAATAGTTTTACAAGGAAATAATTAAAGAAAAGATTATGAAGAAAATATTATCAGATTAATTTCATTATCTAATTCATTAATTCATTCTTTAAATAATAGCATAGAATAATTTAAATAATAATTAGAAGCATTTTCTTTAACTCCTGATACAAAAACACCTTCATATAATTCGAATAAAAAGATTAATATTTTAAATCCTTATAAAAAAAACTAAAATGATAAAGTTTAAACTGAGCCTTCTACTTAGAATTTTTAAAAATCTTTTTACTTTAGAAGAAAACCATTTGTAGAAAAATTAGGTTCAATAAAAACAGATGAAAGTAATATCACATCATATTCAACAATTATAAAATAAACTTCTTAATCGCCCAATTTCAGAAATTAAATTTTACCTGAAAAATAAACAGCACTACCCTTGAAATGTTCTTGTCCACCTGAATGTTTATGTTAATAATATATATAAGAATAATTACACACATGCAATAATTTATTGTATATAAACTAAAAAGGAATTATATTATGTTAGGTTTGCTAAATTTCTTTATAAATAAATGAACATCATTTTTACTGTTAATTTAATAAGACCAAAAATAAGTTCAAATAATTTCATGATTTTATCCATTCTTTTTGGAAATATATAATAAGCTTAACTTTGAATTAATAAATTGTCGATTTTTGGATAGGTTTAATTATTAATTGCAAATCATAATGGTCAAATGGATCTCCAAGATTACCTTCAATAAAATAAGATGAAATAATTGTAAATTTTTAATCTAATTGCCCAAATCAAAGTTTTTGTAATCATAAAAGTCTTATTCCTCAAATACATTCAACTTGTAACACTCCCTTATAATTATCTAATTATGGAGATATCATTTGTAAAAGATGTCAGTATTAAATGTTTGTTTAATATCATTTAATTTAATGCCAAGATAATAATTAATTTTATGCATTTTAGAACGTTGAAGAATTTATTTTATCAATTGATCCTTATATTAAATAATTGATAAGATAAGAAAAAAATGATTGTAATTAATTTTTATAATCATTGATTACTAATTTGAATAAAAAATGGAAATGATTTATTTTATATATAATGTTTTATCACATAAAATTAAAAAATTAAAAATGTACTCAAAGAACTTAATTGACTCAGATTTTCAATCCAATCTTATTAATCAAGAATTGAAACCATTTGTTTAGAAAATCTAAGATAGATAAAAAAGATTATCTGAGTTATCAAAATAATTAGAAGAAAACATACAGAAATCATTATCTATAAATTCCACCATCTTTGAAAAAGAATTAAAAAATAAACAAAAAGAAATGAGGAGAACAAAATTAGAAAATGAAAAAAGAGTAACTAAAATTAAAAAAGAATACGATCTTACTGAAAATTCAAACCTTTCAAAACTATTACAAAAGTAATAAGAATACATAACTAATTATGAATAATTATATTAAGAAGAAATGCATTTTATTAAGTTTATAGATTAACATACAAAAAATAGTAGTTACTTTACAGTTATAAATTCTATTCTGAATGATAGTTTAATATTCTCTGGATAAAAATTAGATAATACTAGTGTATTAGAATACTTAACAGGATAAAATAAAAATAAAATTCCAAACTTTCATAATTCGATTAAATTAACAATTTAACAATTATTAAATATTGAAGAAAATTTATTATCATTATTCAATTCTAATAATAGTGTGAGTGATTCTCAGTTGTAATTACTTTCATAATCATTAACAAATTTTATTAATATTCTTAAAACAACTTAAACTTAAATAGATGAGATTCTATTAGAAATGGAATCAATTTAAAAAGAAATATATGAAACTGATAAAATTAGAAAAAATAATATTATTTTAATATAATCCATTATTAAAGATAATTAGGATTAAAAAGAACTAGAAATTTAAGAATTTATCAAATTAAATGATAATTTATTAAAACAACTTTTTTCAGTTATTGAAATAAATAGAAAATATTAAATATTTTAATAATAATCGAATGAAGATATTCAAAAGATATTTTAATTATCTGAAATCTAATTTCAAAATAAATTTCAAATTGAACATAAAAAGTAGAGTAAATAAGGTTGTGTATAACTAAAAAAATTATCAACAGTACTCTTATAATCAAGATTGAGGATAAATTCAGATCATAAAAAAGACTTAAATGATATTTTAAATAATTCAAATGATTAATCTTAAGAAAATGGAAGTAAAAGAGATGTAATGGCTTTGGAATCATCTTTTCTTTATTAATCCTAATAAACTCTAAATTCTGAAAGATCAATACTAAATTCAACAGCTTAAAAGTAAAATTCACCTGTTTATGTACGTAGTCCAAATAGTACAAAATATCTTGAAAAAAAATCTCATCATATTCCTCATAGTTAAACTTATAAAACAATAGCACATGTTGATAAAAAAACTGCTTTACCATTAAGATGTATTTGTCCTCCTTAATGTTTATGTTCAGCATAGATTATTATGTAAATACATTCGTGCAATAATTAATTGTATATTAATTCAAAAGGTTATGTTATGTGTCAGCAATGCTTATTTTCTTAATAAATTTAAGAATATGGATTCTTTTGTCCTTAAAATAGATAGAAAAATAAATTTAAGAATTATTAAGATTTTTTTTTCTCTTTTTGGTTGCATCTTTCAACTTTGACTGTTAATGAATAAATTGTTGAATTTTGGAATAATTTATAAGTTAATTGTCAATAATAATGGATGTAAGATAAATAAATAGAATTTAATGATTTAACAGATGAAATTAGTTTTATAAATTTTGTAGCCTACTGTCCTTTCAACAGTAAGTGTTATCACAAAACTAGTCAATAATAAATGCATTTTTGTTAGTGTCCTCTCCTTATAAATTCATTAGGAGAATTAATTTGTAAGAAATGCAATTTTTTTGGGAGTCCTTAATTTCATTTTATTCAATGTCCAGAATAAAAAGAATATTATTATTATTAAAACATAGATTTATTTCTAAATTCTATTGATCTTAATAATTCTAATTTTGAATCCGAAAAACAAAATATTGAATTTTTATCAAAGTTAAGAAGGAATTTAATTAAGAAATGGAAATGAAACTGATTGCTATTTCTTATTTAATTTTTTTGTTATATATTAGCAGTCATAAATTTTCTAATGCTTTATCAATTAATTTTCTCACTTTTTTCTTATATTCATCAGGTCTATCTCTGAATTAAATTCCTGCATCAACATTAGCAGGTGAATTGATATTAGGTTCAGATAACATTGAAACTATAGAAATTAATACATCTTCTGGTGTCAGAATTGGTCTCCATCTATTATTATGATTTTAATTAAAACCTTGTTTCTGGAGGTTCTTAATCATTAAATTCATCTTGAGCATGCAAAATTGAAACACAAACTCTTCCATCACTATAAACTAATGTCAATGATTTTCTAAATACTATTAGGATGCCACATTTCTGTTAAAAATCTAAAAGTTGGTGGGGAATTAGGATAATCTTCTGGAAATTTCATCATTGCTTAAAAATATCCACCTTCATATAAAGTATCTGAAGGACCTGCAAAGCTAATATTCCATGAATATAAGCTATTTCCCTCTAAACCAACAGAAACGCCTTCTATTGTTTTACTCTCTTCCAATTCTAAAATAAAATAATTCAATTACACTTTAGTTATTTTTTTAAAAGTGTTACTGTGTAACTAGCAGATTGAATAGGTGCTGTATGAGCTGATTATGATTATTACATAAATTATTTAAATAAAATATTATAACAACTTTTTTTGATTATCAAAAATAAATTTTTAGAAATATTATTCATTATTAAAAAAGTCATTTGATTATTTTCTGCTTATATGACAAAATTAACAAAAAACTTTTTATATAAGTTAGTCTATAATATTAGACGATAAAGACTTAATTAATAAAACTATAAAATTTATTTATTTAAAAATTTCTATAGAAATATTGATAAAAAATAATTAAGAAATAGCCTATATTTTAAAAGAAAAAAAATAAAAAATACTTTAGCAAATATGAAAAAATATTTCATACTTTAAAGTTTTTTATGATACTATAAAATTAATGAGTTGTTTTTAAGTATATTAGAGAGAATTTTGTAAATTAAAAAGTTATCATTGCAAAAAATCTTGAAATACAAATACTAAAATATTTGCTAAGTCAGATCAAACAATATGATTTATTTAATTAGATTAAAAAAATCTGATAATGTATATTATCTTTTATTAAATTATTAAAAAAGAAGTAGTTTATTTCTATTTTCTGATTTTGAATTTAAAAAGTATTGCAGATTTTGATTTAAAATATGTAGAAGGAATTATAGAAATTTGAGTAATGATTGGTAGTTATTGACAATTTAAAAATTAGATTATTTTAATAAAAGAGAAAAAATAAATAATATCTTATTTATACATCTTTAATTGGAATGATGATGTCTCTATTTTTTTACTCCAAATTCTTTAGAATATCTTTAATCTATTTATAAGTTGAGTATCCTTAGAGTTGTATAATTTTAATAAAAATGGAAATAAAATTAAATAGATAGAGTTCAAAGATATAAACTAAGAATTTTTAATAATTAGAAAGTGAAATATTTTAGATAATAAAATTGAATTAAGTTTATTTATTTTATTGTATAAATTCTTATGTTTTATAAATAATATTTTGATTTTTTATGATTGGATAAAGCAAAACAGAGTTACATTAAGTGTTTAAAAGCTTTGATAAAGATGGAAGTGGATATGTAGATAAATAAGAGCTTTAAGCAATAGCTTAATAATTGAATTAAGAAATAAGTTAAGAAGAGATTGATAAAGTATTGATTTTTATTATTGATTCAATAGTTAATGGGAGTTGTTGATATAAACAAAGATGGTTAGATATCATTTGATGAATTTTGGAATTGGTGGCAATTTGGAAAAAATGGTCATTTAGAAAAATTAGTTTTTATGAAACTGAAGCTCATGAATTTACTTAAGAAAGTTAATTCAGAATTTACAAGATTTGGAATTTCATTCTTTGAGAAATAAGATAGAAATTTTGATCATCATTATTGGGCTATAAATTATGGAGATTAACCTTGTCATTTAAGAATTGATAGCAATATATTATATAATGGCAAAGGAATTACTGAAGCTTTAAATAATGAAAATAAACTATTGAAAGGAGTTTAGTTAATTTAAGGTAAATATTTTGATCTAACATTAATTATTCGTGCTCTATAACCTGAAATAGCTAAACAAAAATTTTAATAATTATATGATAGTTTTATGTAGAAATTATAAAATGAAGGATCTGAAGAGGCTAATGAAGCTCTTGAATTTCTTTCCAAATGTGAATTATAAATTTCTGCTAATACAGACAGTGTAATTATTATTATTATATTATTTTAGTTAATTCTTTAATTTACAATTAAACATCCTTTAGTTTAAGATTTTATTGAAACTTAATACAGTCCTTTTTTAGATTAATTAGGAGAAGATCTTGAAATTTAATTAGAATTAAATCTTGGAGTTAAAAATGGATTAAAGAAAATGATGAAAAAGAATTAAATTTTTATTAAATATTTGCTAGAAGGTTTTTTAATTGAATTCAGAGCTAAATTTAATTCATCATTAGCTAAAAAAGTATTTAATCTAGGACTTTTTTTACTTTAATCAGCTTAAAGCAAAAAAATGTAATAAAAAAAACTTCTATCAAAATTTAAATAAGGATTTACATTCCCTCTTCTTTTTAAACATTCAAAATTTCATTTATAATTTAAAAATATGGAAGATGTAGATGCCTTTCTTAAATCTTTAGGTTTAGATGAATTAGTAGAAGATTAACCAAATGCAAGAGATTTATTATAAGAAATTATATAAGAAGATGAAATAGAAGAATTTAAAAATCCAGAAGAAGATGCTTATATCTTATATCAATTTTATTAATTTGGAAAGCAATATCTAATAGCTAAAGGATAAGCATTTGCATTGTTCCCAAATGCATTTGCTAAATTTGATTTTAATTTTGATGGTTTAGCAGATGTCATGGAATGCATATTTAGAGAAGATGCAGAAAGTTTAAAAAAACAATAGAAATGATTATAAATTACATGAATTCCAATATAAAAAACATATCAATTTTATTTCATTTATTTTCTATTCTTAAATTAAAAAAATAATGGAATAATTATAGTAGGTAAATTATTAATAATAAATTTTATTACTTTTCATGAATTTAAGAAAATTTTCTTAATAATCTTATTTCAAGTAAAAGACATTAAATTTAGATAAAAATGATATTATTAAAGAAGAATAAGAAGAAACAAAAACAAGTTAAAGTAAAAAAATTTTGTTATGAAGATTTAAAGCACAAAAAATGTATTACATAGACATCTGCTTCATCTTATATTAAAAATACTTCATCATAATGTAAAAAAAAAATAATCTATAGTATTTTAGAAATTCAAAGTTTTATATCTAGTACATCTCCATAATAGAAATATAAAATTAAATAAACAAATTAAATTAGCACAGTGTCTTAGTTTACTATTGATAATAAATAAATATAGTCTTAATCTGAATAACAAGAAGCGATTGGTAGATTACTTAGATGGGGGAAGAAAAAAGAAGAGAAAATTAAAGAAAAATAAGAAAAATATTAAAATGAAGAAAAGAATAAAATTAGTGACAAACCAGAATTATCAAAAGAAACCATTAAAATATATGAATCAGGATTAAAACATCATTTCGAATTGAATAGTTTTATCAAATTTAAACATTAATTCACTTAAATATCGAATGATTATTAACCTCTAGTAAAATTTGAGAAGTTAAAAAAAGGAAAAAAAGTTATAATTGAAAATGAAGAAGAAATTGAAGATAAGCCTTAAAATTTTAATGATAAAACAACTTAATATAAATTGAGTGATTAAATATAGTTTGAAGCTTTAATATCATCTGATAGAAAATCTCGTAATAAATCTGATTATACATCTATCCCAATTCATTTGAGATATGAATATGAAATAAAACTAAAAAACGCCAAATTAAAATAAATGATTGATATCAAAGAAAAAGCTTTTTAACAAGAATTAGCTAAAAGTATTACTAATTAATATTAAAGAACATAATAGTACTGCAGAATAATTTGAACATTTCTTGAGTGAACAGGAAAATTTCTTAAAAAAAAAATAACAATTTTATGATGCTAATCTAAAAAAAGAATTAGAAAAAATATAAGAAATTGATTCATAATTTTCTTATAAACCAGAAATTAATTTTCCGCCTATTTCAATGAAAGCTCCTATAAATCAAAATTCTGATGAAAAATTTAACGAAAAGCTTCATTCACTTGGAGAAAGGCAATAAAAATAAAAACAGATTTACTTTTTTAGATCTACTTTACCTGATTTAAAGAGAAAACCCAACCCCATAAAATATAATGATGTAAATAATAATATTATAAAGCAGATTCTCCATAAAAGGGACAATTTAACAGTGTCTCAAATTTAATTTCAAACAGAAAGTTGATAATTGATTACTTATATCAAGTTAATGCATATATATTCACAGTTTATTAAAATAAAGGATTGTTTAATATTTAATCTATTGTAAATCTTTAACTAACATTTTTTTCTAAACATCCTTTAATTAAGTAAGCAATATTTTAATTCATATCGTTTGGCAATTTAACTTTATTCTATTGTATTGCTCTATACAATTCTTTATCATTTTACCCTCTAAAAGGATATTCTCCAAAAAGTATTCGATATAATAATATTCCTAATGACCAAATATCTGAGCATATTGGATTATGAGGAACCTAAATTATTATTATTTTTACTTTTGAAACCAATTCAGGAGACATATAACTTGGAGTTCCACAAAAAACATTAACTTTTTAATTATCTGAAATACATATTGAAAAACCAAAATCTATTAATTTAACATAATTGTCTGTTAAAAGAAGTATGTTTTCCATTTTAATATCTCGATGAGCAATATTTTTGTTATGTAAATATTTTATTGCATTAGCCAATTATTAAAAAATGTATAGGCCTTCTTGTGTTGGTAATAATCTTTTTGATTTTGATTTCACATACACTGCTAATGACTAATTAGATATATATTCCATCACTAAGTTGATCTATGATATATTAATTCATACTGATTTTCTATCTTCTATAGCATATATTAATTTAATGATGTTACTATGATTTATTCTTTTTAATATTGAAATTTCTCTTTTTATATTGTTCATTTTTTGATTGTCAGATATTTTACTTTTATCATATATTTTTATAGCATATTTAACTTTACTATTTTTTTCAACACATAATCTTACAGTTGCATAAGAACCTTATCCCAATATAGATTCTAACCTAAAATTTCCAATCTAAATTTCTTAATCACATAATTAATTTAAATCTAAATTACTTTTTACTATTTTTTTTGGCTATTATTCTTATTTTTCTTCTGTATAAATTGCTAGAATGTTTGTGATCTTACAAAATGGTTTTTTCACAATTGTTTAAGAATTAAACTATATTTTTGGATTTGATAGTATTTTATTGTTTTCTTTTTCTTATTAGGTGTCTTAACTCATTTTTTTTTGATTTTCAAATGCATTTGTTTTTAATTTGCTTACAAATGAAATCTTACTTTCTATATTGGATAATATTTTGTTAGCTAATCTATTCTCCTTATTATTCTCAAATTATAGTATATCATAATGATTCATTGATGTTTGACTTATGTTATTTTGATTCTTTAAGGTGTGTTTCATATTTAATTAAATAACGACACTAATTTAATAATAATTAAATTAAAAGAAAAATATACCTCTTTAGATTAATAATTGGATTGAAATTTAAAATATAAATTACCATAGAATAATTATAAATTATTCTTGGTTTTTCTCAAAATAATCATTTTCTTTAGTTTATACTTTAAAATAAATATATATGAAAATTGAGGTTAATTGAGTATTACAAGACCTCTAATAGATTAATATTAATTAATTATATTTAAATATGAATTAAATAAAAATGATTAATAATATGATTATATATACTTAAAATCAATCATGCTATTTTACTTAAGAGTTCACCTTTTGCTTCTAATTCTTTTACATTTGAGCAACCACCAATAAATTACTTCTTTATAAATACTAAAGGGATTGTATCGTATTTTAAGAAATTCATCAATTTTTATTTTTCTTCATCATATACTTTATTTTCATCAACATTCCTATAATCAATCTAAACTTTTAATTCTTCAAAAATCTTTTTAACTTTAAAACAATATGGACAATTATCTGAACCATAAACAACTACTGGGTTTTAGCTTTAAATTTCTTCTGGTTTCATTAGTTTTGATGAATCACTTCCCATTGAAAATATATTAATTTATGAATTAAATTAAAGTAAAATAAGAATTTAAATTATGTGTAAATCATTAATACATCATTTTTATTAATTCTACTTAGACTTGTACCTATCTTATCCATTTTTTCATCTAAATTATTTTATTACCTTATCTTTTACTATTATTTAATTCAAAGCTTAAATTATCAATATTATAAAAGAATATTAAGAAAATAATAATTTATCGATTAAAAATAAAATTAAAATTAAAATAAAATTTACTGGCAGTATCTATCTTTTGTCATTGATCTAAAAAATTTGACTACTTCATTTTTATAGTAAACTAACAATTTAACATGTAATAGAAATGTTCAGAGATAAATTTAATATAAGTAAATTCAAATTAATAATAAATCTTAATTGTATTAATGATTTAGACAAAACTATTGTTGAAACAATTAAGCAAGGAAAGAAATTTAAATTTTTTTTATTTCATTTGAATCTTTATTAATTCTAAAAATTTTAATATAAAAGTTATCTATTTTACAGTAAGCGAAATAGTTTTCACTTATTAAACTTCATTCGATCAACATAAGATTAGCTCATTGTTGTTCTAAGTAAAAGAAATCTGAAATTTCAATAAGTAAGGCAATTCTGCATATTCATTCTCTTAGATATTTCATCAGATTATTCAAGTAGAATATAAATAGAATTAAGAGAAATTGAAAACAAAGAAGAGTTTTTTGTTTGTTTAACAAATTGCTATGTATTTTGATATTATTTTATTAACTAATATACAGAAAAACATTTAAGCTCATGGTTGTAGTTTCATATCATCTTGATTTAAAATAATAAAACTCTTATGGTTTAGCAATTTTATTAAATATTTCTCCAATTTAGGATAAATATTTTAATTTCTCTGATAAATCACTCCGTAAGACTTATGCATAAGCATGTTTAGAATAAAATTCTATAGAGAGTTTTTAAAATAATAATTTGAACATATCTGAGCATTATTCTCCTTTTGGATCAAAATGACAAAGAATGTACATGTCTTGAATAGCTTTGACTTCTAATTATTTAAGCCAAATCCAAAAATGTGGTTTTAAGTTAATGTTCTCTTAAAAGAAATTATCAACTATTTCTTTAGCTTCTATATTTTCAAGCATATAATTCATATGATTTTATAATAGCACGTTCTAAATTTTTTTTTCCTCTGTTATAAAATATAATAATATTATAATACCATCAACAAGGAAAATTCCTTTTTATTAGATTTCAATCTATTTTATTAACTCTTCCACTGCATCATTTCTATTCTCTTCAATCCTAATTGAAGGATTATTAATTGTTCTTAATTATTTATTTGAATATGCCTATTGAATTAATTATTATAGAAAACTTAGAGGAATTGTCACAGTTGGATCTTAACGTGGCTACTTTAAATCATAATTTTACTGAAATTTCCTCAGCGGGTTAAAAACGCAAATTCAATTGAGGATATTTTTGTTTCTCTTCACTATTTCCTACTACTTTATTGTGAATAATTTTTATTGGTGCATATTTCAAATGTACATGATTTTTTCCATTTACATTGCAATGATTGNAAATTTTTTTTATTTCATTTGAATCTTTATTAATTCTAAAAATTTTAATATAAAAGTTATCTATTTTACAGTAAGCGAAATAGTTTTCACTTATTAAACTTCATTCGATCAACATAAGATTAGCTCATTGTTGTTCTAAGTAAAAGAAATCTGAAATTTCAATAAGTAAGGCAATTCTGCATATTCATTCTCTTAGATATTTCATCAGATTATTCAAGTAGAATATAAATAGAATTAAGAGAAATTGAAAACAAAGAAGAGTTTTTTGTTTGTTTAACAAATTGCTATGTATTTTGATATTATTTTATTAACTAATATACAGAAAAACATTTAAGCTCATGGTTGTAGTTTCATATCATCTTGATTTAAAATAATAAAACTCTTATGGTTTAGCAATTTTATTAAATATTTCTCCAATTTAGGATAAATATTTTAATTTCTCTGATAAATCACTCCGTAAGACTTATGCATAAGCATGTTTAGAATAAAATTCTATAGAGAGTTTTTAAAATAATAATTTGAACATATCTGAGCATTATTCTCCTTTTGGATCAAAATGACAAAGAATGTACATGTCTTGAATAGCTTTGACTTCTAATTATTTAAGCCAAATCCAAAAATGTGGTTTTAAGTTAATGTTCTCTTAAAAGAAATTATCAACTATTTCTTTAGCTTCTATATTTTCAAGCATATAATTCATATGATTTTATAATAGCACGTTCTAAATTTTTTTTTCCTCTGTTATAAAATATAATAATATTATAATACCATCAACAAGGAAAATTCCTTTTTATTAGATTTCAATCTATTTTATTAACTCTTCCACTGCATCATTTCTATTCTCTTCAATCCTAATTGAAGGATTATTAATTGTTCTTAATTATTTATTTGAATATGCCTATTGAATTAATTATTATAGAAAACTTAGAGGAATTGTCACAGTTGGATCTTAACGTGGCTACTTTAAATCATAATTTTACTGAAATTTCCTCAGCGGGTTAAAAACGCAAATTCAATTGAGGATATTTTTGTTTCTCTTCACTATTTCCTACTACTTTATTGTGAATAATTTTTATTGGTGCATATTTCAAATGTACATGATTTTTTCCATTTACATTGCAATGATTGTTATCTGATTCAAAATTTTATTTAGAGGAATGATAACGTTCAAAACTCATAAATAAAGACAATAAATTATAAATAAATTATTATAATAGAGCAAAATAATAAAAAATTTATATAAAACAGGATTTTCAAAATGAAATATAATCAAAAATTAGGTAGAATTCATTAATAGATTTGATTTTTATTATCTTTATATTTTTTTACTGATTATTGTGGTACAGTGTTTAAATTAATTAATTTCTTTAAAGAATTAAAAATTTTAACAGCTTTATCTAATTAATAATCATCTATGATTTCATCTTTCTTATTTTTAAATTACTTAGAAGTCTATGAATTATTGATTTGAATTACATTTTGATTAAGATTAATTTGTATGGAACAACAATTTTATGGATGAAAAGAAGTCTACTTTAAAATTGGTTTAATCTATGTAGGTTTATTTCTTTCAGAATTGATTTTTGAAATTAATGTATTAAGTTTAGGATTTTTTAATCTAAAATATGAAATGATTAATTTACTTCGCTTAAGAGTTATTGATCTCATTTGTTTTTGTCTATTAAACGGCGAGATTAGATTATTTCTTCATTTATAGAATATTATCTGGTTATATTTTAGGTTTGTTTGTAATTTTATCTTCAAGTGCTTTTTTTTAGTTTGAATAACTCTTAATAGATTCTGCTAATTTTGAATATGAAATTTCAGAAATTTGATTAAGTTTAGAAAAAGTTTATTAACTATTATGAGAATTTTAAATTTTATTTATTGAAATTTAATGATTTGACTTCGAAACATCTGTTTGATTATATTAAGTAGGAACAACTTGTAAATAATTAAAATCATTATTAGAATTTATTAATTAAGTTTTATTAAGTGAAGACCGATACTCCTCAGTCATTTTTTAAATTTCTAAATCAATATAGCCAATATCTTAAAGCAAAGAATTTTTAATTATATTTTAATCTAATTTTGGACTTGAAATTTTATCTTAAGATTGATTAATCTTATCTCTATAAGTCTAAGGTTTAGATTGTGATATGAGAATGAAATTTTTGAATGTCTATTTAGATTTTGGTTGATATTTTTGATTGATTAGATTTTCCAAAACTATTTTCTGTCTTGAGATAGCATTGTTTAGTAATACCTGATTTAAATTTAAGTGGAAGATTGATAATCATAGAAATGACTCATTCAACAATTTAGTATTTTTATAATTAATTTGTATATTCATTAAGATAAAAAATATTTACTAGCATTGACAACATGGATTTATTGTGTAAAAAAAGGATTGTTTTCTTAATTAGAACCAAAAAGGGAGTGTTCCATTTCTTCTAATGGTATTTACTTTGGACGTTGAGGTTTTTCTACCTCAAAGATTCTATAAACTACATCCTTTCTATTTTATCTATAGGCATTGGCAATTTAAGAACTTGTTGTCATGACATCATCATCAACTGATGTTTTATTCAGTTTCTTTTAAAATATTGAGGATATATTAAGATCAGAATCTTGGAATACTCTGAAGATAGCTTTTTAATTATTTGACTCTAGATAGACTCTGCCTAGAGTGTATTATTATATTTTTTTGTTTAATTGATACTTTTTCTACACTATTAATTAAGAAGGATAAATTTTACGTAAACTCTCTAAGAAATTGCCTTATGGTTTTATTTCAGTTAGATCGATTAATGGAAAATGCTTACTACTATTTCTTTATTTGATTTCTGTAAAACAGACTTCTTCACTCATTAATTTTATTATTGAAGTGTTTTTTTTATTTGAAATACTTCAAATTTTATAAATATTCTATGAATAAGAATAGTTATATAAATATTAATTAATTAATTTGAAATGGTTGTTATTCAAATAATTGTTTAATATTTATATAAAGTTTTTGAGGTTTGATTGGAATGTGAATAATAATTTGTAATAATATAAATATTAATGAGATATTAGTAATTAATAAATCATGCAATTGATCTAATAAAATCATATAATGCAGTGATTTAAACTCCTGATTCTCATTGTGAGTAATATATATAGGAGAAGTGTAAGAAATTATTTGATACAGAAATAATGTTTCTGAAATAAGTAAAACATTTGATGTTAGTATCAGGTATTTTCAGGAGTATAAAGATATGAGGAATTTCTAAAGATATTGACAAAAACAATGTTTACAATATTATCAAGCACTACAAATCGTAATGATGGAACTTTATATTAAATATTTTCATATTTGATAATTTTTAGATTGGATGAATTACCATATAACGAATTCAAAAAAATGGTGAATGAATAGGATCCTGTGAAGATGAATGTTTTATTATAATTTCTATTTGATATTGAGAAAAATGAAACATAAATAAAACCTTTATGGATAGAAATATATGATCCTTAATACATTTAAGAAACTGTTATTGGTGGTCTTGAATAACATTTTACAATGATGAAAGATTTATTAAGTTCTTTAAGTTCAAGAGCAACATGTAAGTAAAGTGATTTAGTTGAAGAAGATGAAAGACCTTAATCTGCTGCAAAAAAATAACCAACTAAAACAATTCCATTTAAATTAAGTGAAACTAAAAAGAAACCTGAAACTCCACCTCCTCCTAAACCTTAATAATATAAAAGTAAACCTGTTCCAAATTATCTTAATAAAAGAACACTCTAATAAGTTGAAGAAGAAAATAAATTAAGATTAGAATAATCAAAAAAAAAAGTTTAAGAATCTTATAAGGAAGTTAAATAATTTGAACTTAAAACAGAATAAAGACCTACTAATTATGAAATTGTCAAAAAAGAAGTTGAAGATACTTTAAATAAATAATTATAATTTAATATGAAACATTTCAGACCTGTTCCAACTGAATTAGAATAAGCAGAAATTAAATTAAATGCTGCAGCTATTTTAAGAGAAGAAATGTTATTAAAGAAAAAATAAGAATAAGAAAAAGAAAGAGTTAAAAATTTAGAAGTAAATCTTAGAGATTCAGGAGAATTTGAAGAATGGAAAAAATAATAAGATTAAATTGAATATATTGCTAAAATAGAATATTAATAATAAAAAAAGATTGAAATGGAATTAGCAAGAGAAGCAGCTATGAGAGCTTAAGAAGATAAATTTAAAGAAAATAGAATATTAGCTGAAAAAATGAAAGAAGAAGCAATAGAAAGATTAAAAGAAAGATAAGAATTATAATAAGAATAAGTAGAACATAAAAAGTAATTGATTGAACAAATTATAGAAGCAGAAAAGAAAGTTTATATATAAGTTGAAAAAGTATAAGAAAAAAATAAATAAATGGCAGAAGAATAAAAATTAGAAATGGCAAGAAAACTTGAATTAAAAAGATAAGAAGATGAATAAATTAGAATAAAAAGAGAAGAACTTATTAAATAAATTAGAGAATTAGAAAGATAACCAATTAAAAGAACAAAAGGATATGATCCTACTGAAACTATGGGTTATGGATTATTAGAAGAAATGTCATTAGCAGAATTAAGAGATAGATTAAATGTTGTTAAAGCTGAAAGAAAAGTAGAAGAAGAAGAAAAAAGAAAAGAAATTGTTTAATCTAAAGATGATTATTTATTATCAATGTAAAAGAAAGTATAGGATATTAAAGAACATAGAAGAGCAGAATCATAATAAAAAAATATGGAAAGAGAAGCTAAGAAATTCAAAAAATAGAAAGAAGAAGATTTAAAAAAAAAAATAAGAGAAGATTAATTACTTGAAGTTTAAAATAAAATCAGTTCCAAAAAATAAATTAAAAGTACTGAAGAATAAAGAATTGCTGCTGATGTAAGAGAAACTAAACTAAGATAATAATATATGAATGCTAATAAAGCTATGGTTGAAATGAAGGCTTGGAAATCTTAATAAGATGGTAAATAGTTTTATTATTTTAGGATTGGAAAGGGAAATTCAAAATAGACAAAATGAAAAATTAATTCTCTAAGAAGGAGTAGAATCTGTTAATTTAAAAGAAAGAAAAATACTTGCTGAATAAGCCAAAAAATTAGTCAAAGAAAAAGTTGATTTTAATGAAGCTTATGATAAAGAACTGAAAACTGCTTATTAAAGGAACGAATAACTTAATCAAGAAGAAGCTTAAAATAGAACATAAATGCATAATATCTAAAAAGAATGGAAGCAAGAACATACTAAAAATATGATTACAAGAGATGAATATAAATAGAAAATCTCAGAAATCTCTTTAAATAATTCAAAAAAAAAATCACAATAATAATAAAAAATCTAATTCTAATAAAGTAATCAATTAGAAAAACTACCATCCTCATAATATTCATGATTAATATCAAATTGTTATTTTTAAATATTGTAATATTTTTCCTATTTATTTATGTATCAAAGCTATAATTAATTTTCATCTTAAAAGATAAATTTCTATACTTTCTTAAAATTTAAATATTTAGATTTGATTTTTGATAATTTTAAAAATACTTAGTCAAGATAATAAAGTAAATTAATTTATTATCCACAAAATTTAAAATAATTAGATATACTACTAAATCTTAAAGAAGAGTTTTTTGTATTAATTTTAATCTATTTAGCTTTAATACTAATTAATAATAGTAAAAAAATCATTTTCGATACAATTATAATTCAATTATTTCTAGAATTGTTAATTAGAAGATTATATCTATTCTTAAACATATCCTCGCAATCTTCTTATGATTATATTCCATTATTCAAATCATTATTGGATTCCAAAAATTATTTTTACAAAATCTATTTTTCTAATTGTCATTTTGATTCATTATTTTATATGGCTTATTTATTTCTTTTATAACTTCCATTTTTTAATAAGTTTGATTGACTAATTACTTTTGTAATAGATTATTTTATTGAACTCATCAATTCTTTTCTTTTCTATTGAGCCAACATAATTAAATTAAATTCTTCTAATTATATTATCAGCTTCTTAATTTTAGAATCAATATTTGCTAATATTTTTTTCTTAAAAAGGAATATTATCGATAGATAAGTGTGCTACTTCTGTAGAAATAAGTTTAAAATTTTGCATCAAAATTCATTTTTCAATTAGAGAATTATGATGAACCTATNTAAGAAGGAGTAGAATCTGTTAATTTAAAAGAAAGAAAAATACTTGCTGAATAAGCCAAAAAATTAGTCAAAGAAAAAGTTGATTTTAATGAAGCTTATGATAAAGAACTGAAAACTGCTTATTAAAGGAACGAATAACTTAATCAAGAAGAAGCTTAAAATAGAACATAAATGCATAATATCTAAAAAGAATGGAAGCAAGAACATACTAAAAATATGATTACAAGAGATGAATATAAATAGAAAATCTCAGAAATCTCTTTAAATAATTCAAAAAAAAAATCACAATAATAATAAAAAATCTAATTCTAATAAAGTAATCAATTAGAAAAACTACCATCCTCATAATATTCATGATTAATATCAAATTGTTATTTTTAAATATTGTAATATTTTTCCTATTTATTTATGTATCAAAGCTATAATTAATTTTCATCTTAAAAGATAAATTTCTACTTTCTTAAAATTTAAATATTTAGATTTGATTTTTGATAATTTTAAAAATACTTAGTCAAGATAATAAAGTAAATTAATTTATTATCCACAAAATTTAAAATAATTAGATATACTACTAAATCTTAAAGAAGAGTTTTTTGTATTAATTTTAATCTATTTAGCTTTAATACTAATTAATAATAGTAAAAAAATCATTTTCGATACAATTATAATTCAATTATTTCTAGAATTGTTAATTAGAAGATTATATCTATTCTTAAACATATCCTCGCAATCTTCTTATGATTATATTCCATTATTCAAATCATTATTGGATTCCAAAAATTATTTTTACAAAATCTATTTTTCTAATTGTCATTTTGATTCATTATTTTATATGGCTTATTTATTTCTTTTATAACTTCCATTTTTTAATAAGTTTGATTGACTAATTACTTTTGTAATAGATTATTTTATTGAACTCATCAATTCTTTTCTTTTCTATTGAGCCAACATAATTAAATTAAATTCTTCTAATTATATTATCAGCTTCTTAATTTTAGAATCAATATTTGCTAATATTTTTTTCTTAAAAAGGAATATTATCGATAGATAAGTGTGCTACTTCTGTAGAAATAAGTTTAAAATTTTGCATCAAAATTCATTTTTCAATTAGAGAATTATGATGAACCTATTTCTAGATTATCAAATCTACATTGTTTTGTTTAACTCTTGCATTTTTTTCTGTCAGTTTATTAATTAGTTTTCATTTGAATTACATTAAAATAGTATAATTTTTGAATTAACTTTATAGAAGATCAATATTGGATTATTTAGGATCTAGAAATCAAAATTGCTCTAACATTTCTACAATTAAAATAATTAATTTCTTTTGCAAATTTTATATTAATGCAATTAAAAATAAAGCTATTGCTGACATAATTGATGTTATAAAATTTAATAAGTTTGATTTAATCTGGAAATCAAGAGAGTAAGGATATAATGATTGTGATTAAAAATGCAATTGGACTATTATTGAATTTAGTAATTTTTTGTCTAACTTATTCAAAATAGAGAGAGTACATTATTAATTCAATCGTACAATTCCAAATAATTTTTTCATTGGAAATAATATTTAACAATATTCATAACATAAACAATTATTTCCTACTAATCTATTTACTGTAAATTGAGGATATTTTGAAAAATAGCATTAAATGTTATTAAATTTTGACTCATCTACTCTGTTTATACATATCTATAAGGATGATGATCTAATTTTACTATCAATTTGCTACATTTGAATTTATTTAGTTAGTTCTCTGGTAACCTCTCAACCATGTTCTTATACATTTAGACAAATTACCAAAGGTATAAAGTCCTATCAGTCCTAATAATTCTTTATAAAAGCAATCTAATCCTCATGCTCACTTAAGTTATGTTGATCATTAATAATAATAGAATTTATTAGATGAAAAATCACCACATCCAGAAAAAGAATTAAATGTTGCTTTGGATGAAGATCTTCTTAATTGTCTACCATATGGATTAGCATTAATAGATAAAAATTATCATGTACATCATCATAATGAAAAACTATTAAATTATTTAATGGTTTAATAAACAGAATAGATTGTTAATTCTTTAGATTAATTATTATCTAAGTAAATCTTCTTTTTTAATTTTTATAGTGCTGAATTAAACTCTTTTAAAACTCATTTCAATACCAAATATAAATCTCCTATAGTTCCTATTCGTAAACTCAAACAAAGTTCTGCTAACCATTATTAAGTTGGTTCTGGAAAAACCTTAAATTAAACTAATTGGCTTTCTGATCGTTTAAAAGTAAATTTAAAGAATAAAGAATCATTCTAATCTAGTATTCAAAATGAAATGACATATTCATATGTACAATTTGTTATGAATGAATTTTAATCTAATATTCATCGATAAATGAGTAATGGATAAGATAGTCAATCCAAAGAGTCTGAAACTACACATATGTTTTAATTTCATGTAGTTTAGGATCTAAAAACTAAAAAGAAACATTATTAAATAAAAGTCTATGAAGTTAAGTTATAGGCTAAACCTAAAGATCCAGTATATTTATTTGTAATAGAAAATATAACAAATAAAGAAGAACTTAAAGAACTAACTTTTAGATTCAAATTTCAATAAGCTTTATTAAATTCATTTAGTCATGAATTAAGAACACCATTAAATTGCTCTTTACCTTTATTGTAAGTTTTAAGTTAAAAAATTGAAGAAAATCTTTATGCTTCATTTTTATTGCCTGCAATCACATCAAGTAAAAGATTATTATTGTAAATAAATGACATATTAGATTATGCTTAGATAGAATGTTAAGATTTTAAACTCAATTAAGATAAATTTTATGTTAAAGAATTATTTAATGATTTATAGGAATTATTTTAATCAGAATGTTAATAAAAGTAAATTGAATTGATCTTAAATTTTAATAGTTAATTATAAATTTACAGTGATAAAATAAGAATTACTTAAATCTTAGTCAACTTAATGAATAATTCAGTTAAATTTACAAAATAAGGTGGTAGAATAGTTCTTTCAGTCAAAAAAAGAGATAATTAATATTTGTTTTCAGTATGGGATAATGGAGAGGGAATTAGTAGTGATTAAATGTTAGAAATGTAAAATTAGAATCATATACAATAATAATAAAATGTTTCGAATAAATTAGGATTAGGTCTAAGAGTTTCTAAAGGAATAGTAAAATATTTAAGTGGAGATGGAGAATTACAAATTAAAAGTGAAAAAGGATTTTATACTGTTGTGAGTTTTTATATAAATGAACAAACAAAGATAGGGATATAAGAAGTTGGTTCTTCTTTAAAAGATATAGAGGAAATTGGTTCTAATACTAAAGATTCAATTTAAAGAGTTTATGTTTCTTCAAAAACATTTTTAAATTAATAATGCAAATGTTCATAAATATTGATAGTTGATGATGTACCATTTAATCATATAGCATTACTTGCATTATTATCAGCTTATGGATGGAAGGCAGAAAGTTCATATGATGGGGATTCTGCAATTCGAAAAGTTAAATAAAAATTACACAGTACTTGTTGTAAAATCTTTAGATTGATTTTTATGGATATTGAAATGCCAGGGAAAAATGGATTTATTGTTAGTAGTGGAGTATTCATACATAAATTAATTAGAGATCTCAGAAATTCTTCATAAAGAAAAATAAAGTACAATTATAGTAATGTGTTCAGCTTACAATGGATAAGAGAATATCTAAAAGGCTCATGAAAGTGGAATGCATGAAATCTTATCTAAACCAATTTCATTAGATGCTTTGTAAACTTTATTAGGAAAATACTTTTATTGATATATTATTATAATTTTATGAGTTCCTAACACAAATTCTTTAAATTATTTTAGCTAACTCTCATTCATTTAATATTATTCGTAGCTAATTTATAATAAATTAATTTTTGTTATTAATGATTTATGATAAAGTATATTTATAAAATATATAATTATATTTTTAATGTTCATAACTTTGGAACAACCATTACTTAAAAAAAAATAAACGGAATCTAGAAGAATAAGTAAGAATGTTTAAATGCAAACTTTTAATTATACATAATAAGAAGAAAATAATTCATAACTTGAAGATGTTCCAATAACAACAAAGAAATTCTTGCGCTATACAAATGGTATTGAAGCCTATTTAAATACATTTCCTTCTTTTAATCCTGATCATTGGGCAATATTTTCTTGGCGTTTATTTATTTGTTTCATAGTAATAATTTATTTCTATTTAATACCTGTATTAATGTTCTTTGGATATGAAGTAAATTAAATCTTATTAATATAGATAATCTCAGAAAATTTGCGTATTGAGAATATTGCTGTATTTTTGTATATAATGATATTTTTTTTGATGATTGATGTTTTCATCACATTAAATACTGGATATTATGATAAAGGATAGATGGTATTGGAAAAGCATAGTATTTTTGTTAGATATGTAACTTAAGAATTTCTTTTTGATATAATTGCAATTGTAGCATTAATTTTACAAGTAGCATTTCGTGATCATTATGCCTTTTTAATTTGGATTCCATATTTTTTTTACTTTAAATACTATTATGTAACATTGGTTGATTCTTAAGTAGAGTAATTATTATAAGTGTAAAGAAAACTTAGAGCATTTTATTAGATACTAAAATTAGTTTTAACTATATTTTTTTTAGTAAATTTGTTTGCTTGTTTATTTTATGCAGCAGGAGATTATTGGATAAATTAACGATCAGATTATGGATCATGGCTTATTTCATCTGGATTATAAAATGATATTTATTCATTGCCAGTATCTGTAAAATATGAATATTCATTTTATTGGGCTTTAACAACAATGTTAACAGTTGGATATGGTGATGTAACAGGAAAGAATCCTTTAGAAATATTTGTTTCAATTATAACTATGATTTTTGCTTGTGTTATATTTGCAATGATTGTAAGTGCATTTTAGAATGTCTTTTCAGAAATTACACATCACAATATGTAATTTGACAAAAAAATGACTGATATAAATAGATTTATGAAAGATAAAAATGTAATTTAAATTTATTAATCTAGATTGATTTAGAAACCTAATAAAAAGTAAGAAGATTCTTTAGTTTTATGTTTAGTGAAAAAGTAAGAGACTTTAATGAATAGATTCAAATAATAAATTAATTAGGACCTTAATTAAAAGATGAAGTAATTATGTAATCCTATGGTTTAATATTTAAGAGAACATTTTGGACGAGTCAGTTTTCTTTAGAGTATTAATATTTATAATAATTTATATAAGTTTTTAAAAGAAAATTGCATATTTAATAAGTGAATAGATGTATTGTGATGGAGAGATGGTTTTTAAATAAAATTTTAGTAGTTTAAATGGAAATAATGATGATGATTGTCTTTATTGTGTAAGTATTGGACATATTCAATTATATCTTTAATTTGAAGATTAAGATATGGTATTTTATGAAGGAGAATAAGATTCTATGTTTGGAGAACTAGGATTTTTAACAGGAAATTAAAGAACATTATCAGCAAAGAGTACAACTATTTCTTAATTATACAAACTAAAAAGAATGGAATTTATTTAATTATTATAATAATTTCCTCTTGATTTTTAATACTTTTGTTAATTAAGAGATTAAATATTATTTGGATAATATAATTTGATTAATTTAAGTTGTTTTTGTTGTTAATCAAGTAACCATTTAGCTAATGATTGTCCAAAATCACATTATTATCCTAATAAGATATTTTTAATTAATAGAATAATGAATAATAAATAGGAAAGATCATAATTTAAAAGAAATAATATTCGTAAAGATAATTTAAATTTAAGAAAAATTTAGAAAGCTTAAGAATAAGTTAAATAAGAATTATCTTTTGTTTTTGATTAAGAAGAATTTGATCTACTTAGTAAATCATTTAGTGTTGATTTAATGCATGATAGTTAAAGTTAGATTAGTGAATAAGATATAAATCATGAACTTGATATAGTAAATGAAATTGTGAATAGATTGGAATAAAAGAAAAAATAAGCTTTAATAGAAATAGATACTAAATGTTCTTTTAAGAATTATTATCCAAAATTTAATGCAGAATATATTATCTAGCATTTTAAAAAAGAGAGAAGATTTACCAGAGCATTTACTAGATTTATTTGATTAATAATATATTATTATAAAATATGTTTTGCCGCTAACTTGTAAGGAGATTCTTTAATGCTAAATCAAGAGAGCCAATTGAGCCACCTTATCTTGAATTACAAAGAGATTTCCTTGAACCTTCAGAATTTTACTAAGAATTGTCAAAACATGGAGTTTCATTTTATGCAGGAGTTCCTGATTCTTTGTTAAAAGATTTCTGTGCTTATGTTTAAGTATAAATAAATAATATATTTTATAGGATAATGCTCCTCCAGGTTAACATGTTATTACTGTTAATGAAGGTACAGCAGTTTCAATGGCTGCTGGATATTATTTAGCAACCAAAAAAATTCCATGTGTTTATTTATAAAATAGTGGACTTGGAAATATTGTGAATCCTTATATGTCATTAGCTCATCCTAAAGTATATGGAATTCCTATGTTATATTTAATTGGATGGAGAGGAGAACCAGGAAAAAAAGATGAACCATAACATTTAGTTTAAGGAAAAAGAATGAATGGTATTCTAACTGAAATGGGAATTCAATATGATGTTTTACCTGATTATATTGAAGGTGCTGCAGAAGCACTTGATACTGCATTTTATTCTATGAAAACTAGGTTATTCAATATTTATTTATATTTTTAGAAATGGACCTTATGCTTTACTTGTTAAAAGATAATGTTTTACTAATTATAAATTGAAGAATATGGCTAAAAATAATTATTAATTAACTAGAGAAGATGCTTTAACTGAAGTTATTTAAAATACTCGACCTTTAGATGTTTGTGTTAGTACAACAGGTTTTCTAAGTAGAGAATTGTTTGAATTAAGATAACGTCTAAATTAAACAGGTGAATAAGATTTTTTAACAGTTGGATCAATGGGTCATGCTTCAAGTATTGCACTTGGAATTGCATAAGTCAAAAAGAGCAGATAAGTATATTGTTTAGATGGAGATGGAGCAATGATGATGCATATGGGTGCATTAGCATAAATTGGTAACATAGGACCAACTAATTATAAACATATCTTATTTAATAATTAGGCTCATGATTCTGTTGGTGCTTAACCTACTAGTAATCCTTTGGTTAATTTTACATAAATTGCACTAGGATGTGGATATAAAGATGCCTTCTAAGCTTAAACAAAAGAAGAAATTGTTAAAGGCATGGAAAGAGTAATCCATTTATTAATTATTAATAGTTAAATAAAAATGATGGACCAATTCTTATGGAAATCTTGATAAAACCAGGAGTTAGAAAAGATCTAGGAAGACCAACAACTTCAACATTCGAAAACAAAGAGAAATTCATGCATTTCTTAACATATTGATTCATTCTATTATATCTGAGTTATTTATTATAAATAATTATATATCTCATATTATTGTTTTACTATTTAAAATTTAATTTACCTGATTAAAAAAATAAATTATTATTTTCACTATTAAGATTCAATAATAGAATTTAGTATTAATCTTTTAAAGAGTTGATGATTTTCTGATAAAAATTTACCATAAATTTTATTTGCTAAATTTTAGCATTTTCCTGCTAATTCTAATTATCCAAGAAATTTTTAAATAACAGAAATATTATTTAAAATCTGTCCTTTTTCTATGGAATTAGTACTTAATCAATAATTTTAACAGTTTTACCTTATACATTTATAAGCTTAACAAAAGTAATAATATGATGTTTAAAGATCATACATCTAAGCATGTATTAATCCTAGTAAATTATAAGTTTCAAGTAGGGAATAATGATTCTCACATTTTCCACTTTATAATTTTAACTGTTAAACTTTAATTAAGAATTCTTTAGCTGTATCATATTTCTTAGATATGTAATGACATTCAGCTAGGATAAAATAAGCAGAATCTAATTTAGTTTCATCATTGATATATGTTTCTCTTAATAGAGATACAGCTCCATAAGCTAATTTTGTAGCTAAATCATAATTATCTAATGATATTAAACAAATATTAATACTCATCCAAGCACACATACGAGCTTATAAAAGTAAAGTTTTTGCAATATCTGCTTTCCATTATATTTTCTCAAAGTGTAATAAAGCCTCATTTAAAACTGCTTAAGACTCTCTTATTTAAAAATTAAGAAAATATAATTTAGATAATTCAAGCAATAATTTACCCGTAAAATTAGGATCATGAATATTGTAATTGTCTCTTATTCTTTATAACCAATAAATAGAATTTTAAAAATCTCCCATTTACTTATAAATTTTGGATAATAAAACAGATACTCTGAGTTAGTAAATAATTTCTTTTTAATAAGGTATTTCATTTTCAATATTTAACTTAATTGATTCTTATAATTTACTAAAAATATTATTTAAAAATGTTAGTTATGACTAAAAATTTGTTTATGACATTTTTTATTCAATATCAGTAAGCTTTATATTAATTGTATCTAAATTTAGAGTCTAATGTTCTTCATCTGATATTGTTTATATAGTTTGAATAATATTTGTATTAATAATAGGTTTAAACATTTCTTATTATAAGTTAGGTTCAAATCCATTGGTACTTATGATATTTTCAAAATTAATAGGATTAGTTGGTAAGTATTTTGATCCTGTCTATCCTTTCATAAAATCAATGTTTTGACATTCAGATTTTGTAAGTTCTTTTAGAAGAGTATTTGACACAGACTAAAGTGGTGAAACTATCTTAGAAATATTATCTAACTGGGTATAATAGTGATTTACATAATTACTAATTTGAGATGATTTGTTATCTTCACTATAGAGAGATGACGTATCTAATTATTTGGGCCAGCTTTTTTGTAGTTAAATGTTTTATGAGATTGACATTTTATATTATAATTTAAATATAATTATTAGATTAAATTTAATATTCAAGCTCCTTTAAAAAATCTAAATCCATCTCTTCCACCCCATAATCCTTTAACCATAAAATACCAATAAGCAAAAGGGAAGAAATCTTTTTTTAAATAAAACATTAATCGACTTTCATTTGATTGGAATATAGGAAATGTTTCATCTAATTCAGAATTATATTTAAATTCAGCTAATAATAATGTACTTTGACTAGTAAAAATAGGACATGAAGTATATCCTTTAATAAATTATTAAAATACCTTCATATTCTGGAAGAGGTTCTAATCCTTTTTTCCAAGTTCTAATCAAATTTTTGACTAAAATAGGTGTTTAAGCCATAACAGCTGCAGCAGTTTTAGATGTTGGTAATGATGAACAATCTCCTAATGACCAAATATTTTTATATTTAACATGTTATAATGTAGCAGGATGTACATTACAATATCCTGCAGCATCCCCTAATCCACTTGCAGCAATATATTTACCTGGTACCTATAATAAAATAATTATTTAATTTATATACTTGTGGTGGTACTAAATGTAGAAGATCAAATTGTACAGATTATAATTCTTTAGTGTCTTAATTTTCAAATATGGCAATATGATCTTATACTTCAACCAATTTTTATTTAAAATGACAATTTATTTATTTTCTCTAACATACATCTGCCAAAACTTCAGCATATTTTGGTACTCCAAAAATAAGTGCAGATGTTTTATAGAAATGAATATCAGACTTTATTCCTCTCTTTCTAAGTCTATCATGAGATAAATAAACTATTTTTTATGGAGCACCTCCACATTTTATAGGCATTTAAGGTTCAGAAAATACAAGTTTTCCACCTTCAAATTCATCAACTAATCTATTCATTTTTGAAGCATATTTAAAATGATAAATTGAAGCCACTGGTGAATTTGGATCTTCTAAATATTTTCTAGCCCCTAAAATGATTATTATTTAAATTTACCTTTGATCTAATCAAAATCTGTTCTTACTCCTGTTGCAACAACCAATTAATCATAAGTGTATTTCTCACCATCAAATGTCTATATTTAATTTTACTCAGGATTTATTCTTATAACTGGACTATCTGAAACAATCACATTTTTTGGTAAAACTTTTTCCATTGGTTTTAGAGTTTTGTTTATGTCATATAAACCACCACCTTTTATTTAATATTTATAATGTACCAACCATTGTCCAACCTGGTTAATACGTATGCATTTTCATTGGTTCAAAAATTCTAATCTATTATGGAATTGCATGTCCATCTGCTATTAATTGAGCTGCAACATTTAATCCAGCTGTTCCACCTCCTACTATTGCAACTTAAGTATGGACTTATCTTACTGAAAAAGCATATCCTCTTAAATAGTGCAATTTTATCATAATTTAATTTATTAATATCTTTTAACACTTTTAATATTTATATAAGGTTTATAATCATTTTATAATTAAAATTAATTTAATTCTTAAAATTTTATATTTGTTCTATTTTTAGAAGAATGCATTAAAAATCATCATTATTTATTTATATATATATAAATAAAATCAAATTAATATTAAATAATTAGTTCACTTCATAAACCATTTCTAAATTTCTTCATTAGGTTTGCATTATGTTTTTATTAAATATTTAATTTAGGAGTGGCTTATCTTAAGTATTATGGTTAAACTTTAATATAAAAATAATTATTACCTAAAGGAGTTTTAAATTAATCAAAATTAAGATTTGGCGTTAATGGAGAGATTTATTCACTCTGATTTGAATCAAATTTAGGTTTAGATAGAATTATATTTTATTTCTGTAATGTTTGTAATGGAGATTAATTTCTAAAATATTTATGTCTAAGTGCTTATTAAGCAGTAGGTCTTCTATTTGGAGATACTTATAATAATTATCTTAATAAATCTTTTCCCAAATCTGAACAATTTAATTTATCTGTATTCACATTACCTATCATATTTAATTCAAGAATTTCATCCTTTATAATTGAATAAAATGGATTTTTTCCTGTTAACAAAGTATACAGAATTATTCCAATACCATAAATATCAACTTTCTAATTATATGGTTATTTCTTTAAGACTTCTGGAGCCACATATCCTGGAGTGCCACAAAGAGTAAATAATTGTTTTTTTTCATTATTCACCTTTTCTGCCAAACCTAAATCACTAATTATCAAATCTTCTAATTTATCCTTATTTTTTAGTAATATATTCTCTGGTTTTAAATCACGATGCATATAATTAAGATTATGCAATAGACTTATTCCCTATAATAATTATTTAATAGCTTAAAATGCTGTTTTTTCTGTTAAAATATTTTCATTTTCTTTTAAAAATCTCTATAAATCACCACCTTTTTACTGTTCAAATACTAAATAAACTGCTTAATCTCCTTCATAAGTTTTTAATAGTTTGATGAAATGTTCATTTTTTATTAGCCTTAGAATCTCTATTTCTTATTATAAAGCCTTTGCTCCAATTTTTTATTCAAATTAATTCTTTTCAAATACTTTTATTGCATAATCAATTTTTGTACTACGATCTTCTGCAAAATATACCTATATATTTAAAAATATGATACTTTAGATTGTTGACTTTTAGAAATTAATCTATACAAAAAGAATTCATCATGAAAGTTAATCTAAATGCACATTTCTTACATTGACTCTAACCATTTCTCTATATGACCATACATATAAAACTTTAAGTTATTTTTCTTAACTAGTAATCCTTCTCCAACTATATTATTTTTCACTTTCTCTATAATAGCATTAGTTATATCTAAAACTTTTAAACCCTAACGTTAAATTTTAATATACTTTTTTTCTAGACTATTTTATTAGATAAGGCTAACTAAGAGAAATTTCTAAAAGTTTATAATGACTCTTCTCTTCTTTATAAATATGAAAGAGTCCTTTTAATGATATACTAAATTCTTTAGTTAAACTAGATTCCCATTAAAGTTCTTCATCATCAAAAAAAACTGACTTTGTTGATAAATTAGAGTCTTTTATCATGATACTTTCAATTTAATATTAATTTTATTACATTTAAAACATTATATTCTTGCTCAAATCTAAAATTTAGATTTGGGCAAGAATAGAGTATAATTATAACTTATTTAAGTCAAAGAATAATTTAAACAAATAACGAATTTACTGTTTCAAAGTTTTTTTTTCTTAATTTAGAGTTTCAATCTTTTAATTTATTCATATAAATGTAATTTTGATATTTTAAAAATATTATAATATAATTAACAAATAATAAAAAAATCATTATGAGAACTGACTTTTTAGTTGTTTCAAAATATTAATCAAAAACAAATTAAATTTATCTGAATCCACAAATTCGAAATCACATTCTTCAATTTATTTAGATATATTAAGATCTCTATGTTGAGCTTTTGGGTAATTAAACGATTAAATGATAAAACATTGATGACTTTTTTTATTTTATTGATCCAAAATTCTATCAAATAATCTTTAATAGTTCTAGATCAATTAAATCATTAAATTATCTAAGTTAATTTATTATTTTACTGCTCTTCTTTTAAGGATTGTGATTTAACACCTGATTCTTTATAAAATTATTAAACTTTTCTTAATTATTCCAAACCCTTTTTAATTATTAATGTTTAAGAGATTTACCTACTAAATGTGAATTAATATAAATATTAGATAACTTTATCAGTTTTAACATAGGTCTACAAATATAATAAACTAAAAGAAATGAAATAATTGCAAAAAAACAGCAAACTACTCCAGTTATGCCCATTTATTGTCTGAATTCAGAATAAATTCTATCCATTAATTTATTCAACATCTATAATAAAGAAGCCTAATCTTGAAGATTATTAAACATAATCAAATAATAGTTTAAACCTTTTATTTGTTTAGCAGATATAAAAACATCCTATTAATAAGCTGAATTATATAAACAAAGTTATCTTTATGAATAAGAAAATGATTAACAGGTGCTAACTGTTTAATTATAATTAATAAAATTTAAAATAGCTGTCCAATCAGATTTATTAAAACCAGTTGTTTTTTCATCATCAAATGACTCATATTTAGTTGAATTTGCTAAAAGAATATTTTTATAATTTGATATAATTAATTTTCCATCATAATTTACAATCATCATGTTGAGGTTGCTACTTTAAAAATATTTATTCTATAATTAAATATCAGCTGCAAATAAACCATCAACTTATTTTGTTTTATTAAAGAAAGACTAAGTCATTGTCATAGAATATACATCACTATCATTGAAATATTTATATATTTCAGATAATTAAGTATGATTCAAAGGATTTGATTTAAGATTCATAAAATGTGAATTATACCATGATCTTTTCTTAGGCTTATATGTTTAATATTTGATCCATTGAGGATAATAAAATGCAAATTCGTATTTATTACTATCAGATACCATAAATAAGTCATTTGGAATAAATTCTCCTGTCAAATCTATGGAAAGTATCATTTCATTAAATAAATGCGATAAATTTCGTAATTAATAATCTTATGTTGAATTTATATATGTAGTATCATCATTTAAAGAATGATAAATTATGCAAGAAAGGGGATAATAGTGATTTGGATCAAAAAAAGAGGCATTGTAAGGGCATAATTATGATATCGCAAAGGATTTATAATCTGTAGTATAAATAATTTAATTTAAAATGTTCAACTTGGTTAGTGTAATTTAACCTAAATTTTGATCTATATAAGTTACTTCTGGAATAAAAAAATAGAAACTATTTTTCAATTTGAATTGTGGCTGTGTTTAATAAATGTTACAATTCTTTAATCATTAGAGTTTATGAGGATAAATTTAGAATAGATAGTGATTATCCCATATTTAAAATTTAGGCTATCAATAGCATAGTAAGAGCAAAAGTAAATATAAATGCATTTATTAATAAAATTTATGATCTCATCTTGAGATTGCTCCTTTTTTTCCTAATGATTTCACAAAATAATGCCATCCTTAAAAAAAAAGTGAATAATTTAATATTACAAATTTGTTTATATATAATGAATATTTACGTAGATAAAATTATATAAAAGAATTGATAATAATACTTCAAGATTATATAACTCGAGACTCAAGATTTACTCCATAATTTTTCTTATGAAGATGAGATAACTAAAAAAGGTCATTTTTTGCAGTTTCTTTAAATTATTCTAATCGTTTTTTGTACTCTTCAAATTCATTTTGTATAAATTCTCTTTACTATGAAATCACTACATTAGGTTCACTATTATTATTAAAAATTCTTTTCTTAAATTATTAAATGGCTTGATTTTAAGCTACACTTTCTTCATAAATGGCCATTCTTTTTTTCTCATCATTCAATTATTTTACGAATTAAATTTTTGCTTTTAACAATTAAGTTTTTCTTGAAGGCTATTTTCTTTCTAATAAATGCTCTTTTATAAGAACATCATCTTCATTCTAAGGTATTTTAGACTTTATTGTTAATAATTTCCATCCAACACCATTTGGAACAAGTACTTAATTTTATTTTAATCTTTAATATTTTCTTAATATTTTCTCCATAAAGACTTTTAATTTTTCAGGTGGAAATTTATCTTTCATGTTAAATAATAAACGTGTTTCTTTAACTTCTTGATTTGATCTATTCATTCTTTTAAGTGTTTCTTTATTATTAATAAGGCAAAATTTACAATAGTCAGGCAATTTTGCATCTTATTACATTTATATTAATTCTTCTTTTATTTTAAGGTATCTTTAATCTGTTTACCATGCCTCTACATTTAATTCACTTTATTCTTTATAATTTTTTTTTATTGCCATAAAATCTAAACCTCTATGTTAATCTACTGTTTTTATTCTTGAAATGTTTGGTATTATTTCTTAACAAAAAGAACTAGCTTCTGTCAAGATATGATTAAATTTTCTATTTGATTAAGAGCCATCATTTAAAAATCTGGACTTGAACGTTTTTTCATGTTCCTTAAATTTTTATTCCAGAGATTAAAATGCTTTTTTCCTTTTTTTTAATGAAGTGAGATCTCTTCCTTTACCCCTTGCATACTTCTCTTTATTTTCTATAGTTGTCATAATATAATGGATTTTATTCAACCTTTATTCTGATTACTTTATAAAATAATCATCATCCTTATGTTAATGAGACTATGTTTATTGTTTCATATTTGATTTGGAAAATAAAAAAAATTATAACTAAATTTATAATGTTTTTGAGTTTGAAGGATTTATTTATGAAAATATATTGGAAATTAAATAAACTTGTTCTTGTTTTCTATTTTATTGTTAAGTGCAAAAAATAAGGTTTTATGATTAAATTACAATAATAATCAATAATTTAAAATTGTTATAATGTATTAATCCAAACAATCAACAAAGAATGCTTAAGAAGAAAAGAAATTGCCTATTAAAGTATCTATTAGAATTCGTCCTTTACTTAAGAAAGAGTAAGGCCAAGAAAAAATTGTAAAAACTGAAAATGTAAAATTTAACAATTTATTATATTAATATAGAAAAAGTTTGTAGTGCTCGAATAGTCTACATAAATTTTTAAGTAAGAATTTGATAGAGTTTTTGACGATTCAACTTTATAAGTTGAGATTTATAATAATCTAAATGAATGTATTAAATAAGCATTTAATGGATTTAATGGAACTATTTTAGCATATGGTTAAACTGGAAGTGGTAAAATATTTGATTAAATAAGGAAAAACCTATACAATGTTTGGAAGTGATTGGGAATAATAAATATAAATGAATTTTGGTATAAATCATTAATCAACTTACTGTACTGATTTAAAAAATGATATCTCATTTGCTGGAATTATACCTAGAGTTATTTTTGGTTTATTTGAAAATTTACCACAAAATTTTTATATTTACTGTTCTTTTTTGTAGATTTATAATGAAAAGATTTATGATTTATTGTAAGATCATAAAATACCTGTACCATTGAATTTACATTAAAGCAAACTAGATGGAATATATGTGGGTAAGCATAAGTTTTAGTATATAGATTTAATAATTTTTAGAAAACTTAACAGAATATGCTGTCAATAATTATCATGATTGTTTAACATTAATGAAAAGAGGAGAAAAAAATAGAATTATACGTTAAACTACTATGAATCTAAAATCAAGTAGAAGTCACACTATATTTTAATTGATTATTGAGACTAATAAGGTTGACAAAAATGGCGTACTTTTTAAATCCAAATTAAATCTTTGTGATTTAGCTGGATCTGAAAAAATAAATAAACTAGAAGCACTTACTAATGCTCATTTTATTGAATTAAAAAATATCAATTAATCATTAACTACTTTAGGTAAAGTTATTTAAAATTTATCATTAAATAATAAAAATAAATAGAAATTACCTATTCCTTATAGAGAATCAAAATTAACAAGACTATTATAAGATAGTTTAGGTGGAAATACAATGACACATATTATTGTAAATATAGCTCCAAATATATATAATATTGATGAAACTGTTAATAGTTTAAAATTTGCTTAAAGAGCTAAAAATGTAACCATAAAAGTTCAACCAAATAAATTTAATGCTAATGATTAAGTTTTAGTTAACAAACTTATAAAGGAGGTAATATTATATTAATATAATTAAGATTGATTATTTGAAATCATTATTAAATATGAAAAGAAATGGATTAAACTAGAATGATTTACACTTTAAATTAATGAAGATGCAAGAAGAGAATGAAAGATTAAGGGAGATTTAATTAAGTAATGATGAAATCGAAAAAATAATTCAAGAAAATAGAAAAATGAAAGAAGAAATATAAAAATTTTAATAATAATCATCCATAGGTGATCCTTCAGAATCATCTTATATTGTCAAAAAATTGTAAAGTGAAGAAGGATTTGCTTCTGAAGGTACTACTGAAAGAAGACCTTTAGTTTATAATGGAATGTTTATTATTAATAAGAGTTAGAATTAATAAAAAACAGAAGTTTAAGTAAGATTTAAAGATGGAAGAAATAGATTATAAATGAAGAAAGGTTATGTTGAAATAAGTGAATAATAAGAATAAAGACAAAAAAGATTTCTTAGTGAAAAAAGAAGAGTGATGGAAAGATTACAATATCTTGAATAATTATAAATGAAAAATGAAATGACCTATTCACTTTTATCTTCACCAAGTCATTTCAATAGTTTTTAATTAAATGAAGAAAAAAAATCAGAAAAATATCGATTATTAGAAAAACAATTAATTTAAAAGTAGTGAAATAAAAAATTTTTTTTAATTTGAAAAAAATAATGGTTTATTGTTTAATTTATTCATTCAATAATTTTATCCAATATCTTAAATATTTCAGAGATATTAGCTCGATTATTAGGTTCTAATTCTATCATTTTTTAAATTAGATTTTGAAGAGAAACATCATAATTAATAAAGTTTTCCTTCTTCTCAATTTGCTAAATTAGATCTTAGTATAATTTTTTCTTTTTATCTAAATGTTATTGTCTCTAAAATTTTAATGCAAAATTATCAAATGTTTTATTTTTTAAATCAGCTATTTTTTCATTTTCTTATTATATTTAGGTTTATTAACTCTCAATATTTTTATAGAAGTTCTACTAGGCTGTATTTTTACTTTCTTCCCTTTCATACATGAATGATTTTTGCATCACTAACCACATAAATCCTAATTACCAAATATCATAGCTTGAATTATAATTATTTTATACTCCCTCAGGGGGCCTATAAAATTGAGTTCCTTCATAATTGGATTGATTTTGTGGTTATATTTATTCAGAAGTAATAGATCTATCGAAATCTATTAAAACACAATTAAATGGCGTATTTAAAAAGTCAACAACAACTGTTGAAGGTTGAACTAAATCAAACATTATATTATCTGGTTTTAAATCTCTATGAATTATGTCCATCGAATGTATGTAATTCACTGCTTTTATCATACTTCGATATAATTTATAAAAAAATTGAGAAAGTTTTTCTGGGTTAAGTTTTTATTTAATTTTGAATATTTTCTTTGAAATAAAATTAAATGAATAATCGTGCTTCTTCAAAAACAACATAAGTATCTCATTATATCTTAGATATCCGTATAAATATGGTAGATGAGTATTATTAAAATCTTCAATAATTGATATTTCTCTTAATTCATAAAATTCTTCCTTAACTATTTTTTATATTTTAACAACGATTTATTCCTCATATTTTTCTTTGATTAAGAATTTAGGAAATTCTATTGGATATATATGAGTAAATTAGTTTTTATGGATAGGAAAATTTTAAAAAATTTTTAAATATTCCAAAAGAGTTGCAGTATTTTATTCCAAAGCGTCATATTGAAAATTAATTCTCAATAAAAGTCTATCCTAAAAATGTTTAAGAGAAGTAGAATTTACAAATTCATCATCATATCCTAATTATTCGCCTAAAAATTGAATAATAGAATTACATAAAAAAGAAAATTATTTTAGTAATTTATGTTCACACTACTTAGCATTTGTCTTGTCTTATTTACTGAATATAAATGGAATACCACAGTTATGATTATTTTTAATAACCATAATTTAGTCTAAACTTATATTAGGAGTTTCTAATTCTCTTTTTATTATTTCCAAAATATCTAATTTTATTTTAGATTTTACTGCAAATTAAATTTGTCATAATAAAATCAAGTAGATTAATTTCTATAGGTAAGACATCTGTTAAAGGAATTAAATTTAGATTAAGTTAATCTTTCTAAGGATAGTACCCGATTATTTTTGTTAAGTTTAATTGTTTACTAAATTATAGACTTGATTCAGCTGTTGAAATTTATTTAATAGCACAAGAGTCCATAATTAATATATAATTTATTTTAAATTTTATTTTTTCTATTAATTTATTTAACATCACAAAAATTAAATAGTATTAACTTTTTTTAATATCTTTCCTTCTTAATTCTAACTTTTTGTTAAATAAATTAATCAACAGAAATTTATTGAATTGATGATATTTACTTTTTTTAAGAAATTTAATTTGAGAGATAACTGAAAATTAAGCTTTACAACGTTTGTTTTTTAAATTAAATTTATTTTTTGCACTTGTTTTATTATTTTTTCTAAATCAATCTTTGATGTAAATAAAAATTTTATGATTTTAATTAGACTAATGTATTTAAAACAAAGATGTTAGCTAAATAGAAGAATTCAATAAATATTATTATTTATTAAAATAAAGAAATAATAAGTATCGTTATGATAAAATATAAAAAGAGAAATTGAAGAATATTAATTTATAAAATGTAGAGTGCATAAAAACTTACATAATAAAATTAAGATGCTTTTTCTTAATTCTTTGATAAATATATATCCTCTTCTAACAAACTTTAAATCTACAGTGTAAGGGAGCTTGCTTAAAAATTGGCAATTTAATATTTTAGTGCTTAGCTTCCACCTAGATATTAAACAGAAAATAATTTGAGAAAGAAAAGTAGAAATATAGTTTACAAATAAATTGAAACAGATGCAATAGAAAAAGCAAAAGCCTAATATAAAGCTAAGAAAGAGAGAAAGGAATCACAATAAAGAAAATTACCTCCAGTTCCTAAAAAGTAAAATAGTTAGCCAAGAAGTTTATCAGTGTAACCCCCTATTAAATGTCTATCGGCTTAACCTAAAAGATCAGTTCCTTCAACATATTTTTATTATATAGGAGATGGAAACAATAATGAGTTAATAAAAAAGTTACTAGATGAAAGATAAAATTGGGTCTAAGTGAAAGATGTAACTCTTAAAAACATAAATTTTAAATGGCAAGAGACAGAAAAAGGTTATGAATATCGTACTTTAGCTGGAAATTTAAAAGATAGTACTCCATAAATGCTTAATCATTTTGAGTTTCATATTGAAATTTCAAATAAGTATTACTTAGCTTAAAATTTTAAGACATATTGTGAAGTATATTTAAATTATTTAAATAGAAAAACTTACTCAATGCCTAAGATTATATCCCCATAAGCTTTGCTATAGAATGTACAAACTCAAATTTGAAAGCTGGTTTATTTTAGTTTTTGACCTTCTATAGATCCTATTGTCCTTAAAATTAATAATAAGNTAATCAACAGAAATTTATTGAATTGATGATATTTACTTTTTTTAAGAAATTTAATTTGAGAGATAACTGAAAATTAAGCTTTACAACGTTTGTTTTTTAAATTAAATTTATTTTTTGCACTTGTTTTATTATTTTTTCTAAATCAATCTTTGATGTAAATAAAAATTTTATGATTTTAATTAGACTAATGTATTTAAAACAAAGATGTTAGCTAAATAGAAGAATTCAATAAATATTATTATTTATTAAAATAAAGAAATAATAAGTATCGTTATGATAAAATATAAAAAGAGAAATTGAAGAATATTAATTTATAAAATGTAGAGTGCATAAAAACTTACATAATAAAATTAAGATGCTTTTTCTTAATTCTTTGATAAATATATATCCTCTTCTAACAAACTTTAAATCTACAGTGTAAGGGAGCTTGCTTAAAAATTGGCAATTTAATATTTTAGTGCTTAGCTTCCACCTAGATATTAAACAGAAAATAATTTGAGAAAGAAAAGTAGAAATATAGTTTACAAATAAATTGAAACAGATGCAATAGAAAAAGCAAAAGCCTAATATAAAGCTAAGAAAGAGAGAAAGGAATCACAATAAAGAAAATTACCTCCAGTTCCTAAAAAGTAAAATAGTTAGCCAAGAAGTTTATCAGTGTAACCCCCTATTAAATGTCTATCGGCTTAACCTAAAAGATCAGTTCCTTCAACATATTTTTATTATATAGGAGATGGAAACAATAATGAGTTAATAAAAAAGTTACTAGATGAAAGATAAAATTGGGTCTAAGTGAAAGATGTAACTCTTAAAAACATAAATTTTAAATGGCAAGAGACAGAAAAAGGTTATGAATATCGTACTTTAGCTGGAAATTTAAAAGATAGTACTCCATAAATGCTTAATCATTTTGAGTTTCATATTGAAATTTCAAATAAGTATTACTTAGCTTAAAATTTTAAGACATATTGTGAAGTATATTTAAATTATTTAAATAGAAAAACTTACTCAATGCCTAAGATTATATCCCCATAAGCTTTGCTATAGAATGTACAAACTCAAATTTGAAAGCTGGTTTATTTTAGTTTTTGACCTTCTATAGATCCTATTGTCCTTAAAATTAATAATAAGAATTAGATAAAACAATAAAATCATATTAATTCAAGTATGGAACTTAAGTGGAAAGTAAAATAGATCAATATCCAACTTTATTTGCTGGTGAAAATCTATGGATATTCAAACCATCAAATATGAATTAAGGTAGAGGGATTCATGTAGTTAGAAATCTTTAAGAAATAATAGATATCTATAATAGATATCAGAATGGATATAAAGAACATCTTTTGGAAGTAAAGAGAAATGAATAAAATGAAATAGTAACTAAGATTATTTACATAAATACGCTAATGACAGAACAATTTGTGATTTAGAAATATATTGAGAAACCCTTATTGATTAAAGGAAGGAAATTTGACATCAGAACTTATGTGTTGATAACATCTAATTTAGGATTCTTTTTTTTTAAGTATATATTTAATTTACTATTTAGAGAAGGGTAGCTAAGATTGGCAACAGAAATATTTGATGTTAAGAAATAATCTAATTATGTTCATTTAACAAATAATGCTGTTTAATATACTCATCCTTAATATGGTAAAACTGAGGAAGGAAATTAATTTAATTTTGATCAAGCTTCATAATATTTTAAAATAGATTTCAGAAAAGAAGTATTTAATTAATTAAATAAAAAAAGGTGATCTAAAAATTGAAATAGATTTCTCTATTGGTATTTACAAGTGTAAAAGGAAAGATTAATAAATATAAAAGGAAAAATTGCTTTGAAGTTTTTGGAATGGATTTCATATTAGATGTAGATTTCAAACCGTGGTTAATTGAAGTTAATACAAATCCTAGTTTAGAAGTTACTAGTAAATTATTAGGGAGTTTATTTCCAAGATTAATAGGTAACTGATAAATTTATAAATAGATGATGCATTTAAATTGACAATTGATCGATAATTCCATCAATAAAAATCACTTTCTAAATATCCATTTCTAAATTATTCAAATGATGAAAACTTATGGGAATATATTTGTTAGCTTTGATTAATTATTATTTATTGTAACGATAATTCGTGTTTTTGATCCAAACAATTAAACCAATTATTTATTAATAAATACTCATGAGTGAAGAACAACAAAATAATCGTACAGATCAATTACCAAGTTTGGTTAATATAAGATCAAATAGAAATACTTCTTAGATAGATTTAAACTTTATTTAAAGTATCATACACATCAATATACATTTTAGAAAGTAAAACAATATAATCTGAAAACTGGGAAATGTTATAAAGAGTTAAGGAAAGTTTAGAGAGTAAGGCATTTAGTAACTTTTTCTCAAGTTCCTTAGCTAAATTACCAAATTTTAAAAGCCCATAAGAATTAGCTAAAGTGTTAGCTGATTAATTTATATAAAATGAAATCAAAAAAGGTAAGAAAAGAGAAGCAAAATCTGCAATTAAGATTTAAGCATCTCAACCTCAAACATCAGATAGTTTACCAGCATTGAAAACTCCATAAATTAAGTTAGAAAAAAATAAATTTAATAATGTCCGTTCAAAGAGTCGTGATAAAATAAGAGAATTGGAAATAATTAAAGAATAAGAAAGAGAAAAAGAATAATAAAATAAAGAGAATAATAAATTGGCTGAAAAGATTTTAAAATAAAAAAACAAATTATTATCTAAAGATACTTAAAGATAAAAAGAGTAAGATAAATCTTTTGTTGAACAATCTTCTCCTCCAACAAAAGTCTTAAAAAATATTCGACATACTTTATCGATAACAAAATTACAAACTCCTATTGAACCTATTTCTTAACCAACTCTTTATTCTTATTTTTTAGGAGGAGGAAATAATAGTGAATTAATTAAAAGAGTATTTGATATGAGATCAGATTGGCATTAAACTACGAATACTGCTAGAGCTAATTTTAGATGGTAATAATCTAATCACGGATATAAATATTTTAAATTGAATTGGCATAAATCTCATAAAGAATTATTGAATCATTTTGAGTTTCATCCAGAAATAAGTAATAAAAAGAATTTATTAATGAATGTGTCAGCTGCCTGTGAAGTAAAATGAATTTTTAATTAGATACTTAAATCAAATCCTTTTGATATAATACCTGTTACTTTTGCTATTGATTTTACAGATCCATCAGTGGAATCTAATATTTCTGCCTTTTATAATTTTTATAATAAAAATGCTCCTGAATCTAAATAATTAACTAAATAAGATGCACAGAATAAGCTTAATGAAATAAAGAAAAAATTGAGAATAGCTCCAAGTAAAGAAAAAAAATAATTGGAATTTTAAATGAGAGATACATTTACAGGTCCAGATTATTTATGGCTATTGAAACCTACAGGATTAAATAGAGGGAGAGGAATTCATGTATTTCAAGATATAGATAATCTTGTTGATTTACTTATTGATTATTAGTATGGTTATCATGAAAAATAAATAGAAACATATAAAGATGAGAATGGATAAACATAATAGAAAGTTGTTTAATATTTATTAAAAACATCATCATTTGTTGTTTAAAAATATATTGAAAAACCTTTGTTAATAAAAAATAGAAAATTTGACATAAGAGTTTGGGTATTTCTTAATACTGATTTGAATTGTTATTTTTTTAAGTATAAAATGGATTTAATAATTTAATTAGAGAAGGATACATAAGAATGGCGTCTGAAGAGTATAAGACAAATGATGTTGAGAACATTTATATTCATTTAACAAATAATGCTATTTAATAACATAGTGATAAATATGGTCAATAAGAGTTAGGAAATTAATTATCATTTGATTAAGTTTCTGAATATTTTAAATCTAAAATTGATTTTCGAGGATAAATAGTTGAGAAAATGAAAGAAATGGCATATTTTGCAATGAGAACAGTTGCAACAAAAATTAATAAGTTAAATAGAAAGTTTTGTATGGAGATATTTGGTTTTGATTTTTTTTTAGATGAACTCTTCAATATATATTTGATAGAAGTTAATACAAATCCATGTCTAGAAGAATCAAGTCCTTTGTTATAAATGTTGATTCCTAGGATGATTGATGATGCATTTGTTTTAACAGTTGATCAGATATTCCCTATTTAAAGAGATGTTGTATCAAAATTCCCTGTTAATAACTACAGTGATACAGAAAATATGTGGTAATCTTTTGAATTAAGATTTTAGGTAATTAATGGGGGAATTAACTGAAATCCAAGGATGAAGTGTGAATGATATAATTTTATATTATTATATATTTAACTAAAATGGATTCAAACATTATGACTCTTATTGAACAATCAAATAAATACAATAATTCTAAGACAAACTTTTTTAAAACAAAGTTGTTTGTAAGCAACAATCATTCTCCAAATAGAGAATATTCAAAACATGTGGCATAAACAGAAACTGTTTAATATAATCGATATTAATCAAAAGAAGTGAGTTCAGGAAGAAATTCAAAAAAGATATCTTTTAACACCTATTTGTTAAACTTAGCAAAATAGAATATTGATTAGTTTCCAAAAGTTAAATGTGATTTTGCAAATATTTAAATGGTCGATCTCCAAGTATTAATGAAATACTATATAGGATAATAGGTTTAGGTTGTTTCCAAAAGAATTATATTAAATGAAAAAAGTCTAAATTATCAATCTAAATTCAAATTTCATAAAAGTGTTACCTGATGATTTATTTGATAACTTTCCCTCTATCATTAATTTTTCAATTAGTAATAATTTAGTAGTAATGCTTCCAAGAAAGATATCTCTATGGTAATAACATCTAGAGATATTAGAATTAAGTAAAAATAGATTATAAAAACTTTATCCATTAATAACTCTAATAAATTTAAGATCTCTCTTTATATAATCAAATGAGTTCTAATATATTCCAATTGAATTTCAAAATTTAAAGAAATTAAATGAATTAGGATTAGATTGGTTTAAATATCTTAATCCTCCAATAGACCCAATAGTTAATAAACTCTATATAGAGAAATTATTTTCATCTTTAGAAGAAAAACAAATTAAAGATGTAGAGGATCCCTCTTAAATTAATGTATTAGTATTATTGATATCAAGTTTAGTGATGAAGAATATAGCTCATCTATAGGAATGAACTTTTAAGACTTTCTTGTTCAATTTTCTAATCTTTAATTAAATATACTACCAAATCCTTAAGGAGGAGACAAAGAGTATTCAACAACAATCTTACATAAGGCAGCTGTTGAATAAGATATAGGTGCTTTATTATCATTAATCTCTTATTATCCAGAGATAGTAGATTATTAGGATTAGAGATAGAATACAGCATTAGGATTGGCAATATAAGAAGAAAAGTATTTTAGTGCCAAAGCTCTTATATTTAATGGAGCATCTGTTAATTCAAACGCAGCTAAATATGGATCAATTTTAAATTTGGCAATTGTAAAAGGATAAATTCATTTAATACTTGATATTCTATCTTAAGGTGCAGATCCTAATTAAATGGATGAAAAAGGAAATACTGCATTACATTATTGTATGGCATGTTTTGATAAAGATGTCACAATTTATAAATAAGCATTTAATGCTCTATTAAAAAAGAATATTAATTTAAATGCACTTAATCAAGATGGATGGAGTCCTTTACATATAGCAGTTAAAAAAGGTAATTCAGATGCTATTTCAGCAGTCATTTAACATAATAATAAGAAATAATCAAAATTTGATTTAAATCTTAAAGGAGGTAAGAAACGCTAAACTCCTTTACATTTAGCTTGTTCAAATTGTCATTTTGAAATTGTAACAATGCTTTTGCATTAACCAGAAGTTAAATTGTTTTGTAGAAATAAATTAAATTAAACTGCTTCTTAATGTTGTTTGCATAATTACAGAATTTATAAACTAATTAAAAGATATGAGTATGAATAATTATATCGACTCCATCAAAATTAATAAATTTAGGATTAGGATGAATATTCAGTAAAAGACAATGATTCATATACTGATTTAGATGAAAGTATTTAACTATTTGATGGATTATAACTAAAATAAATTAAGATTAATAGATCTGTTTTAGGTTGTCGAGAAAGAGCAACTGGATGTAAATTCAGATTCTCTAGTTAACCACCTTAAAAATGAAATGGAATTAAAATTATATAGATTTTATATAAATCACTCTTATTATTAATGGGTTTCAGGCATTCTTAATCCAACATAATTAGCAACTTTCTATACATCTGCTTTATAATCTTTGGGTTTGCCTATATTTTCAGCATCTATTATTTAATTTTGTATTTTGATTGCTTTCAAATAAATTTCCAAGTTCTTCAAAATTTATTGATTATCTCCATTACCTCTTGCTTTAACAGTATATTGATAATATTTTCTCAATTAATCTCTTGATAATCTATTTCCTAAAGATTTATATAATTATCTATATAGTAGCAATGCAACTAATTTTTCTTAAGACATATATATATATAATTAAATTAAAATGGACGAAAAGAATATCAATTTACCAGAACAAGTAACTAAAAATTTGTTTGATAAGTATTTAATAATTAATTAATATACTAGATCATAAGAGAAAAGAGATATAGGAGGATCAGAATTAACAAAAGTAATTTAAGGTGCTCAAGATAAAACAATAATAGAAATAGCAAAATACTTAAAAGAGAGATACATCTAGCAATAGTAATTTCAATATAAAAAAGGAGGATTACATGGATTGTATTTTATTGCTATTGAAATCTCTAATAAAAAAGTATTAAAAATTAATTACTTTGAAAGTATGAACCTATTGTTAAGAACTGTTTAAATTACATAGTTGATCCAATGATAGATTGTATGAGAGACAAGGAAGAAAGAGTCAGATATACAGGCATTGAATATTTGTTTCTTACTTCTAAATAATTAGGTGATGTCATATTAAATAAATTGGAAGAAATATATAAAAATTTAGTTCAGAGTTTTTTAGATCCAGATGAATCTGTAAGAAAAGCTGCATCCTAATTAGATAATTGTTTAAAGAGTTTAGTTACTAGCACTGCTCCAGAGAAATAAAACTTTAAGATATAGAATTTTGTTAAAACTATTAGTACTTAAATAGTTTTCAAAAATTAATAAGTTAAATTGAATTTGATTTCTTGGATTAATACTTTAAATTCAATACCACATATTGAATTATTCGATTATATTCAAGGCTTTTTAGTAGAACTTTTTCTTATGCTTGCAGATACAAACAATAAAGATCCATTTACTAATGAGGCTAAAATAGCTGCCAGAAAATAATTAGAAGAATTTTAACGAGATTTAGAAAGATATTCAAAAAGGTCATCTTTTAATCAATCATAAGAATTGAAAACACATAGATAAATTATTGAGATTTTATTAGAATTATGTTAAAATAAATAAAGTGATGCTCATGTATTAACACAAGTTTTAAGTTGGATTTCAGAATATCTGAGAATAGTTAGCAATGAATTAGATTAACCATAAATTTAATTTAATTAATTAGAATTAAGTGGAGGATAAATTATTAAGGGTATAGATTTAATGTCTAATATATTTGAATAAAGAAGAGATTCTGTTCTCTAATAAGTTATTATGGAAAAATTGAATAATATTTTAAAAATTATACTCTCTTTATTATCACATGATTCACAAAATATTGTAAATTCAGCATAATAAATAAATGATTAGTTATTATAAATAATGGATAAAATGAAAGCCTCTGGTAAAGAATTTGTTGATATAATGCCTACTATATAAGATATGCTTAAAGAGAAAAATAATCATACAGCTGAAAAAGCTTTAATGTGGATGAGACATTTATTAAATACTTAAACAGAAAAGTTGAAACCAATGATTGAAAATATTTTAGAGAATGTAATAGAATTTTTAATTAAACTAGTTAATTGAAAGATTAAAAGATGCTGAAGCTCAAGTTGTTGAAAATGTTATGGATGTTTTAGCTAGAATCTCTCATGAATAATATTTTGATATGGTTATAGAAAAAATATTGGACATATTCCATAAAAATGTTAATCTGCTAAATAGAATGAGTTAAATTATCATTAAAAAACTTTGTGAATTTTGGAATGCAGAAGTTGTTTACACACAGATTTGTAATAAGCTTTTAGAAAATTATGTTTATGTTGGCGATGATAATCTAGATTTAGCTTTTACTTAATAATTAGTTCAATCCTTAGAATATTTATTGATTACTGAGCCTCGCTTATCAAATATTAGAATGAAACTTAAAAATTATAAATATGAAAAAAACCAAAAAACAGCTAAATCAACTTATGAATTTTTTATTAGCATCTATAAAACATTTTGTTACAATGAAGTAAGCGCTTTGTCATTATCTTTATTAATTGAAGAATATGAACTTACATACAATATCATCTTAACTATTGCAGAATAAGAAACTAATCTAGAAATCTTAGTATAAATAGCTAGATTGACTCTATTATTAGAATCACCTGTTTTTGCATACTTAAGATTATAATTATTAGAATCCTCTAATCACCCTTTTCTTATTCAATCCTTATAAGGATTAATGATGCTTTTACCATAATCGCCAATTTAAAAATATTTAAAATCTAGACTCAAAAATATTGAACTATTTATAAAACCTGATTCTGATCTATCATAAACTAAAGAGTATATTTTATTTTATATCATAGAATTCAAAATAAATTAGATACTTAATTATTATTATAGTTATTCAAAAATGGAAAACAAGAATAATAAGATTTGAAAGACAATTATGCCAAAAATTAATTCAAATGAATATATTTATTTATATTTTTATTCATCAATTATATGATTATAATAATGCAATTCCTTTATATTATATAAAAATTGATTTTCATGTTTATATAACTTCATTAGTATTAAAATGACTTCAATCAAATATCTTGTAACTTTTGACTATTTATTTTATTTTAAAAATAAATTAAGCACTTATGACAAAAATAATAGTTTATATTTTAAAGAATTTTTTCTAACATTCAACTATGCTTCGATGCTTTCGAATAAATTTTTGGAAAAAATATATTAAAAAATTAAATCAAATATATCAGACAATACTCTAAAATTATCAGAGTAGATAAAAATCAGAAATTCAAAATTCTAAATAAGTAAAAGAATATATTATAATCATTATTACAAATTAAAATAATTTTATAATGATTCATGATATTTTAAGAATTCTTTTATAATAGGATTTTTAAGAGTGACTAATTAAACATTAGTTTTCATATCAACATCCAAGAATTATTTGATTAAAAGAACCTAAGGATTTATTTATTCTACAATTTATCCAGCTAAATTAATTTATCCTCTTGTTCTTTTTTTCTCAGGATATCCAGATTAATCTTCAATTGATTTTGCTGCTTCTATATATAATTTTTCAGATATTTTTTGCTGAGATTTCAAATATAGAAAATCTCTACTTTTCAAAACGCCAATACCCTTATGAGCAATATACCTAATTGATTCATTATGCTCTGTATTCTCTTCAATAATGTTTAATTCTTCAATTTTTTTATCAATTAATTTCATATCATCCAAGGCAATATTTATATAAGATTACATAATACAATTTAATTGAAATTCAGCTCTTAAAACAATAACTCTAACTAAAATAAAAAATAAATTTTAACATTGATTTTTCTGCTTTTTTCCATTCAAAGGCAAATAATTTAACAAATTATTAATTGATTAAATTATTCCACCCATTTTCACTTGTAAGTGGAACTTTATTTTCATCAGTTAAATCAATTATATCTTAGATCATCTATTCTCCAAAAGTTAGCGATGGTTTTGAAATAATAACACTTTAAATAGTTTTTCTATATGCTTCAGTGTTTGGTTCATATTCACTTTCTTCGGTATCCTATTAGTGTTTTTATTTATTCTAATGATTTTGGGGAGGATGGTCTTCTCTTGAATTGCAACAGACATTAATGTTTCCCATAAAAAAACGATAAATTATTTATTTAATGTTAGATTCTAATATTTATATATATATTTAATAGAAACTTAAACGAATTCAATTTTCTAATAATTAATTCAAATCAACTTGATCATAATTTTGTAATGATTTTAATTATTCACATTTGAGTACGATGTTTTATGAAAACAATTTAGAATTTTATAAAACCAAATCAATAGTTTATAATACTTTAAATTAATGTTTAGCGGCAGCAAATCCATCTTGAAATCCTTTTTAAATAAGGTTTTATTCTTCTTATTCTGTAATATGCATTAATCCTTCTCTATAGCCTTGTTGCTCTAATTTATCGATTAAAATTTATTAGTCTTTTTATGCTATTTACTTTTCAATAGTATTTTGATCAAGATTAGAATCAAACCAATCATCTTAATCATGATTATTCATTAATATAATTTTAATATAAATGAATATTGAAGTTGAAAATAAAAAGATAGAAGCAATAATTTAATGGTCAAAAGAGTTGTTTAGTTTGGAAGGACAAGTTAAAAGATTTAGTGCAGGTTGAGAGCAATTATAAATTAGAAATGAATGAAGTCGTATAATTATGTACCAAGGAGAAATATGAATTAAATTTTGTTTAAAATACAAAATCAAAGAGATGGATTGAATTAGATGTAATAATGATTATAATAAAATAGATTGGAATAAAATAAAAAATAGAAGTTTATGCAAATAATGAATTATAAAATATAGATTTAATAGTATTTACAATATAAATTGGTGCATAATATCCAGTAAAAGATGTTAGAATAGTATGCAAAACAACAGTAATTACAATTAATTAGTTAAGTTTGTTAGACCTACTTTGGCAGATGGTAGAAATTTGATAGCAGATGTATTATTATAGCCATGGAATTATAAATTATCTTTGGTTTCAATAATAAAATAGATTCCATCATTTTTAGTATAGAATATGATAATTATTAATAGGATCGTGTGTTATTAAATAGATTTGATAAGATTTATCTTTAAAATATTGGTTAATATTATTTAGGTAGTTCATATTCAATTGATGAATTGAAAGATTATCCAGATTTAGCAAGATTTCCAACAATTTAATAATAGAATGCTTTTTTCTAAAATATATAAGTGAGGTAATAAATATTAGAATAATTAATAAGGTTGATTGGATTAAGTGATGCTCATTTTTATTTATTTGAAATGATAGATGGAAAAGATGATTATGTTAGATTAATTTTTAGAGCACCACTCTAGAGTTGTGTATAATTAAAAAGAAAGAAAGATAATAGCACATAATTATCAATAAGTTGGAAAAATTATAAAAATAAATAAGAAGAACAATAAATATTTACAATAAATGAATACGATAAATTTATAAGGTTATTTTTAAGAAGATTAAATTAATACCAACATGTAAGAATGACATCAAATTCTTATATGGTTTTTGGCGATTAGTAACAAGCTGAGAAATAAAAGATCAACTCAATAATGAAAAATTTAAATCAATTAGAAAATGAGATTGATAAGAAATTCAATTAATAGACAATTAATAAACTTATGGATTTATATCAATAAGTAAGATTTTATTTTTGATAATATGTTATTAGGCAATTGAATTCTATTCATCTGCCAGTGATTACTTGTATGAGATCTATTTGAATAAATTGTAAACATTGATACAGAGATAAGATGTCTAAGTTATTTTATAATATAAATGATAATTTTATTTTAACTACCTAATTAAAGATGTTTACAGGTGAGGACATCCAATTTCTGTAGTAATTACATTAATTGAAAGAAATATCCAAAATAGGACAGGGTAGTTTTGGTAAAGTATATAAAGCAATTGATTTAACAGACAAAACTATTTGTGCAGTAAAGGTAATTTATTAAGCAATTAAGAGGTTATTTCCAAATTAATTTACAACAGTACTTCTCCTGAATAAGATATCTATATGCAATTGAATCATCCCAATATTGTGAGATGCAAAAGAGTATGAGTAAAAACATTTATTAAGATTTCAGAAAACAAAAAATGTTATTATATAATCATGGAATATATGGAAGGAGGTACTTTAGCATAGAAAATCAAAGAGAAATAATTAAATGAATAAGAAGCAGCTATTATTATGAAATAAATTTTAGAAGGTGTAAACTACTTACATGATAGATCAATCATTCATAGAGACCTTAAACCAGAGAACATTATGTTGACAGGTGCAAATGTGAAAATTGCTGATTTTGGATTGAGTTTTCGATTCTCATCTACAGAAGGCAATTTTCATAAATTATTAAATAAAAAATGTGGAACTATCATTTACATGGCACCTGAATAATTTACTGAAAAATATGTAGATTACTTATTTTCATATTTGTCTAGTATAGTAAATAAGTCGATGCATGGAGTTGCGGAATTATACTTTATATGTTATTAAATGGAGGAACCCATCCTTTTTATAATTAGGAGGACACCAAATACGATTTTATTTAGAAGATTCTTAATCCAACTATTGAGATCCCTTTCAATATATCCCCTTTGGCTAAAGATCTCTTCTTTAAATTAATTAATGTTAATCCTATTGATAGATACAATGTGAGTTAAGCTTTGATGCATCCATGGATTACAAGGAAATTTCATGAAAAAATTCCACTGACTTATTAATAATAATTGGATTAGTTTCTTAAAGAATAACAAATTTAATAAGTATACATCTACATTATTAAATATATAGTAATTTAAGTTGTTATTCTTTTTACAATACCTTAAACGTAATTCCCCAAGAACTCAAATATTTTAAGATAGTGTGAAAGAATTAGAATAAGAAAATTCAAATAATCAGTAAAATAGAACAAGTGCTAGTCCAACTCAAAATAAATTTAAGATCTTGCAAATTAATAATAAACATAAAAATTAATTTCATACTGCTCCAAGGATCGAATCTTAAGGAAAGTTTTTAGATTTTTCATTAACATAAAAAACTAATTTTAAAAAATCTATGGAAAATATATTGGTTTTTGAAAAAGATAAATCTGAAAAAAGTTAGAATTGTTCAGCAAGATCTTTAAAATAAAAATCTACTCAAATGATTAACAAATATTTTATACCAACTTCATTTTAAGAGTCATTTTGTGGTTCCAATAAAAATAAAATAAACCTTAAACCTCACAAGAGATTATTACCACCATTAAAAAATAAATGATATTATATATAATTCTTTCACTATTTTTTATATCGAAATTTAAGAATTTAATTCGTAAATTTAAGTACATTTTTAAAATGAGTGAAATATCCTAAATTACATAAAACTAAGTCGAAGTTCAAACATAAGATTAAACCAATGTCAAACAAGAGAATGAATAAAATCCAAATGTAGAATAATAACCTGATCCTCAATTAAAACAAGAATAGCCTGAAAAATAACCTAAAAAAAAGGAACAACAATAATAAGGAAAAAAGAAACCTTAATAATAATAACTTTAATAGCAGGCTCCCCCTCAAGATTTTGGACCATTTACAGATTTTGTTAGCGTAGATATAAGAGTTGGTGAATTAAAAAAAGTCTGGAAGGTATTTTGATTTTAAATTCAAGCATGAAGAATCAGATAAATTGTATTGTGAAGAAATTGATATTGGAGGAGAAATTAGATAAATAGCATCAGGATTATAATAATTTGTGCCTATTGAAGAAATGACAGGATAAGTTTTAGTATTAGTAAATCTTAAAGCAAGAAAATTGGCAGGTATATTACATCTTTATTTTATTTAGGTTTTATGTCTAATGGTATGGTTTTATGTGCATCTGATGCAGCTCATACAAAAGTAGAATTGATGAGACCTGCTCCTGGAAGTAAATTAGGAGAGAGAGTCAAAATACAAGGACATGAAAATATCTTCAAGGATGAAAAAGAAGATGTTTTAAATCCAAAAAAAGGATAATGGGAAAAAGTTGCCCCACTTTTGAAGACAAATTAAGATCTTTAAGCAGTTTTTGATGGTATTAAAATATAATATTAATTTTAGGACATCTATTAATAACATCATAAGGTCCAATTATTAGCAAGACATTAGCTAATTCAAACATATCTTGAGAAATATATATAAAAGAAAATAAGATTTATAATTATTAATCAATTTACCTTAGGGAATCCTGGCAATACAACTGGTTTTGCTAATCTCATTGCTTTTCTTTTATTTAAATATTTAATTGGTATAAATCCTAATCTCATATAAAATCTTATTAAAACTAAAATAAATACCTTGTGACATGAATACAATCTTTTCCACATCTTTTATGTAAGTTTTGGAATTTAGAGACAAAATTTTAAAAATCTTGGAAATTGATATTTTAATTTTCCTATTTTTGATAAAATTTATTTATAGTTTGACTAATCTGAGTTCCATTCTCCTTTAAATTTTGATACATTTACTTGATGATTGAATCATTAATTTCTTGAGATATCATATATCCTTAAGTATTATTTAATGCATATTTAATGATTTGTTCTTCCTATTATTCTGCAATATCAAACAAATTTTAATCAAACATCACTCTTTCTTCTTTTTATTTATTTTCAAAATCTTCCTTTTATTTTTTGTTATAATCTTTAATAAATACATCTTATTTTTTGGATTCTAAGTTTTCATTTGATGTTTAAGTTTTATGATTTGTAAACTATGGTCTTATATCATTCTAGGATGTCAAACGATCCAGAAGAGNAGTTGGTGAATTAAAAAAAGTCTGGAAGGTATTTTGATTTTAAATTCAAGCATGAAGAATCAGATAAATTGTATTGTGAAGAAATTGATATTGGAGGAGAAATTAGATAAATAGCATCAGGATTATAATAATTTGTGCCTATTGAAGAAATGACAGGATAAGTTTTAGTATTAGTAAATCTTAAAGCAAGAAAATTGGCAGGTATATTACATCTTTATTTTATTTAGGTTTTATGTCTAATGGTATGGTTTTATGTGCATCTGATGCAGCTCATACAAAAGTAGAATTGATGAGACCTGCTCCTGGAAGTAAATTAGGAGAGAGAGTCAAAATACAAGGACATGAAAATATCTTCAAGGATGAAAAAGAAGATGTTTTAAATCCAAAAAAAGGATAATGGGAAAAAGTTGCCCCACTTTTGAAGACAAATTAAGATCTTTAAGCAGTTTTTGATGGTATTAAAATATAATATTAATTTTAGGACATCTATTAATAACATCATAAGGTCCAATTATTAGCAAGACATTAGCTAATTCAAACATATCTTGAGAAATATATATAAAAGAAAATAAGATTTATAATTATTAATCAATTTACCTTAGGGAATCCTGGCAATACAACTGGTTTTGCTAATCTCATTGCTTTTCTTTTATTTAAATATTTAATTGGTATAAATCCTAATCTCATATAAAATCTTATTAAAACTAAAATAAATACCTTGTGACATGAATACAATCTTTTCCACATCTTTTATGTAAGTTTTGGAATTTAGAGACAAAATTTTAAAAATCTTGGAAATTGATATTTTAATTTTCCTATTTTTGATAAAATTTATTTATAGTTTGACTAATCTGAGTTCCATTCTCCTTTAAATTTTGATACATTTACTTGATGATTGAATCATTAATTTCTTGAGATATCATATATCCTTAAGTATTATTTAATGCATATTTAATGATTTGTTCTTCCTATTATTCTGCAATATCAAACAAATTTTAATCAAACATCACTCTTTCTTCTTTTTATTTATTTTCAAAATCTTCCTTTTATTTTTTGTTATAATCTTTAATAAATACATCTTATTTTTTGGATTCTAAGTTTTCATTTGATGTTTAAGTTTTATGATTTGTAAACTATGGTCTTATATCATTCTAGGATGTCAAACGATCCAGAAGAGTTTATCTATAAGATTATAAATTAACGGATTCATTTCCAACAGTTCTTTAATTAGAATTAGAAGATATATTTTATCGACTTATTTTTCTAAGTGATCTATTACTAGATTCGCCATTATTATCATCTAAATTAGGAGTAGCAGTATTTTAATTAAATCTTTAAGATCTTCTTGTTTCATTTATGTTATTGATAGAAGAGGATTCTTTTTAAGTAACAGCTTATTATATTTAATTATTTTGTAAAGATGATTACTTTGTTTAGAAACCATTATTATTATTATGAGAAGCCAAAGATTATTTTTTAATTAGTTTATCATTTTCTTCTTAAATTTAAAATGTTTCTTAAATTTAATTTTATAGTTCTTAAAATTTGGTTTACTAAAGGTTTTATATTGCATTTTAAACATTTATTTCAGGTACAATCTTTGAATTAGAGATAAATTTAGATGAAACATTATCACTATTTTAATTTATTGATTTCAATTTTGTTAATCGAGAAGAATTATTAGGAGTGTGATGTTAAGTTGTTAAACCTGATTATAATGGATTAGTATTAGTTTTATCATGAAGACTATGATTATTTAATGAGGATTTCATTTAAGTATCATCATTTTCTATATTTTTTTCAAATTTGAATTAATCATCATTTAAAGTGCTAATTTTTGATTGTAATCTTTCAGTAAAACTACCTGAATTTAATGGTTATGCAGTTGAAGCTCCATAAGGATTTGATAGAATATCATTGGAAGTATTTTAATTTGATATTTTTCTATTAATTTTTAATTTAATAGAACTTGTTCTTTTAACTTTTTCTGTTTTATTTTCAAATATTTTTTAATGGTTAGATTTTGTTCTAGTAAGTCTTTATTTTTATCTAATATTTGGAGATACATCATCAATTTATTAGTTACTATCATTAAAACTAGATTGACTAGTATTTTTCGATTATTTTCTTTTTGGATTATTTTATTCAATTGGAATTAATAAAATATGTTTATTTTCATCAATTTCTTTAATTTATTCTAATCTTTATATTTTTGGAGAGTTTAAATCTCTAGTAGATTAGAATTTTTATCTAATTGTTGGTATTTCACCTTAATCAACAATATGTTAAGAATGATAATGTTTAGTCATATTAATAGGTGAATGAGAATCATCAAAATCTTATTGACTATGACAAAATGATTTTGTATCTTTAAATTATAAATCATTTTCTTCAATATCTCTTATTAAATCAATCATATCCATCAATTATCTATCTCCTTTCGTTTCTACTACATATTATAATTATGATAATCTTTTTTCTTTATTTTATCTATCCAAAGCATTTGTTAATATTATTAATCTCTCTATCATTTTATCTTTATGTATAAGATTATTAATTTATTCATTATCTAAATTCTCATTTAATTATTATAATGGCAATGAAATCTAAGATTTTGTCATTCTATTCTATGATACCTTATCTTCCCTTGACATCTTTCTATTTGGACTTGAAGATTATTAATCCTAATAATACTCTTCAATTTATTAAATATTTCTAGCAAAACTTTATTGTCTTTACATTACTGAACTTCTTCTTTATATATTTTACTATGAATCTATTTTTTATTTCAAATCTTGTTTCTCTTATATATACTATTTCAATTAACCTTCAAAAAGTTTCATCTATAATTCCATATCTTATATTATACGATCCTTCTCTTTCAATTCCGATAATTACCTATTTGTCAATTAAGATTAAGATTCAATCTTATTTTAAAGAAATACAATTTCATCAACATATATTGAACATCTACATTCATCACCTTTTTAAAAAGTCATCTATTTATTAAACTGACTTTATGTTTAATACTTACCTTTCTTAATTTATTCCTTGAATAATTATTTACATATAGTAAATACTCTCTCTGCTGTTTCCCTCTAAACTTATATTATATGATGTTTTATTTCTTATTCAACATATTCGTAATTTTCCACCTTATCCTTCAATAAATCTAAATCAACGCTTTTCATTATTTTATCTATATCTTCTTTTTTAAATTTTATAGTATTCATCAACTTCTCTAATTCTTCTGGTTTCCCTTTCCCCTTATATTCATGTGATATTTTATTTTATAATGCCTCTCCCATCATTGCAATTGATTCATTTGCAAATTAAAGGATACTATCAAATTCCTACTATCTAATTGATTAATCAGTTAATGCTTTTGAACAATTCATAAAATAATCTTCAGTTGTACATGTATATTTATCAATATATTTCTTAGGAAAATGAATCCCTTAAGATGCATCATACCAAGGTACTTATGTAATATTTTTCACTTTTAATGTTGGATTTCCTTATTTTTATACAGCCACTCCTCCTAATAAATTTTATTATGTGCTTAAGTTCTATAAACATACATCAATATATTAAATTGATTAACACTTTTAATCCATTTTCTTATAATTCAACTACTCTCTATTCTATAGTACATGAACCAATAAATTTTACAGACAATTAAAAATCTTGTCCATTAATTAACTTACATCAATATTAATCACAGACTGTATCATAAGACATATTTCAGCATTCACTTAATTTAATTCTAATAAAAGCTACAATATTTTTTAAATACTTTCATTACATCTGAAATTTGTTTGTATTCAAAATTTTAGATATGTTGTAATAGCTCCAATTTATTGTTTAATTAATTAATCACCGTTGTTAACTTTTTTATTTATAAGTCCATTAAATTGAAATATAATTTATAATAAAAGTATTCGAAGAATTTTATTAACATAAAGTTGTTTATAAATTTAAGATTTTTTATTTATATATGATATTTATTTATATATGATATATGATGTCTCAAGCAAAATAATTATAAGGATTCGACAACTCACTCATTTTTTCAATGAATTCTATATTTATTTAAACTTCTTCTATTTCCATCAATTAATTTGCTCTATACAATTTCAAATAGTTTGCTGCAAATGTCTTTTATTATGATTACAATTTATTCTATTTTTCCAAAACTATTTTCAAGATTTTATTAATCCATGGTTAAGTATATCGTGGATGTGCCATAATCATAGCCATAAGCACTTATTTTCCTTATAATTCAGTTTCTTTATTTGTCGACTAAGATTAAGTTTAAAATTACTTATTTTATATAGATTTCCAATTAACTATTTACTTCTTGTAAAGTCATTTATTGAATCAATTATGTTGTTAAATCAAAACATGATTACATGACTACTTTATTTTCATCTAGTAAATAGTGTACAATATTCTCAAGAATTTCAGGCCTATTAATATGTAAAATCTCTTTAGTGAGAATCTATGATTTAAAAATTAATTAAGTTACTTTTAAAAAGTTCAATTATCTAACTCTAACAGTATTTGATGAAACTTTTAATAAATTCAAAGTTAATTAAATTAAAGCAATAGTACATTCTTTAATTCTTATATTTGAAAACATCTACAATCCTTGTGTGAGTTACTATAAATTATTCTCTTCATTTATTGTTAGTAAATATTCAACAATTGGTTACATTTTTTGAAGGATATATGGATTAATAAAAAACTTCTTAGATTTCCAACTTTCAAACAATGTTTCTATAATATTTATTTTACCATTTATATTTTATTACTAAAATTAATTTACTAAAATATTAAGTCCTTTTGTAAACAACTCTGAATTTTCAAAGATGAAATATTTCGATTCTACTAAAATAGCAGTTTATTATCTGAATTATTCTATTATGCCAAATTCTTGTAATAATTCAATATTATGAGGATATTTGTTCTATTAATCAATAATAAGGGGAATAAATGTTTAAACGGCTTTAAGATTTGAATAATCAAAATTAGTTTATAATATGTTATCTAATAATTTAATTTATTGATGTTTCTTAGATTCAATTATAGTGTAGAATAAGAATATCCATCTCAACTTTTTATTATCATTTTCTTTTTGAATCTTATCTAATATTGCATTTAAGAATTATTCTTATTTTCTTAGATCACATCTGGATAAGGCAACATGTAAATAATATTAAAATGTCTTAAATTCATCTCTAGATTAATCCATAATTATTTTTTCAAATTTATTCATGCAATAGTCTATTATCTCTTATTTGCATTAACAATTCCAAGATGAATGTAATGCATATAATAAACCTGATAAATAAATTCTTTAAAAGGATAATTAATCTAAATTATTTTGATCTATCAAATCTTTTGTATGATTAAATATTTCATAATCTGTAATAGCAAATAGATATTTCATAAACTAAACTTTTTTATACAATAAACTAAATCTAATAGGTGCTTGCATATATGAATTATAAAAGAATTGTTCATTAGCTTAGTTATCAACATCATTGAACAAATTTGCAATTGATGATTTATCTTAATTAAATTAGAATAACATAATTGGTTACTATGATTGTTGTTAATCTAACACACTTTAATCTATAATCATTAGGTTCATAAATTGATGCCATTACTCTGGACTTATTGATTTAAGAATTCTAAATTCTTTTTTAGCTTCTTCTCTCTTTATATCAGTATATTTAAGTTAATTGTATAATAATATTTTACCTTTCCTATGAAAATCATTCAATTTATAAAAGATTTAATCCTCTGGCAATATAAATCTAAAGATATTATATTAATCTAAAGTTATTTTAGTATTTTAGAAATCTTCTGGTTTTCTTATTATATATTTGTATGATTTATTCTTAAAAACACAAATCTAAATTAATCTATATAATAATAGCTTTCCTAAACTTCGAATATTAAATTCTTAACTTATACAACAATTAAAAGCTTTTAGAATAACTTTCTCATTTAATTAAGGTAACTAATCTGTTCTCATTAATAATAGAGCACAACCATTTGTGATTAATTATCTTGATGTTGCTGCATCAATTGGAATATTCAACCAAAGTTCAACTATTTATGTTAATCTATCATTTAGACTATCCAAATTTCTACTTATTTTTGTTTGCTATTCTTACCAATATTAAATTCTTTGTTCAAAAATAGAATCAACATATTTTTAAACTTCTTAATTTTTTATAATCAAAACTATAATAATATTTTATTATTTACTATTTTTTCTTGCAAAATCAGCTTAATTTAATTCAACACAAGCTTATGATATTTTTTATATTAAACTTAAAACATCTAAATTAAAATCTGCTCTATTTACTTTATCAATCAAACCTAAATAATATTAAAACTATATACTTTGATAAACACCATCAAAAATTTAATAAGATTCCAAAAACATTCCAGGATTTAAATTTGAAACTATACTAACAAAATTTGCAAATCCTTTTGTAAAATGATTTTAAAAAAGAGATAGTTTCTATTTTTCAGTTTCATTCAAAGTTTCAATGTATTATTAATTAAACCATTTATTTTTAAAAACTGTTTTTAATTGCTCATACAATTTTTAAAATAATTCATATAACCATTCTCTATCATCTAATAATTCCATTCTACTTGATAGCCAAATCCAATTAACTTTATAATTAAATTCATTAGAATCAAATAAAAATGGTATTGATATTAATAATAATCTAAATTAATTTTAAGAAATACTCTTTATTTTACTGATTCATTATTTAGTTGTTATAAATTTAATCAATTCTATTATTGAGTAAATATGTATAAAACATCTATGCTTAAAATCTGTTGTAAAATTTAATCTTATTTGTATCCGATGATCTTGTTTTCACCTATAACCATTTTCCTAATCTCTAAATTTTATCAGAAGTATCATGTATTAATAATTTAATAATATTGATAAAACTAGTAGCCAATTTTCCATCTAAAGCCAATCCATTATTAATGTAGACAGGCACAAAATCTACACAAAATTAAATCACCTAAACAATAGTTAAATTATTACTTCATCATACATATTGTTTAAAACACCAAAACAATATTACTCTTAAAATTGCTTAAATACTTCACTTGAATTTTCATTATACTATTTCATTCTAAAGTAAAGTGGTCTTATAAATGCATGAATAATGTCTATATTTAAAGATAAATTCTTTCTTATTCTTAGCTCTATTTATTAATTATTTTATTTTGAATCCAATTAATATTGTTATTCATATTGTGATAAAAAATCATTCTATACATAATCAAGGAAGGATTTGCTTTCTTTTTTTTAAACAATAATTTCTCTAATTTATTAAAGACAAGGATGATAATAATCATCCATAATTTATTTAATAAATTCTTAATCATTGATTTCTTACCATTTTGGTAAATATTTTTCATTTTTTCCTTTTTATTTTAATTTTAACCAATCCAATTAAATATTAGGGTCATTAGTAAATTAAAAATCTTGAATATGGATAGCTGCTTAACTCATTAGTAAACAAGCTAAAATATTTTATCCTGCTTATTATATTTTAGTTTCTTCGTGTTTCAAACTTAGATCTATTATACATTTCAAAGTTTAGTAGTATTATTTATTAACACTTCCTGAAAATTATATAATTTCATAGATTATAATTAAATAATTTCTTATTGTTGTAATATTTGAAATATTAAATTCGTAATGATCTTTATTTTGTCTTAAGAGTTGATTTTCAATAATAGTTAAAATATCCTTTAAAACATTAGGATCTCTTAAGATTATTGCTTACATCACTAATACAAAATTATCAGATAGATTATTAAGTATTTTATCATCTAAATAATTGCATAAAATATTGACTATTTCTTTATAATTAGATTTAGAACTCTAAAATACAAAATTATAGAATTTATTTCTTGTTGAAAATATAATTTCTGAACCTCTTTGACTAATATGATACTTGACATCACTATATTCGAAAGTTGAAACATATTTTCTAAAAGCCTCTAATGCCAGATCACTAATTTCTTAAGTAATTTAATAAAAATTAATATCTTCAATTTACATTTCTAATAATCAAAGTAATGAATACCTTCTTATAGATTAACATTTGGATATTGAGTTTCTAAATCCTTAATATCATAAATAGGGATATATTGGAATAGAATATCATAAAATCTCCATATGTATTCTCCATTATCTAATATGAAATTGGTGGTTTGCCTTAAAATGAATGGAATATAATTAATTATTTAAGGATATTAATCAAATTGTATTGCTGGTTTAAATATTTTTTCAATGATATGAATAATAAGTAAAGGTTTTAAATCATCTCTTTCTAATGCTAATTAAATTTATTCCATAACATAAGGTAAAATTTCTTTAGGTCTCAATTTACATAATGACTTATCTATTAATTGTAAAAATTTACTTTATAGATTCCTGCAACTTAAATTTTAAATCTATTTTTTTAATAGATTAAATATTTTAAATGAGGTTTGACTATTGAAATAAATTTATCAATGCCTTCTTAATCGATCATAAATTCTTTTTTATCAAATATTTTTTCTTTATCATTACTATCTTCATCTTCTTCTTCTTCTTCTTCATCCATATCATTCATCTCTTCATCTTATAAAAATAATTGCTCATCTTTTGTAAATATATTATCTTTATAATTTATATATAATTGTACTATCTAAAACATTCTCTTATTATTCTTAATTTTTTTCTGATGATTAATTTTAAGCTTCAACTCTCTCAACAAATGTTTTAACAAACATGTAAAAAAAAGAGAAAACAAAATCATTTGTTGTTGCATTATTTGGATGAATCAAATCAGAAATAACTAAAAACATTCTTTCAATAGTATCCCATACTTTATTTCTAGTTTATGATGATCCAATCAAATAAACCAATGGTTAAATAAAATCTTAAGGTCTCATACTTCCATGATGAATTTGAATTGGATTCATATTAGTTAAGTTTTAGATATTTAATAAAAGTACAATAAAACTATTATAGATATCCTCTAAAATGAAGTCTAAATAATTATCAATAGGTAAATCAGGACGATAACTAAATATATCTATTAAATAATACGAAATTAATTAAGCAATTAAGAAAGGGTCCATCTGTCTTATTACATGAGAAGACTTTTTAAATTCGATCAACATTTCAAAACTCTTTGTATAAGTTGATATTGGTTCAGATTTAACCACTCTAAACAATCTTTAATTAAGATTCTCTCCTTATAAATAATTGTCTATTAATTAGGGGAAATAACTTGGTGGAATTAAATGACGAAACAATGCAAAAAATCTATTTGTAAATTTAAAAATCTTACTCTTATAAACATTAAATTCCTCTTCTTATTTACTAATCAGTGTTATCAAATGTTGTATCTAAACCATTCTGATTCACTTCGTCATAAATTTATCTCAAATCCTCATACTTGATCTAAATATTATTACATATCTTCTTTGTAAATGCTGACAGAAATAATTTTATTTTTTTTGGAGTGCATGGAGTTTAGAATAAATGTTTTGTACTATAAATATACTTTTGAAGACTGTATTCTATTAATAAAGCAAATAGCTTCTCCTTCTCCTCTTGATTGAAGGAATGTACAGAATAAAATCCTTACAAAAATTTTATATCCACAGCTAATCTATAAAGAGAATTCTCAATTATTGATTTCTCTAATCTTTTTGTTAATCTGTCATACTCCAGAGATCTTTCATTTTGAATCAATTATGCACATTTTGGTAAATGAATTAACATTCTTTATTATTAAATATTTATATATTAATAATTAATTAAACACATATTTTTCATTATCCTCGGTATTAAAAATTATCCCAATCTTAAACTTTTTATACATTAACAAATATTACTTTTCTAATTTCCTAAAATTAATAATATAATAAATTAGTTAACATTATTGTATTAATTAATAATTCTTCAATTCCTTGGAATTCTAATGATTAATATATTTTAATAATTCTAATTTTAGTTAAATTCTTCAGCAATACTATTTATTTAATCTGATTATTATTCTTCTGATATATTATTTATATAAATAATATATCAAAAGAATTGTATCTATATCTCAAGAAAACCTTATTTGAAAATAGATTCTATCTAAATTAAATAATGATAAATGTTCAGATTTTTATTAAACAAATTTGAATAGATAATTTAATAAAAGAATAATAATAAAAAGTATAGAATAGGAATTGATTTTGATAATATTTTTTTTACCATATACATAATGATTGTATATGTTGTTCATAATTTTAATTTGATGGCTTCTAATTCTTATTAAACTTAATCGAAAGCTTTAATTGGTTTATATTTAGGAGGTAATCCAGGTTTAGCGAACTTATCTAATGGTTATAGTGTAACATCTGAATTAATATGTGAAAATAGAGTAGATGAAACTCTCCAAGTACTTTTTCCTGCTTTTTTATTTTCTTCATATTTTTTTCTGGCTTCTTCTGTATAAATAACCTAAATAGATGAGTATATAAAATACTTCATGATATCCACATGTTACATATCCACCAGTTAATAAATCAAATTAAGCTCCAGCTTATAATAATAAATGTCCCTCTGGTACAGCTACAGAAATTCTCTCTCCATTTCTTAACCAAACATATAAACCAGGATAACGACTTTTACCATGAATAGTTAAGAAATTCAAATCATAATGAAATCCAGCAAAAATAGTTCCTGGTTTATGTCTATCTAGATCAGAACCAGTTGGAGCAAGTAAATGAGGAGCATTTTACATTCTACTTGTAAAAGAGTCAGATGGAATACTCATACCAATAGCAGCCATTTCTGCTACTGTTAAACATCCATTTATCATCATTTTACCCCATTATTCCATTCTTTCTCCAAATTATTGAACATCTTTAGGTCTAAATCTTGGAGGTGTAAAACTATATGAAGATCATATAATAATAATAATACTCTTCATCTTTAACTCGTTTACCTGAATCATCAATAGGCCAAAAGAATCTCCATTTGGCATCCTTAAATAGTAATATATAATAATTACATAAGGAGCTGGTTATGGAGTTAAAGCTTCATTTTCTTTTGTATATTATTTTACAACATTGTTGTGAGTTCTAGCTTTTTCAACGAACTCTGGTGTTGCTCCAACTTAATAAGCATAATTAGGAAAGATATCTTCAACCTTTAGAGAGATAAATAATATTAATACTTTTTCATTATTATAGAATTTAGCAGCTCTAGATTCAAAATACTTTTCCATCATATCTAAGAAATCAACATTATGACGATCATTAACTCTTGGATCTTTAATACACACAGCACCATAATTATGTAATGCTTCTGCTACTTAAGCACATTATGATGAAGCATCACCCTTCTTAGCAAGGAAAGATGTAACATCAACCACAGGTACAGATTTAGCAAATCTATATACAAATCTTGTTGTAAACATTTTAATAAATTAATAATATGTCATTCAATTATCAAGACATTGCTATTTATACTTAGATATTTAATCAATTTATATATCATCATTCTTTTTTATTTATTTATTATACTATAATCAATTGTACTTCTATGACCTTTTTTTGTATAAATTAAACAAAATTAAATCTTAAATTTATGAAGAACATTGATCCTAATGTAGTTTTTCTTAAATAAGAAAAATGGGATTTAGAATAGTCAGAAGTATTACTCCTAAATAAATATAGCCAACTCCTTGTAAATAAATTGAAGTACCTAATTTTGTTACTATTCCAACTGTTACTTAGACTTAAATCTAAATGCCTACTGTTTATATACACTCTAATATAGTGTATCCTGATGAAAATGAATACTCTTGTGACGAAGAAGATTTAGAAGCTAACATTGATCCTAAAATAATATAGCAATTGGATCTTAGAAGTCATCTCAATTCTAATCGAAATTATTCTAAACAATATTCCCTACTCAATACATTTGAATATGATGAAACTTATTATAACAAAAAAATTGAAAGACTATAAAGACCACTTTTGAGAATCTTCATGCGTGCACAAGAAAATGAGTAAATTTTTTATTGCTAATTAGTTATCGTATGAATGTAGCTTTTAGACCAAGTAAAGCTTACAAATAAAAAAGATAAAAACATTTAGACATTTAATCTATTGATGTTGCCAGAGAAATTTTATTGAATGAAAATTAAATTGCACTTAATCTCTTAAAATAAATTAAACAAAGAGAACTGTTAAAATTACAATTAATTAAAGAAGAAGAGTTCAATTTTATCAATACATTCAATTATTGTAATGATTTATTTGGAAATCTCAAAGAACTTAAACGTTTCTATAAACCAGAAGAATAAATTGAATAACAAAAAGATAATAGAAATAAAATATTTGAATCTTGTTCTAATTATGAATGTTCTTATTAATTCTATTCTATGTCCTTATCTACAGATCTTATTGATTTTATGGATGAATAATATCAATCAATTAAAGATAAATGTATTGTATGGCCAAAAAATCCTACAATGCTCTAATCATGGGATATTGATATTTATACTAAATTAGGAGTTCATTAATTAAATAAATAACTCATTTATACAACTAATAATAGAACTTTATTAATTGCTGATAAAACTAAGAAAAATAAAAAAAAAGTTAAACTTATGTTAATTGATCGCAATAGAGCATCTATATTTGATGGAGTTAGAGCTAATTTTGATCATTTTTATGCTCATTATTAAAAAATAAATTAAAAATAAGAATAAAGTATTGATTAATAAAGAAAAGAATGTTAAAAGATTAGATTTGAAAAATAAAAAAAAGAACATTAACTTAAATTATAATAGAAAAAAGAAGAATTAAAATAGTCTTTGAGATTTAAATTGAGAATTCTATAAGATGTTGATCAACCTATTTGCACTATTAAAATTAAACATTCAGATGATTTAAAATTTTAATTAGTTAAAGAAATCCATTTTAATTCTCAAGTTATACTTGTATGATCTCACTTTACTAAGGATGATATGAAAATAATTGTGATTTTGTATATTTTTACTTTACTTTGTTATTTTTTATAAGAGAAGAGTTTCTTAATTTAAATAAGATTTAAATTATTTTTATTATGGCAGAAGTCGAATAATTATCAGAAGAACTCACAACCTTAAAAAGAGTAGTTTAGACATCATTACATAGAGGATAATTAGCAAAGGGTGTTCATGAAGTATGTAAAGCTATTGAAAGTAAACAAGTATAATTATATTAATAATCTTTCTTTCTTAGGCAAAATTTGTTGTCTTAGCTGATGATTGTACAGAAGAGACATATAAGAAATTGATTGTTGCTTTAGCTAAATAATTCTAAATTCCTGTTTGGAGAGTAGAAAAAGGAGCTTTATTAGGAGAATGGATTGGTATTTCTAAATTCCTTACAAAAACTAAAAAGATTAAATCAAGAAAATGTTCTTCTGTTGCAATCAAAGATTTTGCAATTGAAGTTAGTGAAAATGAAAAATTATTTGTTGAAAATAAAATTAAGGGATTGTGAAGTTATTTTTAACATATCGTACATTTAAATACAATATTGATTGAATAATTATATTTTACTAAAAAAATGTAATATCTATCCCTTTATCCAAAATCCATAAAGATAAAGAATATTTAAGTGATTCTATTTTATTTATTAATAAAATTTATGATTTCAGAATAGCTTAAATCAGGAACATCTACTAAATAATTGAATAGTGAAGATACTCTTAGAGTTGGTGAATGTACAGTTCATAAAAGATAATTAGAAGCATTTTGCACATCTTGTCATGTGTATTATAAATTAATTATACTAGTCTTATTTGTCCAACTTGTTTAATGTTTGGAGAACATAAAGGACATTTAGTAGATTAAATGGATAAAGCTACTAAAGATATTAGATCATCGATGGATTAAGCAGCAAAAGATGGTATTCTAACTATATCACAAAATAGGAATCTTAAGATTAGAAAAAACAGAAACTGTCCTTGTTGATATTAGACATACTAAATTAACATTTGAAGAATCAAAATAAAAAGTATTGAAAGAAATTGAATAAACTTTTGTTTCCATATTCAAATTAATAAAATAAAGAAAAGATGAAGTTATTAATCTAATTAATCAACATTATGAAATATAAGTTAACAATATTGACACACAAGAATAAATTTGGATGGATAAATAAATTAGAGCATTTGATGTTATTAAATTAGCTAAATCTACTAATGATTATCAATTATTAGAAAAAGCAACATATATTTTATAAAGTATTTCATTTATATTATTAGAGGTCTCGAAATTTTAAGATAAACACCTACTTATAAGAATGTTTATATAGTTAATTCTATCGATACAACATTTAATTTAAATAACATTTCATTAAATTTATCTGAATTCTAAAAAGGCCTGCAAAGTTGGATAAAATTGGGCGATTCTGTACTTATACAATTTAAATGTTGAATAATTCCATTTATATTATATAAATATACATATTTTATATTATATCGAAAATGAAACGATTTTTTTTTACATATATATATCTATAAGCTCAATATGCATATATATCAAGTCTGAGCAATTTGATATTTTCTTATGATTGAAACTGAGTATTCATAAGCCTGCAAAAAACAAAAGAGTTGGTATAGGAAATACCAATAAACATGCATTTGGGTTAACATGTTAAAATGACCATAATAGAGATCCCAAAAGGAATTATCTAATATTAATAGATTAATAATATAATCCAAATATGTAAGCAAGGGTACAACTTATTAATAGAATAATCAAGTATATAAAATGAGATAAAGTAAGTATTTCTTTTCTTTGTACTGCTGAATGTAGAACAATTCCAAATAGAACAGAATTAACTAATCTGAAAATCAAACTCTAAAGTTATGGTATGATTGCGACTTAATTTTAATATCAATAGATACTTATTAAAATTGAAATTAAAGCTTATTCATACTTTAATTTATAATGTATTACTTTGCTACCTTCAGGATATTCTCCTGATAATATTTCTGCTTAAATAATTTCCCCCATTTATTTATCAAAATCACCAATTTTAAATGGAATTGAGACATGAGGTTTTATTTGATTTTATTAATACTCACTATTGTCTTCATAAATAATTGATATATTTTAGGCATTTGCTCTTTTTTATTGATCAATATGTGAGATTAATTTAGAATTAACACTTGCATCCTATGGTCGACCCTTTTCTAATAAAATAGTATTCTTTAATGTAACTCCTAATTGAGTTAATAGACTCTTCTCAGTTTTTTATATAAATGCATATTAACTCTCTCCAGTGACATAATCAAAGATTTATACAGCCTCAATGATTGGTTGTACATTTTCAGTAGACGTGGCTGTTGCACCATCTCTTGCATGATGTATTATAATAGCAGGATTTCCTTGATGTTTTTCTTATTAATGAGTATCCTTTGTTCTTACAAGTTCTTTAATCCATAAAAAACTGATTATTCCTACCATCATCCAAGGAAATTCTGTTATAAGTGTTCCAAATATAAATAATTTCGCACAATCATGTATTGAATCTCCCAGTTCATCTATTTGAAAGAGAAGAGCCAAAGATGAAGAAGTCAAGAGTAATATTATTTCAAGAATCATATATTTATTAATGTATTAATTTAAGATCGATCATTGAGTAAACTCTGCATTAACTATAAAATTTTCAACCAACAAAAAGCTAAACAATCTTCAATATTTTTTTAAATAATAAGCAATTAAAAATTTCACTATATGCTCTTATTCATCATTACTTATTATTTATTATATTTTAAATTAGACTAAGGAACCAGCGTCTATTGATTACTACCAAGAACATTTTTACAACTATACAAATTAAACTAATTCTTAATCAAACTATTTTATCATTTTTTTATCCCAAAAGTACTCTAAATAAATTTTTGTAATTTTTATATTAAACTTTTTTAAAATTGCGAATTTCAGATTCTAGTTAAAGAAAATACCATTTATGTATAGAATTATCCAACTGCTTCTAACTATCAACTTTAACATAGGAAATCAATAATCAATAAATTAAATGGAGGATAAAAACATATATCATTTTAATTCAAAATATTAAAATTATTTTAACTTATGATATTGATATTGGATTTTATCATCCTAAAAATTGTTAACTTTTAAATTTCAATACCTTTTTATATAAAATAGCAATAATTTATGTGTTTCTTGAATTCGTGTAAATTAAACCATATTTAATTTCCAATCATAAAATAATCTAAAAAAGTATAATTTATTTTATGATATAGAAAGGATAATTATTATTTTCTTTTAAAAAAGAATTTTTGAAAATTATATTTGTTTTTGATGAGAAAATTGGGCAATATAAAAATTTAGATTTTAGTCATTTTTGAATTGTTATTTTCTAATATAAAAAATTAATTAAATATATAGAAATAAATGCAATTTGATGAATGAAATTTAATATTTCCAAGAAATAACGATTTACTACTTTAATTATGAGATCAAATTTATAGTTTTAAATTTAATATCTCTTTTGAACCTCATTATATAAATCCATTTAAATTAATAAAATTTATAAAGACATAGGTATAAACTAAATCAACAACTAATTTAGATCATTTAAAAAGAAACTCGAGGGATGAGAAAGCCTAATTTTATTAGCAAAGTTTGTAATGATATGAGAAAAAAGAAAGCCATGGTTTAAGGAAAATAAAAATTTAACAATTGAACAAAAGTTTTGATTATAAAATTTAATCTAATTGAAATAGATTATGAATATAAAATAATCAAATCTTCATTTTAAGATTTTTTAACTAAATTCTTCCAAATCAAAAATGGCTTCTTTTAAGAGAGCAACACTTAGTATAGAAGATTTTTGAGCAAATTCACTTAGATGTCCATTTTGATCAGTGAAATCTGGCAAAGAATAACTAGAAGATAAAAATAGAATAATTACAATTCTTTTAGATGTTGTTTGATAGGAGCAAGATAAGCATAAAATATTTCTTTTTTAATATCTTATTTATGAATTTTGAGTAAAGCTTTAAGATAATATCCTAGTAAAAAAACAAATTCAGAGCCATTATGAATAGAAAATCCATCTTATGCATTAAAACGGTCAGTTAATTGAATATACTTTCCACTATATTCACTGGCAATAGGATCTAAAGTGCTTAAGCCTAGAGAGTTTAAATTGATTAGATTAGATTCAATAAGTGCTAAATGATGTATAACATGATTTTTTTAAAAGAGTTCTGGAGCTAAAGCAATAGCAATACATGAGTTAGGTCTTAATTAATATTCAGATCTAGGTTTAGAACATTTAAAAATATCTCTATAGATTCCTTTTCTTCTAACATATTTTTCTATTACTTAATATTCATTATAATAAGTAGGATCAACTGGAATATAATAACTTTTTTCAAAATGTTAACAGATAAAATCAGACCATGCTCTCCAAGTAACCAACCTATTCAATAATTTAATTCCAGGATAGGTATATTTATTTAATTAATTCATTTTTCCAATGAAATCAAGACAAGCTTTTAATAATGCTGTACATTCAATAGGAGCACCATCTCTTGATGCAGCAGGATAACTTTTATTTAAAGTACCAGATCCCATTTTATCCATCCAAGTTAGACAATTTTTATAATTTCCTCCCATAATAAATCCAGTTTCAGAATCCAAATTAAGTTCAACAACCAAACCCTTATTAAATTATATTTTAATACTTCTTTATCTGTATCATCATTTACATATAATTCTTTAAATTTGATGCCTGTTGCATGAGATTGAAATATAGATTAAATTTATTCTTATAATTAACTAATAATCGAGTAGTCTTCTGTATATGTTACATAATCACGAATAGCTTTAATCCACCAAAAACATGTATCTCTTGTATTATATCTAAGTGGTTTCAATGAATTAGGTATTAAACCATGTTACATTAAATTACCATATTTAAAAATTAAAGCTTTACCTTCAATAGCCTTATCTATTAAATTAAATATTTATGTTTACTTGTTAAAATTAATATACCTTTAAAACTCATAAATGTTTCTCTACCTTTATTAAAATCATAGAGTGTAAAATATGTAGATAGGATATCAATTTATTTAAAGAAAAATTCTCTATGTTGAGTCAATTTATCTTCAATACTTTAAACAATATGTTTAATGCATTTAATAAAATAGTGTGGTTTGAATATTTTAGGTAATGATTTAATTTTAGTTAAAATTGGTACCAAACAAACATGATGTTCTGATAAATATTCAATAAGCCAATCCCCCTCTCGAATATGTTTGATGAAAGGATCCTAAAGGGTTTCAATTTTATTAATAAATCTCATCACTCCATATAATCCAGTATAATAAAGCAATCCACATCCTGGTACTTCATAATGATTTATCAATGGTTAATACAACAGATTTAAATCATCAGCACATTGAAAAGGAGTTAAGAGAAATTGATTCAGTTCTTGTATTACTTCCAAAGGTTCACATTATAAAATCATAACATATGATGTTGGAGTGTTAATAGATACAGTATTTTCATTAATTTTAGCATATTAAGTTGTGATATCTATGTAATGTTATTTAACTTTAATCTCATTTTCAAGATTATCAGTTTCTTTTCCACAAAATTGTAATGAATATTGATATTAGATATTTAATATTTTGGAATGTAGCTTAATCTTTCGAACAATAGGTCTTAAGCAAATTACTATAGTTTAATTCAATAGATGATCTTCTTAACATCTAGTTATAATCAAAAGCTATTCATGAATTGATTCCATGTATATATGTGAACTCTAATTTTTAAAAAGTTATCGAATAAAAGTTAAGGATTTATATGCTTGTATAGGTTTAATTTCTATAATGTTGTTCATTTAATTTTTTTATTGATTTTCATCTATCGTCCAAACATTATCGATTATATATTTATATTCATATACTCCTGGAGATAATTCTATTTAACAAGTGAAGTATTTTGGATTTTCATTGTCATTTTTAAGAAAATACTCTTTTTCCCAATTATCAAAAGAACCTTTTAATTTAACAATATTAGGTAAGGCTTCTCCTTAATGTAAGTTTGAAACATTATGTTTCCACATAAAAGTTATAGGTCTTCTATGTAATTCTTATAGTTGTAAATTAACTAATGGGTAAAATCTTTTTTCATGAACACAACTTACATATTAATCATAGAATTCATCAACTAATTTAGTAGTTCCTTTGAATTAGTTACTAAAAGATAAAGCAGTTACTAAAGACATCAAATAACCTGGGCCTTAAGATTACACAAGTGGAGGTTGGTTATCATGACTTTAATCATAAACAAGTCTTTGAGGAGCTGAGATTTGTTAAACGAAAGAACAACTTTATAATTTATTAACAATAGAGGATGCATTCCTACAATAAAATAACTCATCAACTTATCCATTTAATCCTAATCTACTCATATACTTAATTTTCTATTAATATGAACAACCAAACAGTTCAGCAAAAACAATTAATTAAGGATTCTCTATTCTAGCATGTTTAAGTAAGTATTAACTGATTGCTAAAGGTGTACCATGACAATTATCTAATCTAATACCATGAAAATAACGAGCCATTTAACAAATATATTCTTTCATTCTATTCAATAACAAAGGTGTGTCTCTCTTACTACCATATCTTAATTTAATAACACTCCATTTATTGATTGTATGTCGTAAATAATGGAAATTTTGGCTGGTAACAAAATCTTCTTCAGGATCAATATTATCAACATAACCATTATAAGCAGCATACCAATTCTTCAATTTAAAGAAATACTTCTAAACACATCCATACTTTTTATAATGTACTTGATTATTCGCTATAGATTCTGCTTCATATTATTTAGCCCTTTTGAATTATTTTTCATTAATAAATTTTAAAGCTATCTTTATTTAACTAATAGTCAATTGATGAGTTCCCAATTCTTGCAATAATCTTTTAAACTCCAATGTTACTCCATATCTAGAAACTCCAAAATTTTTCAAATATTACTCAATTAATTTTACATTTTTCTCTTAATTAGATTCTACAAATATATTATCATCATCTTCATCTATATTTACAATACCATTTTCTAATTAACAATTCATCCAATCTATCTTCTACAAGTCAATTAAAAAATATTCTTCAATTTTCAATGACTTTATTACTTTTTCAATATCATCATATTCTTTTACCTATTTCAAAGCTAAATCTAATTCTAAAGCTGATGTTAATTAAGGAACAGTTCTTTCATTATATACACATTCTTCTTCATTCAACCATTCACTTTCCTTTGATGCATGATTCAAAACAACATCAACAAAAAAGATCTTATTAGACGATTAGATAAAATTATGTAGATCTTCATAATTTTGAAAGTATTTTATACTAAAATGATCTTTAATTGCATATAAACTATGAGATACTTCCTAAATTGGACACAAATGAAATGCTTCAAATCCATCTAAATCCCATTTCCTTACTAAATTTGGCAACACTGTCTAAACTGTAAAATTTTTCAGATTAAACATTAATGGATTCCATACTAAATAATTGAAAGCTTATCCCATTTCATGAATCTTTCTATCATCTAATGATAACCAAATTATTCTCAAAAAACATGGACCTAATTATTTACATTTAATCTCAAACACATAGTCTCCATCATTCGATATATTCCATTTATGTGACTCATAAACTGAATAATAAGGCATAGGTAATTAAGCCTCTTCTTCTCCTCTAAGAATTTTCTTATACCCTTTTTATGGTTTCTTTTGACAACCTTTTTTTGAAGGAGAACGAGTTGCACATTAGATATTTGTAATTAGTAATGGAGTGAATGAGAAAATGTTTCTTGAACATATTATGATCCTTAATATAGTATCATACGGCAAAGTTAAGCAGTTATTTAGAGCTATTGAGCCATTTTATGACGTATAAATAGTATACATTCGTATTAATTAATTTTTATAATAGAAATATAATACTTTCTATTTAAAATCATGTTCAAGATTAGCTAATTTTATTCTTTATTAATATTGATACTTATTTATTTAAATATCTAAAATAATTATAAAATTTTTATTTTCTCTATGTTCTTAAAACAAGGTAGAAATTAGAGTAATCATAAAATTTATCCAATATTGTATAGTAATTCCTAATAAAAACAAATTACAAAAATGATAACTTAAATAATTAATATATTAAAAAAATGTCATTCTTCTAGTCTTAAGAATATGAAGATTAGGATGAACATGAATAAATGCGATATGTGGTAATGACAGTAAAATTCATAATTAGAAATCCCCAAATCAGTTGCAATTAAAATCTCGATTGTATGATCGAGGAGGTTAGCAGAAAAGGCCTGTTACTAGAAATTAATAATAAGTATTTCCTTTATAAAGCTTTTAGTTAGTGCCTAAGCTAGTTGCTCAATAAAGTAAACAAAAGCTAGACCCACTTAGAATGACTATGGGGACAACCTTCAAATAAAATGTTGATGAGCTCTATAGAACTAAGTACCTCGTAGATAAATTATCTGGTAAGTTCTAAATAGATTAAAAATACTTGGCCATAATGCCAGAAGAAGAACGAAACTACTTAATGCGAAAAACTGGTATGAGTTCACTTGGATCTCGTTTCAAACTCAAACCTCTTGATTCTGATCCACGTATTTAAAGTCCATTTAAAGAAACATTGGCACATGATGAAGAATTTGGCGTTACTGAGAAAGAAACTAAATCTAAGTTAGACAAGTACATAGACTTGATTCTCAGTAATACTACAAGTGTAGATGAATACATTTACCTTGTAAGAGAAGAAGATGATGGCTAAGATGATCCTTATATGTTAGCAGTTGTAGATTATAAAACCATTAAAGGAGATGATAAGAAAACTGAAATCAAAGAGTATTACACTATTTCAAGAAAAGGATTATGCCATTATATAAATGGTAAACCAACTGAATTCATACCACTTAGAAACTGGTTGAGAGAAAGGCAGACCTATCATTAAATCAAATCATTAAAATTCTTTACCAAATTTAGAAAATGGAAAACCCTTAAAATGTGGAAAAGTAATGTGATTAAACATAAAACTAAAACAATTTAAAATGCACTTCTGGATAAGTATTTCTTATTAAATCCAATAATGAGAGAAACCTTACTTACCGTAAGAAAAAACACTTATGATATGATGGAAACATGTCGTTTCATTGGATTTGAAACTGCCCACTAATTAACTATGAATGATAGCACATTTACTTTAGAATAGTTTAAATAGTTGCAAGATCAATACAGAAATAAAGTCAGTGGCAAAATTAGATCTTATTCTCAAGCATGTAGAAAAGTTGTTCAAAGTGGATATGACAAATCATTGGATATTCTTAGAAAGTAAAATTATGTACCTTAAAATGATGAATAATTTGGTGGAAATGCTCCAAGAGATACTGGAACTAATGTCTTTAGAACTAGAGAAATAGCATATGAAACACTTTAATTCCCAGATAGTATGACTTATGAAAAAAGATCATAACTTAGAAAAGAATGTTCAAAATTTTTACGCTTTTCATATTTAGTTGATTTCTTAGCAATGGAAAGTCTGAGCAACATTTATACATTATCAGTACGTGATTTAATTGTGAAACTAAAATCTTTGGAATCAATAGAAGATTTTAATGTAACATTTGAAGCAAGTAACAAACCTCCAATAAGATTTGAAGAACCTCTTTTTGTAATAAAGTTAGATTGTACTTTTGATTAAGTTCCTTCAGAGGATATGTAAACTGAAGACATTCCAGAATTTATACCTTAACCTTTTGGTAATAGTACTGTAGATGATTTTCATATATTATATCATGCACATTTATAAGAGGAAAAGACAGAGGAATAAAAATAAGCCGATAAACCATAGGGAGGAAAGAAGGGGAAAGTTGAAGATGATAGTGAAGAAGATGAGACAGATGGAGGAACATATGATGAGAATAAAATATACAAAAGAATTGTAATACCAAATATTTCTAAGCATTGGATTGTTAAAAAACCTTAACTTAATACTTTCCATGCAGATATAGTAAAATGTATAGGAGAAGGATTAAATGCTATTTAAGCATTTGAAAGATGGAGTAGACATAATGATATGACTTAATATGTTGCTGTTTTGGAAGAATGGGATGATATGGTTGGAGAAGAATGGGGTCATCCAGAATCAAATTATTTAAATCCTTCAGATTGGTTAGATTCAGCACCACTTGAAACATTTACAGGAATAGTTAAAAATATTTTAGAAAAAGCATTTGAAAGAGCAGATAAATACATTGAAAAATATTTTAATAAGCATTTATTAACTTATTGGGAAGACAAACAAATTAATATAGATATTTTTAAAGATGAAAAATTAGCACATCCTGGAGATACATTTTAATATACAATAGCAGTTCTAAATATGTAAAAGGAATAATTTTAGAAAGATATTCCTATTGAAAGTATGCAAGGACTATTTAAAATTGATTCAGCTGAATTAAAAAAGAAATTAGAACCATTACCAGCTGAATTATTGAAATAATTTGATTAATTTATATAACCAATGTTAAGAGCTAGATGCAAAGAATTGAAAGAATGGTTATAAACTTCAACAGCTGCTTTAAAAGGAACAACAACTAATATTGATGAATTTGTTAAGTAGAGTAATTCATTAAAATTAATTCAAAAACAACTTAATAAAGTAAAATCTAAAATCTCACTTGTTGGTCATATTTATAATATTCTTGATGAATATAAGATAGAAGTTAAAAAAGAAGATAAATAGGCTTATGTTGTAGATATAATTCAAGCTCAAAATTTGTTAGAATAAGCTATTCATCATGCAGAAGAAGGGGCAGAATCTAAATTAGATAGATTTGCAAGAGATGTTTAACATATCCTTATTCCTTAATTAGAAAAATAGATTGGTGCTTTGGATGGAATTATTCAAGATAAAAAATATATAGATGCTGGATTAAGTTTAGAATAAGCAATTAAAGAATTAAGTGAATGTGATGAACAATGTAAAAAATTGGAAACTGATGCTAAGAAATATAGACATTATGAAAGTACATTAGGATTACCTACTTCTCAATTTTAGAGTTTAGAAGATTTAAGAAATGATTTAAATTTACGATATTCTATGTGGAAATCTACAAAAGAATGGATTGAATTGACTTAATCCTGGATTGATGGAAAATTTATAGACATTAATACAGATGAAATCAAAGCAAAAGGTGAATACTATACTAAAATAGTGAATAGATGTTCAAAAGGATTACCAGCCAATTAGGTTTTAGATGAATTAAAAGAAAAAGTATTTTCATTCAAAGATACAATGCCTGTAGTTTTGGCACTAAGAAATAGAAATTTAAAAGATTATCATTGGGTATAGATTAAATAGGAGATTTTGAAATAAGATTTTGAGATTACAGAAACTTTTACTTTAAGAAATTTGATGGATATGAAGGTTGGAATTTATTAAGAATAAATTTAAGAGGTAGCTACTTAAGCAACTTAAGAAGCTGTATTAGATGCTTAATTTAATGATATTGAATAAAAGTGGAAAGCTTTAGAATTTACTTGTGTTAATTATAAGCCAGAGAATTTAAGAAATAAAGAAGTATATGTACTTACTGATATTGATGAATTGTAAGCAGCTTTAGATGATTTCTTGGCAAGTTTAAATAATATTTTGGGAAGTAGATACTTAAAGATGTTGAGAAAGAGAGCTGAGAAGTTATAAAAAGATGTATTGATAGCTTAAGAAACTTTGGATGATTGGTTATAAGTTTAGAAAAATTGGATTTATTTGGAAAACATATTTGCAAGTCAAGATATCAAAACAAAACTTAAAGAAGAAAATGCATTGTTTGAGAATGTTGATAAATAATTCAAGGCTATAATGAAGAAAACAAATTCATAAAAACAAGTTCACAGAGCAAGTGGATTGTTGGATAAATTTAGAGAATACAAAGAAACATTGAATAGAATTTAAAAAGCTTTAGAGTCATATTTGGAAGAAAAGAGAATGTCATTTCCAAGATTTTATTTTTTATCAAATGATGAACTTTTAGAAATATTGGCAAAATCATAAGATTTTGATGCAATATAGAGAAATTTAAAGAAATGTTTTGAAGCAATATATAGACTTGAGTAACCAGAAGAAGGCGCAAGATCTGTAAATGGAATGATTTCACCAGAAGGAGAAAAGATTCCATTTGTAAAGGCAGTTTCAACAAAAGAGGAAGTTGAATTATGGTTAATGAAAGTATAGGATTAGATGATAGAATCATTGAAGAAGAGAATGAAATAAGGAAAGGTTGAAAGTGAAACTTAAGAGAGAAATCATTGGTTATTAAATCAACCAGCATAGGTTGTAGCAACAATATCAAATCTGATTTGGACATATGATACAGAATAAGCAATAAACAGTATGACTGATGACTCTACAGCATTATCAAAGCATTATAATTTATTATATGAATCATTAAATGGATTAACTGCATTGGTGAGAGGTACATTGACTCCACTTTAGCATAAGGTGATTGTAGCTTTGATTACTTAAGATGTACATGCTAGAGATATAGTAGATGCATTAACTGATGAGAATGTGAGTTCCATAAGTGAATTTTCATGGTAATAATAATTAAGATATTATATGGATGAGAATGATTTAATAATAGTGAGATAGGTGAATGCAAAATTAAATTATGGATATGAATATTTGGGAGCAACAACAAGATTGGTTATAACAAATTTAACAGATAGATGTTGGATGACAATTACTGGAGCTTTGAATATAAAATTAGGAGCAGCTCCAGCTGGACCAGCAGGTACAGGTAAGACAGAATCAACTAAGGATTTAGCTAAAGCTTTAGGTATGTTTTGTGTAGTGTTCAATTGTTCAGATTAAATAGAATATAAAATGA